ATTTACTATAAACATTTAAGCCATCTTGTGGACAAAGTTAGAATGAACGCAACACAAAACTCAGAAGCTCTGATCCAATTGATTTTGTTTTAACTATTAGAAAAAATCCTTAACTGCTTCTCATGCAGTCTACAGCTGAGTTTAGTATAGAAGGCAACACACTATTGCAAATATAGTGTGTGATTACACAACAAATTCTGAGGGAGAAACTCTGGACCCCGTGTCAATGGGTGTAGACTCAGGTCGTAGTGAATGTCCCCACCAAGATTGGAACCAAACCTACACCATTGATGGGAGATATCTCCCATAATGCGTCGCGCCAAACGTGCGTGTGTGGCTTTCATGCACATGCACAGAGGGGCTCGGCCGCGCTCTGACCAATCAGAGCTGATCCTCAGAGCAGCGGAAGAGCGGAGCCAGAGCGAGTAGGCAAGGAGCAGAGTTTGTGGCAGTAAAGTGTGGATTTAAAGAAAACCGAAGGATTTAAGAAGAAAAAAAGTACAGGGTGACAAGGGACACTAAAATCCCCACAAAATCTGATCTTTATGAAAGCTGTAGGTTCTCTGTCAGTTGAGGTCGCGCTGTTTTAGTTTACATTGAGTTCTATGGGACTTTTTTCTGGGTAGCCCTCGTGAATTAAGTCTGCAGTACCACGGGCGCCCCCTGTGCCCATGGGTGGGACAGCTTTAAGCTAGTAATACCCTATCCAGTTCTTATTATAGATCCATAGGTACAACACACACACACACACGCGTTTCATTCATCTGTTCCAAGAAATTAGATACAGTATTATTCATTGACTCCACACAAAGTGGTGATGAACTTCTACAATAGAAGTGTCTTGCCCAAGGACACAACCACTGCCGCCCCCTGTTCCCAGAGGTTTCCCATCACAACACTACCCTTCCCTTCTCTGCTTAGATCTCAGATCCACAGGATTATAAAGTAGGAACAGGTTTTGTATTTTAGGAGCAGAGTTTCCAGATCTCTGAACATTATCAGAATCAAAATCAGAATAGTTTTTATTGCCATGTAAGTAACAGGAAGTCACAGACTAGGAAATAGCTTTGGCTCTCGGTGCATCGGTCAGAAAAGAGGTGAAGAATAGAGTAAGGCATAATAAAAATCAGTTTTTTTAAAGCAGTGTTAAAGTTAATGACGTTCTGAAAAAATCTTTTAATTATATGAACAATGATGTCTATTAGATTCAATTCTAACAGGCTTTTAGCAGGTAACTAAAGGCCAAAGTGAGATTTGTAACAGTTTCGCCACAATTTGACACATAATGAACACATCGCAAAGGAAGGTTTCTCACCCATCATCTGTACTTCTTAGCAAGTTTTCCCGACGTTTCGTCCTCAACCTGGGGACTTCTTCAGGGAATGAATTCTCGGACCGCGCGTTGGAGATTTATAACCTATGGGTGTGGTCAGCCACACCCTAATCCTGATACTAACTCGTAAACAATCTACGGTCTGCTTGATGTAGAAGGGAGCAGGTCTAACGACCCTGCTGAGGCTAACGACCCTAACTACTTAGCATGTCACAGACCTATTGTCTGCTGGGATGCTCAAGTGGAGTGCAGGTTTCACCCCTCCTAACTCATTAGCATGTCACTGACCTCATTAGCATGTCACTGACCTTGTCCCAAGTTAGGGCGTTGTTTTTAGGATGTCGTCATAGATGCGAGGCAAAACAAATCTTAACCCTCCTCCTCTGTTAAGAGAAGGTTTCTGTTTCCTCACAAAAATGGCTTCTTTCACTCCTCTCTCAAACCAATTCTTCTCCCGAGCCAGAATTTTAACCTCTGTGTCATCCACCGTGTGGTTGGAGGCCTTGAGGTGGAGATGAACAGCCGACTGTGGCCCACTAGAGTTTTCTCTACGATGTTGGTAAAGTCGTTTCTGTAGAGTCTGTTTGGTTTCTCCAATATAGTGGTCAGTGCACTCCTCTTCACTACATTTAATTGGAATACACCACATTGCTCTGTTTGTGTCTGGGTGTTTTGTCTTTGGGACAAAACAAAGACAAAACACCCAGACACAAACAGAGCAATGTGTTGTGGCATTTTTTCTAAATTATATAAGAAGGTATAGACAATCAAAAACAGAGATTCATATACATGAACTGCAGAATCATTTATATAACTTGGCCAATGTCAAAAGTTACATAGTATTTCTCAATACAATGAGTTAACAAGAGTTTGGCAATAAGTAACAGTGTGGATTTTTCTATATGTTCTTTTTTTTATTCCACTCTCAACCCAAAAAGGCAAGTAATGACTCACAAGGCTCTCAAGTATGCAAAATAAAAACTTAAAGAAGCTATACCCGATTTTTTTTCTAAGTAGTTCATAAAAATGCTTTTTACTACATACAAGTTGTATCATAATACATAATTTAATTGAAAACTTGAGGTCATTGATTCCACTGTGTATGAAATTCAGGCAGTGAAAAGTGCTGAGTAGAGTCTGAGCGGGCCGCTCGTTCTCCTCCGCTCACAGAACGAGCAGTGAACAGCCTGTGTCCTCTAGTGTCTACAGCCTGCGTCCTCTAGCCTCTACAGCCTGCGTCCTCTAGTCTCTACAGCCTGCGTCCTCTAGCCTCTACAGCCTGCGTCCTCTAGCCTCTACAGCCTGCGTCCTCTAGCCTCTACAGCGCTGCTTAACACCAGGGCTTCGACTTCAAAATTCGAATATAATTCTAAAATAAAAAATATATACATATTTGAACAAATATTAGACAACCCTTATAATTAGAAATGTATTTAATGACTGCAAATAAAATAGTTAGCTCCCAAAGGTTTCACCAGGACGTGCTAGGCAGGTAACAGCTAAGCTAGCTAGCTGTTTCATGGTAACTTCCGGGTTTTTCGCGATCGCTTTTTGTCACTTTAAAACAGTATTTTTGTCATGAAAACGTTGACAGCAAATTCTGAAATCGTCCGTGCATGTGTGTTAAGGATGTATCTGTATACTGTATTGTCCGATTGACGTTTAATTGTGTTGATTGATTGATATGTATTTGTTTATTGAGCGTGGCTAGCTCCGCTAGCTTCTCTACACAGACAAGTGTGCAGAAAAACTGCACAATGTAGTGACAGGCGCTGATAGCTTGTTGTACTTGCAGAGTAATGGCAGTATTTTACACACCTGAATTACAAACAGATTGCATTGGGGCTGCGGTCATTATTGGTTTGAGAGTTCTGTTATCAAGAAAAAATGATCGGAAGAATTGCATTCAAGTCAATGGAGTGTTCTACTGCTGTGAGGAGCTGTATAATAAATTATAATTAAATATTAGAATATATTCTAATGTTTAAATTAATACATCCGGACGCGAAACGTATTCTTTTACTTATATATTGTGTTAGCAGTGCATTGCTTCAGTACCATTTCATCAGTGATTGTTGCACAGCTTACAAGTTACGCTAATGCTAATGTTAGCATACGTATCAGATCGCAAATAAAACTAGGTGGCTCTGTGTTATGAGAGCGTAGGGGAAATGAGAAGCCTGTGAGCGAGTTGGGGGGCGGTGCTAAACATTCAAAGATTGCAGAAACGGGTATAGCGCCTTTAAATGACCTGTTGTGGTGTGTTTTGCGCACAACCAGCATGCATCGTTAACGCAATGGAAAATTTAGGTATCCGAGCTTTAATTTCGGGAGCGCTGGTTGCGCTTTGGGAAGAGTCAGGGGAGAGACATGTCAGAGACACAGGGGAGAAACGCGGGAGATACGAGGGAGACCCGCACTTGCAACATGGTTCTGTCTGCATATGGTCCGAGCTCGGTACCATGTTAGAGCTGTGCTTTCACTGAGCGCCGCGGCTGTCATTACAAAGCGGCAGCAGCTGCACCAGGACGTGCACATTCGAGTGCATCTCTTGAATGTGCTTAGAGCAAATAACAGCAAGTGCCCGCTGTCACACATTTCACAGAAATTACATTATCAGCAGATAAAGGTTGTAAATCGTGGATCCGTGGAATATTTTCATCCCTAGTTTATCCTGATTCACACAACACACCCACTTATACATTTTGGATAGTAAGAGCACAATAAGTATTTTTTCAGCCTTTCAACCAACCTGTTTCTTTATTGGAGCCCAGTTCTGTTCTGTCTCTGTGCCGTGTGAGCTCCTCGGAACATTAAACAGTGCGCTGACAGATTAGAAATGACGTAAGTACTTTGAAAGGTAATAGATCTACAGTACTTTCCTCTGATTACTCACGTGCTACAACGCTCAGGGAACGAAAAAAAACACTTGCTTCACGCTGGCTAACTTTTAAAATTTAAACAGTCGCTCAGTGCTTCAGTTTGGCGCTGAAGAAGACAGCCAATCACTGCAGAGAACGGAACGGGTCACGTGCTGCTGCTGCTGCTGTTGCTCTGGAGGCGAGGAGGAGGCGCGACGTATGCACAAACGGAAGACATGTGTCCCGGACCGTCCGGGTCACGGGACATCATGTCATTTTGGTGGGGACTTTTTAGTCCTCACCAAATATTGGTGGGGACATGTCCCCATGGTCCCCACGCAAACCTACGCCCTTGTCTCCCATAATGCGTCGGCTAATCCACTGCGCAGAACCGGGAGGACCAGACGATGCCCAAATATAGGCGAGTTCAGCTAATCTCCCGGTCTCCATGAAGTCCCATGTGCTACTGAGCACAAGCCGTTCATTTGAATAGGGCGCCATCTTGGATCGCCGGGGCTTGGTTGAACCATACGATACTGTATTGTATGTGTGTGTCTTGTCAGTGTTGAATGAGTGAAGGGGGTTGGAAGTTTTTTATCCAAACCTTTTCCAAAACATTTACAAATGTTATGCTCAATGTATTTGTGCTGAACATGTTCTGATACAAACATATCCATTGAGAGAGTGACCAGAACTAACTGTGTTTACTGTGTTTTAGTTACAAGCGCAAAAAGGGTGAAGAATAGGATGAAAGTGAATTTTGTCTCTTGAGTCCTGCTGACCTCGATGTCTGCCCTCTGCTCTAGATAAACTGGATGAAATCTTGGCTGCTGCCCAACACACTATAACCCCAGACAGCCAGGCACAGAGGGGTCACGGGGGCAAGAGGGACCGGGGCAAAAACACTGCTCCCAACTCTCACAACGAGGTACGCTCGAGAGTACTCCACTCAATGTAACCATTTGTCATTCTGATTCCACGTTTAAGTCAATTACTGAGAGAACCCCACTTATGCATCTCAGACCGGATGTAGGGACTAATTCTGATGCACAAAGCGACTTGATCTTTAGTTTTTTTGAGCCGCTGCCCTCGCTGGTCTTTGCAGAGGATGATTGACAATAGCCCACCCACACGGAGCGCTTGTTAAGTGTGAGTCAGGTAGTGTCCATTCATCTATCATTTTCTGATGCCTGGTGTACGATGCTCTTAGTGACTAAATACATTCACACCTTTATCATTTATATCAAATAACAAGAGTTACTGGCTAACAGATCTTTCTTAGTTTACATACAAAATCCCAATGAGAATTCTGTCCTGAACCGTGAGTGTTATTTTCTATGTTGCGTCCTTTTCCTCAGCCATCCTATGATCAGCAATCTTCAGCGAACATGGTGCAGTCTGGACCTGGTTATGGATATAACCAAGCGTACTATCAGCCGGGACAGGGGCCTCAGCACGCAGTTATGATGCGACAGAAATCCTTTGGTAACTTCCACAGTTTGTACATTACATTGTGTTGCACTATATTTGCATTTATGGTAGTGACTGTGTGTATCTCTTCAGGTGCAATGGAAGAGGAGCATGGATTCCTTCACCCTCCTGCCATGAAACTCTCCCGGAGCCTCTCAGTACCAGGCCCTGAGGAAATCCCCCCACCACCAAACACTTCTGCCCCAGAGCCGCCCCTGTCTGCGGGCCCTTACACTGGCAGAGGTCCCGCCATGCCCATACCCCCAGTCTCCCAACCCCACTACCAGCACCATCCCCAGGCAGGGTATCCCACTCAAGCCGGCTGGGACCGCGGAGGACCAGGGGCCGCGGTTCCCACTCTGCGCCGACAATCAGAAGGACTTGTCCGAGAGCAAGAAGTGCCGAAACGGGGCGGTGGGAAGATGGGTGGTCTGAGGCGAGGATACAGCAGTGCTACACCCCCAACAAGTGCGAAGCCAAAACCCCAGCCTGTGCCACCACACCCCCAGATGGGCAGCAGGGAACCGTCTGTGGTAGGGGGCAGAGGTGGGACCAGGCGAGGGGGGAGAGGGGCTCTTATCAAACAGTCGAAAGTGGAGGATGGAAGTCGACAGCACAGGGGAAAAAGTGGAGCTCCCAAAGAGAAGAGTTCTATCCCGATTCCCACTATCATTGTGAAGGCTCCATCCACGAGCAGCAGTGGGCGCAGCAGTCAGGGGAGCAGCATCGAGGCAGAGCAGTCCCAGGAGGCTGAAGACCCCCCCTCCCCCTCTGCGGACAACACATCGGACAGTCCCAACAACAGCCTGCCCCAGCCACTAACCACCACCTCACCCCAACCTCCAACTTCCACTACAGCACCTTCATCAACCGCTCCAACTGTTACATCCCAACAAACTGTGGAAAACCTGGACCACTCCTCCTCTTTCGGGGCGACGTACGGAGGTCTGGGGAGCGGAAGAGGGGGCGACGGGGCGGGAGCACGCAAGGAACGGGAACGATTTCGAGACATGAGAAGAAAAAGTGCTTCTTTTTACTTGTCGTCTGAAGAGGATATCCAGGGAGAGGCGGGCGGAGGTGATGTCGCCGGACAGTACGGCACCAGGATTCAGCCTTTGCAGGGTTCTCAAATGGATGTGCCTATGCCTCGATTAAGGCCCTCAAAGTCTATTGATGAGGGCATGTTCTCTGGGGATAACTATGTGAACTACTCCAGCAGCATGCCACCTGCTTTTGGTTTGCCAGAGTATTCCTCTCCCATTTTCAGTCACGATGGCCAGCCCAAGTCAGCTCCCTCTGTCTACGGCCATCAACCTACTACTACGTTCATCCATCCACTGACTGGAAAAGTTCTGGATCCCTCATCGCCTCTTGGTCTCGCCCTAGCAGCAAGAGAGAGGGCCTTGAAGGATGACCGTAGGACGCGGCGTGATGATAAATACTTTGGTCGTCAGATGTCCACAGTTGGTTTTGCCACTCCCATGCAAACTCCCACCGCTTCACTCTTCGCGACCCCCTCCCAATCAACATATACCTCTCCAGTTTCAATGCATCTCACTTCACCAACTGCCACCACCTCTCCAGCATCGCTCAGCCGACCCCAATCCCCAAGAATATTGCGTTTGGGCGGTGGAGAAAGAGTGGAGAGGGAAAAGGAAGGAGGACCACGAGAAGGTCTTAGAGTTCGTTTTTCAGAGGATAGAACTGGTCAATGTTCTCCTCAATATTATCCCACCTCTAAGGAGGAGGAGATGTATAACAGCAAGCCTGTGTCAATGGTGCAGCCACCCCCACCGCCCTCGCAGCCAGCCCCATGCAGACCCTCGTTTCTTCAGTTTGATCCTTCTCACGCTGGATACATGCCTCAGTACACAGTCCCATCCGCCTCAGCCCATGAGAGTACCAGCAGGGGAGTGGCTGGACAAACCCAAGATGGTCTAGGACTTATGGTTCTCCCTCCACCTGCTCCGTCAATAGATGCAGAGGATGAGTTTGTCTTTGTTGACCCACTTCCCCCACCACTACAGTTTGCCAATGGAAAACATGGTAGGGGTTTACCGCATCAGGGGCAGAACACTGGTGCAGCCCATCCACCACCTCCTCCGACCAGAAATACCTCCCAGACGACTTCACAAGGGGACTCGGCTACATCCAGTTTAACCTCGTATGATAGCGAAGTGGCCACCCTCACACAGTCCGCCCTGTCACCGTCTTACCCTTCGGCTCAGATATTTCCATCTACAACCACAGAGACTACAGGCTCTGCTGCTGCTGCTGCTCCACCATCTGTGCACAGGCCACATCCCATGTCCCAGTCTCTGCCCTACTACAGTAGCTCTGATGACCCGTCTGTGAGAGGGCAAAGCCTGGATCAAGACAGAGGTTCTGCTGCCCTCACAACAACCATGACATACACAACTATCACCATGACAACAACAACTGCAGCCTCTACCACAACAACTCCTACAACCTCTGACTACAGCATGATTGGGTCCAAAGTGGGGATGGCCCCAGGAGGTAGAGCGGCCGACCACCCACATCAATCCAACACAGTTCATAAAAGCGGAGAGTGGCAGGATGGAGTGGTGGACTCTGGTATAGAAGAGCTGGACAGTCACAGCAGTAGTGACCATCATTTGGAGATGCTGGGTTTGTCTGGACTAAGGGGGGACAGAGGAGGAGTAGCAGGAGAAACAGAGAATATTTCTGAGAATCAGGACCTTTGCACAGCCTACTCAGGAGGGCAAACATTTGATGTGCTTAGTGCTAAACTGGCAAATCCTTCGTTTCCAAAGATGACTCATTATAAGGAAGGGGGAGGACGGGGCCCATCAGTTGCACTCCGGCGACAGAATAGTACTAATCCTGCTCCATTGCAGCTGCAAAGGCAAAGCCATCCTGAAGATCCCAGATTTGATGGGGTTTTTTCAGATGCAAGAGGAAAACTGGGCAGATCTAAAATGGAGGATGGTTTTAGCACCACTTTGGCGGCATGTTTAGAGAGGCCCATGGATAATCGGCAGGTGACCTGGGTGGATCTGGAGGAGCATGATCAAGGAAGGATCCAGAGAGGGGCCGTGGCCATGGACGGTCGAAGAATGCACTCACCTTTGTCCGGGGTGAAGGCCAATATCATCAATGAGCTCAGCTCCAAGCTGCAGCAGATGGGAGGCATGAAGAGCATGGACGACTGGAGCCAGACTCCCAAGTCCCCCACCATGAACAGGTTTGTACAGACATGAAGTAATTATAGAGCAGAGCTTTATGAATCACTGTCTCAGCGAGGATCAGTCAATATAATACAATGGTGTAAAAACATGACTGTCACACAATGTTTCACAGGCTGTAATAGCTGTTTTTCTAGTGTCTCTGGAGAAACGGTTAACTCCTGTGTGGTTAAAGCTGTAAATAACATGATAACAAGTACTGTACAATACTGTACAAGAATGTCCCATTGAGGTCCATCAACACTTTCCTTTGAAGTTTAACTGTATCTGTCTTTTTCAGATATTCTGCAGATTTCTCTGATGCCTTTCACAGTCCTCCGACTGGTCGCTCCACATCCCCTTTGCCCACCTCTTCACCGCAGCATCGTCAGATCCTGACCCCAAACCTGGCCGCCTCCCCGTCCGTCTCCCCCTCACCTCAAGCTCCAGTGCAGCGTAACTGGACCCGCTCTCCATCGCCACAGATTCCCACATCACCGGTCCACACTCACCCTCCACACTCCCCCACATACTGTCCTTACCCCACTTCTCCAAAGCATCGCTCCAAAATGCGGCGACAGACGTTTGATTTCCAGTGCAGCCCCACGAAGGAAATGCGATCCTCAGTGTCTCGCCGCCGCGCCCCGAGTCCTCTCATCTACAACACAGAACAGCCCAACCCTGCACCTCCTCGGCCCTCCTCCCTCCCCATACTGCCCAGCACACCTGTCTACATCGGCCCCTTTGACTTCCCTGGCCCGCTCACCCCACCCTCCCCCGGACTCCCTCTTGGAGACCCCTACCAGACTTCGACTCCCCCGCTGTACTCACCTTCAGGGATGCAGAGTCCAAACCCGCTGCTAGTCTCTCGCTCTTTATCTCCCACCCACTTTCTCTCTGGGGCGTCCTCCCCTCTGCACCTGCCCCCCAGCCCATCATGCCTCAACTTCCCTCACCTCACCCCTCCACCACCAGCCAAACCCTTTGCTGTGAAGCCCCTGCCCTACTGGACCAAATACGACGTAGCGGACTGGCTGATTTACCTGAACCTGGGGGAACACAGGGACCGTTTTATAGACAATGAGATTGACGGGTCACATCTGCCGTCGCTAACAAAGGACGACTTCTTGGACCTGGGGGTGACGAGAGTGGGTCACCGCATGAACATCGAGCGTGCGCTGAAGAAGCTCACAGACAGGTGAGGGAGGATGGACTCACTTTGGGACAACCATCAAAGTCTCAAAGGAAGTTGGGATGGTAAAGGAAGGGCATCTTCTTCCTGACAGGCTAGCTGCACCATCCATTTGTTTACCATAGCCATGTCTCTCTTTCTTAGCCATACTCTGCTCCCTATCCTTCTTAAAAGTTGCATACTTTTACTTTTAAGTCTTTCCCATTCTTATGCATTGATTTAACCTCTCTCCCCAGGGTACCCAGTTCTCCCATTCATGTCACTACTTCCCCCCAAGACACAGACTGAAGGGAGACCTTAAAGATGAATCAAAAGGGAATTATTCTTGTTCTGTCAAAGGATGTACCTGAGAAGAACTGTGGACTTCAACAGGCGTGAGGACCAAGGGCTGCTAATATGCCATACACCAATAATGCAGCCGTGTATTTTGAGACCTGGAAACTTTCTCAAATTGGAACATACTTGGATACCGTTTTGGGCTATCAACAAACTTTACATGTTCTTCTATATTCACATCCACTGACAGATGGACTGCCACACCATCTGCTGTAAGAAAACCCTTTTATAGATCAAGAGTCACAAAGTTGCTGCTTGAAAATCCACCACCGACTCTTGACGCGTTTTGCCACAAACTGTCGCGAAACGATGCATTTCACAGAGAACATGTTTTATAGCTTTAAGTACTGTACATCTGAGATTCAAATGGGTGTGAGGAATGAGTTTGTGGTCACAACAAGAAGAATCTGTTTGTAAATTATGGATGAAATTTTAAAAGAATCACAGTATATTTATGATATGCCATAACGCCCAGACATCACTCACCTGTTTTTGTAGTATCAATGTTTGATAGTATCCCCTCATGTTTGTACTGTGACGATGGCAGCCACTGGTCAGGGTATTTTTACTGTTCGCATTCAGAAAATCAGACCATGTTTTCTACAATCAATCACAAAAAACCACGATGAAAGATATTACGCGAGCGGCAAACGTGACCACAGCCGGCGAGGTGTGTTTGATGCGTAACATGGAGCAGGTGCCGTGATCGCGAAAGCTTCGGCCTCAGCGGCCTCCTCTCTGTCTGCTCCGTCTGCCTCGGCGGCCAAACGCTTTACTGAACTTACATTCATTGTAACGCCTTTGATGTTGATGGTCCAAACGCATCATTTCACTCACACATTTACTCCTATTACCTCACCTCTATGTCCAGAATGAATACATCCTCTTTTCTACACCCCATTCTTTGACGAGATATGCTCAAGAGCTCAATGTAAATCATCATTATTTGTCACTGGTAATAGATTATGAGGCAACAACCCATTTATAGACCTATAGTATATTTACGACTATAGCATACCATAGCATAGTACTATATTAAGACCATAGACCTTCTTAAGAATCTTTGTCTTCCAACACACGAGGACAAATTCTCTTAAGATTAGTTTTATATCGCTCAATGCTTTCTATACTGCTGGCATTGTGGTCACTGACGTTTCCCATGATGCACTTCCTTCTACACAGCAGGTGGATGGACTCTGAAACGGCAGTAGTGTAGAAAGCATTGCAGACTTTGATTTAGGTGTAGTGAACTGCATAACGAATGCACTTACAACAATATGACCATAAGTATGCCGAGATTAAAGTATATAAATAAATGAATATATAAAGTTTTGTTTAATAAAATACAGTATATATATATAATGATGAATATTATGATAGAGTTATAACTAAGGTGTTGAAATAAAAAGGTAAAATGATCCGGTTCTCTTCTCCTTCATTCTCTAGACTTCTGGCAGCCACACTATCGAGATGGCTGCACGATGCATTGTTTTTCCCAGGATTACTTTCCCAGCAGGCTTTGCACACTAATTGCACAAAAGAGAAGATGAGATGAGCTTAATCCAAAACAAGTGGCTTCTTCACTCATGCAGAGAACTTAAGAGTTGCCTGCGAGGCTCGGGAGAAACTTGGATCGTGATGAATACGGGCTGTTTGCGATGACGGTGGCCTATTCCAGCTTCATTATGATCCAATGTAAATATAAAGTCTTTGTTAGCTTCACGTTGCCCAGGATTTAGTTTTGGGCACGGCCTGTTAGCAATTAGCAACAGCGCACATGTCAGAGGTGGTTGTTCTGAGTGGAGACACCTCTGCCCTTAAGCCTGAAGACTGTTGAAACACGGCCAAGACTTACACATAGAAAATAGAAACACGCTTGTATGTTATTGCAAACGTTTAACTGCACAGCTTTTGACAGTGCAAAAACATTCCCATTAAATGCACTCGGGTCGTGTGTGAGGTAATGTAATGACTTAGGTGACTTTGTGTTGCAGACATTCAGAAATGTGTTTGCAGAGTTTGAACTCACTCAAACAGGGACTGTACTCTCTCACTTTGGGGTTTACAAAAGCTCTTTTTATGAATCTTTCCACCGAAAATCAATGGTAAAGTGAATGTCAGTTACTTATTGTATCAAATTGTTAAGAGAGAGACTTTTTAAGACACGCAGCTTCCTGATTGGTCGAAATGAATTTAAATTTCGGAGGCCTCTTTTCATTGGTTAAACTATTCTCTTCACAAAAAAAAATCTGGTCGTGATTTTTACTATTATTATTGTAACACTTTAGATTAGCCCTCATCCTAATCCTAACCCACATTGGAAAGTGTTAGTTAATAGTTAGTTAGACGTAGAATAAGGACTATAAAGTAAGTAATCTTTTTTATATAGCGCATTTTTACAGATCATGATCACCCAATGTTCAGATTTCAGATATTGTTTTAATCATGACTGAAACGAGACGCCAAACACTCTCGACCGTCAAAGCCTCCAACCAACAACCTCCATTCAACAACATCCTCGTACTTTAAGACCTATTATACATGTTTTTAGTGGTAGGGGTAAACAGGAGCATCCGAAACCAGACACAGGGAGAACATGCAAACTTCACTTAGAAAGACCCGGTTCTGACTAGAATTCAAACCCAGGACATTCTTGCTAAGAAGTGAGAATAATATGTTAATTAGTGAGGGCAAAACTAAAGTGTGACCGGGAATACTTGTGTATGATAGAACTGCTTTGTGGTCAGAAATGAATATTCTTGTAAAAATGAAATAGTTTAAGTTTTTCTGACATCACCTTTAACTCTCAATTACAGTAATCCTTGTTATAAGCTTCATATCCCCATAGTTTATATAGGGTAGAGAGGTTTATAGCGGTGGTTTACCCTTAAGTGTGTTAAGATGTGCCACTTTTCGTCCGTCTGTCTGGTAACTATTAGTTCTTGTTTTGCACACAGTATATACAGCCTTGATCTGAACGGAGAATGTCAATGTAAACCACATGTTGGTGCCAGAGGTGCATTGCCGGGCTGTGGATGACGCTACTCCGCTCCCCTGGCTTTTGTCCCAAAGAAAACAGCACCCATGGAGGTAAAGTCTGTACTCACCATTACAGCCCTGGGACTGTGGGCCTGAGCAGTGACCAGTGCGAGAAGGTCACAGAGCAAACCCTCACGGAGCAGATGGAAACATGTGGCACATATGTAGCTTGACAGGACGGCCCCTCCAGTGTAACACGCCAACACTAATGATCTCACATGACTTTGTGCCACAGTAACACAGATCTGTGACCACTGCCGGGTCAAAGTAAGGCAGCCCTGTCTCATTAGCACCATATTGAGACAGGCCCAGGGAGGGATGGGCATAGGAGGGTAGGAGGGGGACTCTTCCAGCTGTTTTAATACTAGCTCAGTGTGGACAGTCCATGTTAAAGCACTAGTTAAACAAGGCAGACATGGAGCTTCAATAAGGAGAGCTGAAAAGTCAAGGCACTTCTGGGACTGACACAGGCCTTGAAAGGTAAGATCCTCCCTCCTTTTTTTCACTGTTTGCCCTATAGCATATTAACAGCACAGAGATCACCAGGTTTTCATGTCCACACCCACTTCTGAATCAACACAGTGTGAGTGTAACTTTAAGTGCCAAGGGGAAGAAATTGGGTCAGTGAGAGAGGGAAGAGTTTGTGTTAGAGGAGGAGAGAGGCGCGGGGATGGGACAGGGGGAGATGGACTCACAAATGGAGTAGGAGACCCTCAAGCGGCCCTACCGGTATCAAGTGAGCACTTGAGTAATCAGTGGTGATTCAGGGAGACATGTAAGTGCTGTTTTGTGCCTGGTGTGACTGCTCCGCTGCTGCTTTGTGTGCTGTGAACTTCCACTTCGCTTGTGCATTGAGCACTTTGACATGACAGAGGCCTGGGCTGCTCTTTCAATGTTACCACAAGAAACAAAAAGTGTGTGGCAAACTATGAGGCGGCAGTAGAAAGGAGTTTGGCTGTAGCCTGTAGTACGCAGCAGCCTCTGTGCCATGTTGTGTCTATAATGAGGTATGGTTAGTCACTTTCATATTAGTCAGGCTTGTGTCAGCACTCCCCACAAGGCCAGAGTGAGGCGTATTATCTGCCTGTTTGCTTGTCCTTTCCTTTTGTTTGGTCTATCAGTCACTGCAACCAGAACAGGACTTTTACACTGCTCTCTTATACAGATTTCCAATACATTGAAAGGCTCATGATATAGCTTTGAATTAGTCTGAGCGTTGGTGAAAGATGACCTTTCCTCGCTGTTTATTTTGGGAAAGCAACAGGAAGAATGCCGTGGCAGCTGCTCTATTCCTGCTGTCAGATCCCACCCTGTGAATTCCAGTCTGCCCCTGGAGCACTCCCCCTTACTCATGCAGCCGGCATGAGACTCAGATGTAGCGAGGTTGTGAAAAAGCACAAGTTGTTATGGTTATGTCCCCAAACCAAACACACGCGGTTAATAGTCAGCCACCAGTGACTTCCTCTCCGTCACATTTGTCAGTAGAGACGTCCAAACTGTGGCATGATAATGGTACCTGTCCGCCTCTGTGTGTGCGTTCTAACCAGTCTAACTGCTCTTGTGACAATATCCCTCTTTGCTTCTTCATGACAGACATCTTTCCACCATGGCCAGCCTCCCCAAGGAGCCTCCAGAGGATCCCAAGAAATTAAGTTTCTGGATGGTGAGAAACAGACTGGAACTAGTACAAAGTTGTATATAATCTTAACCACATACTGTTATTTTTTGTTTTTTGTTTTATCAGCCCGGGAATTATGTCCGGACCGTGCGCAGAACTGACCAGTCGTTCCAGGCCTCCAATGATCTGATGGCCTGCTTTCTAGAAAGAGCCAAAGTGGAGAAACAGTACGCCCAGCAGCTGAGCCAGTGGAGCACCAAGTGGAAGACAATCGTGGACTCCAGTAAGTTCAGAATTGTTCTTTTTACCACTTTGCACCAAAAGTTAAAGACTGATTTGGAAGTGACGGATATTAATGTCGTGTCAATGTAACAAGGCCATGTCTTTTCTGGTTCTTGCTATCATTTCTATTGCTATTAACAGTCGGGAGTGGAGTACACCAGTGGACCTTTCTGCCCTTTGTAGTCCTGAACCAGCGTAGACAGGCCATCAGCACCCACAGATTTTAAAGGGGAAATCTTGTGTTGTTTTTAGGCTTAAAATTTGATACTATTTTATACCATTTATATCGTTCTCCATGATCGTTTTTTGTGTCTGGTTGTCTTAACGCAGAAGAAGCCGATTGGAGCAAACTCAGGCTCCGGGGGCGGGAATCTGGAGCTATATCCCAGGGTAGCAACAACCTAGCAACGGAATAGTCAATTAGGAGCGTCGCTGTTCTGTTCCCACTTGTGCTACTCCGTGACAGAGACACAAACAGTTACATAGCAATGGGAGTTTACTTTTCAATGAAATGAAGCCAGAGGGGGTTGGAGCAAAACTCTGTCCACGAGCACTTCCTTATGAGGCTTTGTTGAGCTAGCATTGCAAGCATTGTCAGTCTATATACAGTCTATGTCTGTAACATTCCATGGAGGCGCATTATAACCTCAGACTGTAAATGCTAGTAAGTTATTTATACATTAAAATCATATGGCAGACCCGCTGTAATACCCCTCTCCAGCACAGGCCACAGAGAAGCTTTAGGGACGTAGAATTTCCCCAGAAAACTGCAAAGTGCTTAAGTAATGCCTGTTTTAAAAAGGGGTAAGTAACAGTAACAAGAGAGAGTGTCGTCTCAGAGCAGTAAAGGCGTTAGCATGTAGCCGTTCACAGTGAAGGCCAAGCCCTGGGTATCCAAGATGGCGCCGTATTCAAATGAATGGTTTGTGCTCAGTGGCGCTTTGTACCGGCATGGTCGCTGACATATTAGCGGAACTCGCAAAGATCCAGGGGAAACTCGCCTGTATTTGGGCATCGTCTGGTCGTCCCGGTTCTGCGCAGTGGATGATCTCCCATGATGCATTGCGCCAAATACGCATGTGTGGTTCTCATGCATGTGCACAGAGGGGCTCAGCCGCACTCTGACCAATCAGAACTGCTGATGAGTTAGAGCGGGAGTTAGAGCGGGAGCCAGACGAGCAGAGTTTGAGGTAGTAAAGTGTGGATTTAAAGAAAACCGAAGGATTTCTTTAAAATAAATCCTTCTAAAGAAAAAAGAAGGATTGACAAGGGACACTAAAATCTCCCAAAATCCAATCTTTATGTAAGCTGTAGGTTCTCTGTCAGCTGAGGTTGAGCTGTTTTAGTTTACATTGAGTTCTATGGGGAAAATTTCTGGGTAGCCCACGTGAATTTAGTCTGGTTTAGTCTACAGTACCGCGAGAATCCCCCGAGCACATGAGTTCTTCAGCTCCAAGCTAGTAATACCCTATATCCAGTTATTATAATAGATCCATGGCGTTAGCATGTAGCCGTTCACACATCCGCTTTTCATCACGTCCTCATGAACTGTTGATTGCTATGAGTCTGTTCTCTCACGCTCTCTCTGTCTGTCTCTCCCTTTCTCTTTCTCTCTCTCTCTTGCTCTCTTGCCCTCGCACTCTCTCTTCTCTCTTTCTCTCTCACTCTCTCGCCCTCTCTCTCTCTTTCTCTCTCTCGCTCTCCCTCTTCCTCTCCCCCTCTCTATACCCCTCTCTCTCTCTCTCGGCCTCTCTCCTTCTCCCTCTCTCTCACTCTCTCTCTCTCTCTCCCTCCCTCTCCCTCTCTCTCTCTCTCTCCCACTCTCCCTCTCTCTCTCTCCCTCTCTCCCTCTCCCACTCTCTTTCCCTCCCTCTCTCCCTCTCCTTCCCCCCCTCTCTCCCTCTCTCTCTCTCTCCCTCCCTCTCCCTCTCTCTCTCTCTCTCCCACTCTCCCTCTCTCTCTCTCCCTCTCTCCCTCTCTCTCTCTCCCTCTCTCCCTCTCCCACTCTCCTTCCCCCCCTCTCTCCCTCTCTCTCTCTCTCTCTCTGTGGCCTGCCTCTCTGTCCCTCAGGGCCTCTGTATGGCTCGCTGATGAAGGCGTGGCAGTGTTTCTTCACCTCCACCGAGCGCCTGTCTGCTCTGCACTCGTCCATCTCCCAGGCCCTGGTGGAGGAGGAGGGGGCACGGGTCAAGAGCTGGCAGAAAGAGACCTTCCCCAAAAAGATCTTCTGCGGCTTCAAGGAGAGCTACGAGAACAAGAGCAGCTTCTCACGCGCACAGAAGCCCTGGACCAAGAAGATGCTCAAGGTGCGACACCCGAGAAACACGGCCTTGGAGAAAGAAGCCGAGTCAAACTATTTTGGGGTTGAGATAAAAAAGTGAATCTTAAAGTTGTTTTGATCCCTCTTTAGTTCAGCCCTCACTTATAAACAGCTGATTAACCCTTTAATGGTTTCTTCAACCGTTTGGTGGATCAGTTTTTTGAGCTTGGAACTCAAATCTACCTCTACATCTCACTTTTACCATCAAACTGCATCTTAAATTTTTGCCCTAGGATTTTAGCAAAAGAACCGCCCTCTCCACTTTTGGGAGGAACATTAACCTTGATGATCCAGAAGTAGACAATTAATTATTAGTAGACATTTGGTAAACGCTTATGATTTAACAAAACTAGGGGTTAAACTACACGTGTTATTAGTGCCCTACATCTTAAAAAAACGAGAAAAAAACTGCTTTCTTCAAGTAAGTCGATAATATTTATTTATACAGCCCATTTTTACAAACCAAGGTCGCCCAAAGCGCTTTATAATGTTCAGATATTGTTCCATTCTCTCCATTCATTCTCTCATTATATTCATTCATTGTATCCTCATAGATGTTTTAGTGGTAGGGGAAACCGGAGCACCTGGAGGAAACCTACTTAGACATGGGAAAAACATGCAAACTCCACTCAGAAAGGCCCTGTTTCGACCAGGATTCGAACCCAGGAACTTCTTGCGTATGGTTAATTAGCTCTTTATTGGTATTTATTAAGCCCTTATTAATCCTTTTTCTACATGGCCTTATTCAACTTTTAACTAATTACGAACTGACACTTTCCCACGTACAGGATACACTTATTATGGTGGTTATCAGTTTGTTCTTCTCTGGTAGATTTCTCTGAACAAAATGAGTTCTTACTGTTTGGAAAGAACCAAAAATTGATTTTTTTTTTTTTTTTTTTTTTTAATGTAAGAAAGACCCTATACTGTTTAACTTCTAATCACATGCTCAATTTGTGATAACTGGATGATGTTGTTTAAAAATCATTTCAGGGGCCGCTCAAACTAGTCCCACCTGAGCTACAGTGATGACTTAAAAACATGAACAAAACTCTGTCAGAAAAATATTACGTAGAGCAATAACAATGATAATAGTCTGTGGTCTCCCTCTCACACGCGCACAGAATATCACAAAAGTCTAGATTTGTCAAATAAGTGAAATATTATTCTATACTGGCAACATTAGCTAGCATGTATTTAGCATCTGCCATCTACTGGTACAGAATAATTAAACTCACAAACTATGGCTTTGCTCAAGGTCAGGGAGCACAAATCCAGAACAGAAGTTAACCCTTAAGGCGCCACAGGTTTCTCAGAGAGTGTTGTGAAACAGGTGGAGCCAAAACAGAGATAAAAGGAGAAAATAGTAAGTAAGTAATAGTTATTTATATAGCGCCTTTCACAGACCAGAGTCACAAAGCGTCACAAAGTCTCACTCCACAGAGAGATGGGAGCGGGGCCAGAACAGGAGACCTATTGCACATGTTTTTAGTGGTAGGGGAAACCGGAGCACCCAGAGGAAACCTAGGCAGACACGGGGAGAACATGCAAACTCCATTCAGAAAGGCACGACCGGGATTCGAACCCAGGACCTTCTTGCTGTTATGGTTATATCAGTACAGCCCCAATCGCACTCCATGTCAGCTCATACTTTAGGCCTACAGTACATTCCTAAATTCTTAAGTTAGCGTGACAGAAAACATACGTGTGCTGATGCGTGTGTGTGTTGTGTGTTGTGTGTGTTTGTGTGTGTGTTTGTGTGTGTGTGTGAGCAGCTGGAGAAGGTCCGAGAGTCCTACCACAAAGCCTGTCAGAGGGAGCTAGCCGCCAGCGACAAAGACAAGCAGGCCAACGACAACCCCGAGCTGAGTCCGGAGAAGAAACAGAAGTTCAGCGACGCCAAACTCAAGCTGACGGAGGAGAAGGAGAGGGTGAGGACAGACCCCCCCCCCCCCTCTCTCCCCCCACCCCCTCTCACTCACTCACTCACTCACTCACTCACTCACGGCCACTGGAGACGAGAGGCCCTTATGATGAAATACTACGTTTCCCCTAACAACGTGTGTTTCATTAGCCTGATGCATGTGGTAATATTTATTTGTTCGATTCTAAACATGACCCCCAGCCTCTGGTCTCGGCCCCAGACGTTCCCTTGTACGGGGCCGTGTTATTGTTAAAGCCCTCGGTGTTTATGAAGTCCACCCTGGGAACCGTGAAGGCAGGGTTTATACATGTTATGGACGGTATAGGCCTGCTGCAGATGGAGGACGGAGAGAGCGCTTCCTGAGGCCTTCTCACAGTAAGACTCTCTGTGTTTGGTGCAGATCAAGGAGCGCTATGAGAAAGTGCTGGAGGAGGTCACCACCTACACGCCCCGCTACATGGAGGAGATGGAGGCCATATTCGAGCAGTCGCAGGAGGAGGAGAGGAAGAGGATCAGCTTCTTAAAACAGGCCTTCCTCTCCATCCACCGACACCTGGACGTCACCAACAACGAGAGGTGACGGCTGTTTGGACGACGCTGGGTTTAGGTTTGATGCAAAGAGGCATTATTAAAGCCAGATCCCCAGACCTCTGAAGCTAAGCAGGGCAGGGTATGGTTAGTACTGTGATGGGAGACCTCTGGGAACACCAGGTGCCACAGTGGAGCGGCTGTAAAGTGCAAGACACTACTCCAGATTACTATGAGTGTGTGTGTGTGTGTGTGTGTGTGTGTGTGTGTGTGTGTGTGTGTGTGTGTGTGTGTGTGTGTGTGTGTGTGTGTGTGTGTGTGTGTGTGTGTGTGTGTGTGTGTGTGTGTGTGTGTGTGTGTGTGTGTGTGTGTGTGTGTGTGTGTGTGAGAATGGTTGATGTTGGTTGGACTGGTGCCTCGCTTCGATCAGTGTGCCCCAGGGCAGCTGCGGCTACAGTAGTAGTCAATCCCCACTGTGAATGGAATGATAGAATAATGACATATTATGTATCTGTAAGCGTCAAAAAATGTAAAACTGATGCATTAATTATGATTATTTAATTATTTATTTATTTACTATGGATTCCCCTTTGAGCTGAACGATCTCTTTTTCAAGGGTTTTTTTTTTTACTGCAAGTCTTTTCCATGAGGGGAAATGAAATAGGAACCAAAACTGCAGGAAGTGTAATTAAGAAAATGACAAAAGGCTCAGAGGTCTGGGGTCGTGTCTCAGCAGAAGACGTGTTTATTGCTGGTAAACGATACAAACAGAGTTTTGCAGCGTGGACATAGTTTTTATACCAGACAAAACAAGGACAAGGACTTCTCAGAATCTGCCAATTTCACCAAGTCTTATGAAAGATCGATATTATTCATAGTGAAATAAAACCAACCGCAAGGAACAAACTTGGGATGAACAATGGACAGACACAAAGAGGTCAATGGGACGTGAAGGAGAACTCAAAAAAGACGTCAAAATAATGAAAGACCACACTATGTCGAGTCCAAACACAGAAATCTCAATCAAATGGCAAAAAATTTACTTTACAATTACAAAGTACCACTGGCAAAAGGGACATGAGTAAAAATCAAAATACTTCTAATAATACTGCTTACCTTTTGTCTCAAGTCTTAGTTCCGTGTATAGTTTTAGACGTACGCAGCTAAATCCCATGGCATGGCTTTTATCTGTTGACTTTCTACTGGTTGTGGGTCAACATTTCTTCTGGACCAATGGCTCATGTGTTTTTTTATCATTCCATTTCCTGTGTATGACCTGTTTGATTCTCTGATCTGTGTTGGCGAATCGACAGCTCTGTAAAGTCCTCTGAGATAACTACTGTTTGATTAATGGGCTTCACAAAAACACATTGAAGTGAAAGTGTAAATAATGTCGTGTTCCAGTGTGAAAGCCGTGTACAGCGACCTCCACGACACGCTCATGGCCATCAGCGAACAGGACGACCTCAAATGGTGGAACCACAACCACGGCCCCAGCATGCCCACGGACTGGCCCAAGATCCAGGTGAGTCTACAAGCTCGGAGCCAGAGGCAACAACAGCCGTCCGAGCAGAACCATGTTAAAAGTGTGTGTGTTGTGTTTGTCACAGGAGTGGGTTCCACCTGTTAAAAAACTGAAGCGAAAGAAGAGAGACCAGACGGCAAAAGAGCGTCCGTAAGTGGTCACACGCTCACAAAGCTCTGAGAAGGACTGTGTGTGTTATAATGGACCTGTGTGTGCGTGTGTGCGCGTGTGTGTGTGTGTGTGTGTGTATGTGTGTGCGTGTGTGTGTGTGTCAGGGTGATGATAGGAGGAGTGAAGGTGCGAGCTGTCTATGACTACACAGGAGAAGAAGGAGACGAGCTTTCCTTTAAAGCAGGTAAAGAATAAGAATCATTTTAAATAAAAAGTACAAATGTGACTAATGTATCACTTGCTCAATAAATGTACGGTGTCAGGGGCCGAGCAACACAAAAACGGGCTGATCAAGGCCAAAAGAATGAATAATAATAATCAAAACTGGACCAATTATGAAGTTTAACATACATTTTAGGATAAATGAAGAAGTTTATCTCTTGTTCGTCCCACAGTGGGGAAATTTCAGTTCGATGAATACACATATAAACATCAAGGCAGCGTACAATTACTTCCGAGCTCCTTTTATAGACAAAGTGGGTTAAGTGTCTTGCCCATGGACACAACGACAGCAGGCATCAGTGGGAGTCGGTGGAGAAGATCCCATGGTCGGCTTGAACCCACGACCTTCAGGCTCAAAGGCCAATGCTCTACCAACTGAGCCACTGTCGCCCTAATTAAATGCAGTTGTTTATCTGAGATGGGTGACGTCACATGTCGAGGTCGTCCGTTACCATCAATGCTGCAGGTTTATATTAGTCATTAAAAATCATGATGGGGGGCGCTGAAAACAGTCTTGAGGCCGGATCTAACCCACGGGCCTGAGTCTGTCTGGTTCATCAGCAGCGAGGGGGTAATTCCATGAGTCTGTGATAAAGTTGAATTGATTCATTGATCGTTTTTACCGTGACCAGAGGCAGCGTTCTTACAAAGTGGTTCTGAACAGAGTAAAAAGCTGAGCAGTGATTGGAGGAAAGTGTTTGTTCTTCTCTGGTATCGACTCATCAGGTTTTGGCAGATGATGAAAGGCAAAGTTTCGACATCAGTTTTCCACATAAACAGAAAGAGCTGAGCGAGACTAATGAATGAATCCTCTGATGTGTGCATGAAGGACAGGTCGCCTCCAGGGCAGCTGTGGCTACAAAACTAGATCATCTCATTATTGAAATCACGTCTATATGATGCCTTTTCTTCATGTCTCTTTTGTGTTTTCTCTGAGTTTTATGTGACTCTGTGATTGTGTGCTTGCTGTGACTCTAATAAGCTCCTGTGTCCTGAATGTTCAAGGATAATATTTATGCAACCGACCATAGTAAACGTGGAATATGTTAAAGTTGAGAAATCGCAAAATATTCCAGACTCGAAGCGCGATACTTACTGCACCGCAATAATAGTGAATGGCAGCCCAGATATCGCAACACACTCGATTTTTACCGTCTCCCAGCCCTGCTCCTGACCTGGTGTTGTGTTTGTTGTTGTGCAGGTGAAGTCTTCCTGAAGGTGGAGGAGGAGGACGACCAGGGCTGGTGTCGGGGCGTGCTCAGCGGGGGCAGGGAGGGCTTCTATCCGGCCAATTATGTGGAAGCTGTGGAGTGACGTGTCAAAATCTGTTTCCTCACGTTTTATGAATGAAGTCTACCACTATATTTCTGAATACAAAGAATCCTGTCAATGAGAACTGTGGATCTGTGGAATATGTACAAAGCAAGACATTGAGATGAATGTATTTATTTATATAGGCCTAAATAGATGCGTTTCAAGACCAGGTTTACGCCGCGTGCGTTTAATCCAGTTACTGTTTACTGTTTTTGTTTTAGATGGAACACATTTTCAGAATAAAAGATTGTTTGTTATTGAATGTCCAAAAACAATATTCTGTATTTTTCTGTGCACTTCGACCTCCTAAAGCTACTGTCTGTGTCCGGCACGTGTTGCAAAAGCAGAACTATGCTTCAAATACGATGGACTTTGTTTTTATATCAGTAATTAAAGAAACAGCTCTGTTCGTTTACACACATTCTGCTTTTTCGGCTGTTTTTGACTCGACTTGTGGGCAGTGATATAATATTCTGTGCCATAAATATCTTGCAGCAGTTCTGATTTACCACAGCAGTATTTCAGGGCGACACCTACAGCAAATGTTTAACCACAACAGAGCAGTGAGATAAGACGCCGCTGAAACCAGCTGCACTACTGTAAAAGACAAAGTGAGAACCTGTCGAGCAACATACAGCACAGCTCTCACCGCTCCACTCTCTGCTCCGCTTCGTAAGTCAGATTTCTACACTTTTACATGTATTTCAGTGACTTCCTAAAGACAGATGTGTTTGTAGTGATTACAGAGATTACTGTAATAAACTATTCATTATGCGGCAGGAAGAACATCAATGGAATTTGCGAGTGGATTTGTTTATGTGCTGCCTCCACAAGGTGCCTTTAAAAGATCAGGTAAAACTCAGGCTTTAACATTAACTGCTACATTAGAGTATTAATAATACTTATAGTATTAATACTACTTATAGTATTAATACTGTATGTAGAATTGATACTACACATAGTATCAATACTACATGTAGTATCGATACTACATATAGTATTGATACTACATGTAGTATTATTAGGGGTGGGCATAATATATCGTAGACAATAATATCGTGAAAGTCAATTTGAAGATTTGCTTTTTTTGTATTATCGTGCTTTTTATTTTCCAAAACATATTATAATTAGAGAAGGACAGATTCCCGTTCGTCTGATGTGCCTAAAAAGCCAATCACTGCTTTATTTGTACATTTCAGTAAATATTGATCCTTTTTAGATGTGTTCTTTCTGTGTTACTTGAATTTTATTTTTAATGTTAATATATGTTTGTGCTTGTTTTGTGTGAAGCACTTTACAAATAAAAAGCTTCTTTTTAGATCTGCACTGTCTCTATCTAGAGGTGCCCTGGCAAAAAAACATTATAGATCGTTTTGTGTAAAAATGATTGATTTTAAAGATACCGTAACAATATCTTTATCGGGAGTTGGGAAAAAAATATTGAGATATTTATTTTTGTCCATATCGCCCACCCCTAACTATTATATATGTAGTATTACAAATGGTACTACTACATAGTATATGACTGTTATGAGCACAGTCAGACCGGGAGCATACACACAAACATGTTTATCATTTTGAACATTATTCATTCTCGCCACATGTGGTGGTATGTTGCTGTTCTAGCCACAGCTGCCCTGAGGCAGGTTGACAGATCCAAGCCTGTTGCCTCCACCATTCACAAATACAGTTATTTACATCCTCTCGCTCATCTAACAAAAGGACATTGGAAATGTGTAGATTCTGGGTGTGTAATAATATATATGATACAAGTATGAGTATGTGTATAAAGTATTCCCACAGTATGTTATACTACAGTATACTACAGTATACCACAGAGTACCTTTGAGAATAGTACTGTCATTCATGCTTTGCCCCCAGCTCTGCTGCCCCCACAGAAGTGTGTCCGTCCTCGCACACCGCCTCCCCCTCCTCCCACCCACAGCAGACACACGTCCTCAGCCTCCAAGGCCCCGGAGCAGCTCCCGGCGCCCAAGGGGAAGAAGGAAACAGCCACAACTTTCTATGAAAATGCCACATTACACTGTAAAGCTCTTTCTGCCTGTGCACCGTCTCCAACGACAACGAAGAGGACAGGTGAGGGGCCCTCACTCACTGCAGGGCGACGCAGTGGTTAGCACTGGAGCTTCACATGAAGGTCCTGGGTTGGATTTCACCTCCAGACCTGAAGTGTGGAGTTTGCATGTTCTCCTTGTGTATGTGTAGGTTGAAAGGATTTGTTGTAATACATTGATAGTTTAAGTTAATCATTATTGAATCTTGTTTTATAAATAACTAACATGGTCATGGTTTTGTAAATATGAAACAAAGTGTCTTCCTGCAGCCCTCTTGCCCCCGCACATGCGCTCCTCTGAGCCTAAGCCTCGTGCTGCTTCATACAGTGAACCCTGGAGCCCCAACAGTCAGTATGACACCCCTGTCCCTGAGCCCGACATCAGGAGCTCGCCCTGGGACCCCAACTACTCCTACAACATCCCCGAGAGCAGTGACAGCAGCGGCCTGTATGAGACCCAGCCTCCAGGCAGACCCAGCATCACGTCCAGTGAGCACGGAGCACCTTTAAATGTTCCAAACACAACTTTAACATTGTTTTTGTGGTAGCTCCAACTCTCCCTCCTCGACCTGTGAACTTGCAGCCGATGCCTGAGTATTTGATGGTTCTACCGTCACAGTCGTCTCCATCAAAACCAACTCCGCCTGTGGAAAAAAGCACCAAAGGTTTGTTGTGAGTCTGATGTTGACAAAACTGTGGCTCACTGTTGTTGCTGCAGGTCTCGACAAAGGACCTCTTCCTGGAAACCCCAACGTTGTCCTTGTGAGTGCAGGAAAGCTCCTCTCTGAAGAAGGAGGTCAGCCACACACTCATGTCATGATGTCATTTACTCATATTCACACATTCATAATGGATTGATGCTTTAGTGCGGCTCATTCAGGGAGAGCCAGTGTCCTGCTCCAGGTGCGGCTCGGTGCTGGACTCCATCTACGCCAATGTGGTAAACACTTTTAACACTTAAAACTCCCACAACGGTAAAAAAGACGGCTTTTTGTTTTGGAAGTGAAATTACTATTACTATTGTTTATGTACGTTTTTGGCCTGGACTTTTTCTATTTCTTAATGTTCTTCTATTTCTTAATTTCTTATTTCTATGCAGTAATGTTCATGAAATGACCCTGAGCCGAGACATTGACAGTAAATATTGAGAGCAACCTCAGCTTGGAGCCAGTGCTTGTTACCATAGCAACACACTGTTTATGTACAATACAATACAATTTATTCTTGTATAGCCTTAGGTCACAACAGAAGTCATCTCAGAGACCTAACAAAACCATTGAAATCACCAACACAGGTCAGAGAATCAACAGTTAACACATGAAGAATATAAAGCACACACAGAAGAAAATGTCCATACATGTTGTAGAATGCTAAAGTGTCCTGATCATTACCAATCCTTTCTGTTGGACACTAACTGTCCAACAAGACCCTCCTGCATCGACAAGGAAAAACTCTTAAAAAACCCAATGGGAAAAAGTGAGAAACCTTGGGGAGAACTAGGGAAACCCACAGGGAGGGAGACCCATATGAGAAAGGGATCCGCTCCTCCGGACGGACAGGCTAATGATCCAGGACCTAAGCTAGCTACAGAACGTGGACCAGTGGACCAACTTACAACAGTTGGCATTTAGTTTTGCCATATTTCATTTATATTTACCAGTTTTATTATGTGTAAACGATATAAGCCAACATACCTAATTTTTCTTCTAGTGAAAACCTAAAACTGTAGAATTTCGTTTATTAAAGCCGTCAAAATGACTGCTCTGGGTTCTGTATTTTTTTTAAATTTATTTATGGTGTTGACAGAACAGTGAATGTGATTTATGGACATCACATTAGACTCATCGTTCACAGGTGGAGGTGTGTTACTTCTGTAAGGACAAGCACACGAATGTCCCCATAAGTGTCCCGGAGCAGCCGCAGGATATCCTGTTTTCACTCAGCCCAGAGCCAACACCTCAGCCGGACCCCCTCCTCCTCTTCTGCATCGACACCTCTGGCTCCATGTCCATCACCTCACAGGTCAACAGCACTGCACATACGGTCTCTCTCAGGCCCGGTGTAGCAGGCCAGTTTAACCCCGCCCAGAATATACCTGCGGTTATATTTTAAAATGTTATTTATTTTTTTATTTCTTACTAAATACATTTAGGAAAAGATATGATTTATGAAATAAACTATTCTATATAAAACTATAACAATCTCCTAATACTCCCGTACTGTACTTTACAGTACCATACAGCAATATGCCCATTTTTAAGGAATCCTAATATTGAATACAAGTATATTTAAATATAAAACAATTTACAGAAAAAAGGACTGCACTCTATGCGTACATCACAGGTTTTTTTTATTCAAAAACAACAGTTGACGCATCAGCAGTCACAATAAGGAAGCAAGATGTAACTCTTCCATGATCCAATGAGAAGTCAGGAAACACATTGAGCCAAAGAGACTCTTCAACACAGACACATGCGCAGTGAAGCAGTGAAGCAGTGAAGCAGTGAAGCAGTGAAGCAGTGAAGCAGTGAAGCAGTGAAGCAGCGGCTGCAGAGTCTGAGACACTGACACGTTTGTCACGTGACCGCTTGTTTTGATACACGCTCCAATGCAGTGTTTCGAAGCAGTTTGCTCTGAAAGAGCGACACAAGCTGCGTAGCATCGGTGTCATTTGCCCATAATTAATATTTACTCTAAAGTTCCAAAGGTGCTTTCACACCGCCAACGCTGGAATGCTGCCGGCTCGCGCACCAGACGCATGTACATGGAGGTGACTTTATATAACAGCAGTATGTGTTCACGGAGGTGACTTTATATAACAGCAGTATGTGTTCACGGAGGTGACTTTATATAACAGCAGTATGTGTTCACGGATGTGACTTTATATAACAGCAGTATGTGTTCACGGAGGTGACTTTATATAACAGTAGTATGTGTTCACGGATGTGACTTTATATAACAGCAGTATGTGTTCACGGAGGTGCGCCACACGTTTATTTTATTATTAAACGGTACTTCCACATTGGCGAACACGCTCAAAGCGGTTGCATAAAGTCACGGGAGCATGACAACACATACAGTATGTTCACAAGCACTGTGTCCCCCATTGTCAACCCTGGTTTAGTCCTGGTTTTAGTCCTGGTTTTGTCCTAGTTTAGTCCTGGTTTAGTGCTGGTTTATTCCTGATGTAGCTCCTGTTTTGGCTGTTTACAGTATGTTTAGTCTGCTCGCTCAGACTAATGTCCCTGTGACCACTTTGCTGCTCTCTGATTGGTCGCTCCACGAGCGTCCCGAGGAAACGCACAGCAATATTTATCTCCAGCGTGCGTTGATTTTCTGCTCCTGCGTCTCTACAGCGCAGTCCGTGCGTGCGTCCCGAGATGCACAAACATGTCACCATTGAACTTGCATTGAAAGTCGACGCAGCATGATCCGGTGTGAAAGCACCATAAGATGAGTAGATACATGGAGTCATCACCTCACAACTTATTCGGGCAGCAGTAAATAATGAACAAACTACTTCTAAATGATTTTAAATAATTTTGAAGTTTTAAAAATATATTCAATAACGTATATTTTATTATTATTAGATAAAACAAGAGGGGGGTTAATCTGGCCTAAGGCGGGAATATACCCCGGTATATTCTGGCCTATGCTATTTTAACCCCGGGGTGTAAACTGGCCAGGGGATATAAAATGGCCTGTTACACCGGTCTCTCTTTCTCTCTCTCTCTCTCTCTCTCTCTCACCCTCTCTCTCTCTCTCTCTCTGTCTCTCCCTCTCTCCCTCTCTCTCTCTCACCCTCTCTCTCTCTCTCTCTCTCTCTCTCTGTCTCTCTCCCTCTCTCTCTCTCTCTCTCTCTCTCTCTCTCTCTCTCTCTCTATCTGTCTCTCTCCCTCTCTCTCTCTCCCTCTCTCTCTCTCCCTCTCTCCCTCTCTCTCCCTCTCTCCCTCTCTCTCCCTCTCTCCCTCTCTCTCTCTCACCCTCTCTCTCTCTCTCTCTCTCTCTCTCTCTCTCTCTCTCTCTCTCTCTCTGTCTCTCTCTCTCTCCCTCTCTCTCTCTCTCTCTCTCTCTCTCTCTCTCTCTCTCTCTCTCTCTCTCTCTGTCTCTCTCCCTCTCTCTCTCTCCCTCTCTCTCTCTCTCTCCCTCTCTCTCCTCTCTCTCTCCCTCTCTCCCTCTCTCTCTCTCTCTCTCTCTCTCTCCCTGTGTCTCTCCCTCTCTCCCTCTCTCTCACTCTCTCTCCCTCTCGCACTAACACTTCTGCTTCTCTAGGTCACTGAGCAGGATGCAACCGTCCACAGATCTCGACTGGAGGTAAACCTCTCACAAATGGGAACCATAAAGATCACGGTACCATGTGTTAATGAATGTCTTTCCACTAGTTTGCCCAGAATGCAGTTCTTCACTGTGTACAGAGACTGAGCGAACAACAGCCCAGCACAAGAGTGGGGCTTATCACCTTTAACTACAAAGTGAGTTCACATAAACAACAACGGTCCATAAACGTCATGAGAAAGATTTGTGCTCTGGTCACACACTCGCCGCATTATACAAGAGATTTGAAATAATAGAATAAAATAAACTATGGGTTTTAATAAAAGGTGCAAAGGGGAGGTTTATCTGAGAGAGAAATGAGGATGTAGAATTTCTCAGTACGGCATTAAAGGGTCTGTTTGTAGTGTTCTTCTTTCAAATTACATTCAATTTAATTCAATGTATTTTTGTATCGTCCTAAAATCACAACAGTTTTAATCTCTGAGGACTTTAGAAAGCTGTCAATTTGCCAACACAGATCAGAGAATCAAAGAGTTCATACGCAGGAAATGCAACGGTAAAAAAAAAAAACCATAGAGACCCATTGGACCATAAATGTCTTTAAATGTCCTGGATCATCGACTCTGTCCTTAGACACCTACATCTACGTCATGTCCCCAGATCACAGGTCACATGTACACATCATACAGTATCTGACCTGTTATGAACTCATTTGATGTTTTATGTCATATTCATGTTAGGTTTTTCAGGCAGATTATCCAATCAGAGAGCAGAGACTGAGTCATTTGGGTTGCCAGTGTGTTAGTTGAAACGTAGCTGCTTTTAGCTCTTCTGCTTGTGTGTTACATCGCAGGAATATTCTGGCAACAAATGTGTGATTGTAATTTTACTGTTTACTCGATCACTTAAACAAATAAACTTGCCTTGCGCAAGTTTATTTGAAAAGCACAATTAGTATAACGAACACTGCCCAACAAAAATCATTTCAAATATAACAAACTTCATATTTTTTAATTAATCATCGATAATGGGGAAGGCACTTATAAGCTTTTTACTTCTGCCTTCTCCTTTTGAGCTTTTTTTTTGTCTTTCTTGAATTATATGTGCATGTTAAAAAATGTATATATAAAAAACATTGTAAAACTGCTCAAATAAAAATACTACCACTACTACTACTACTATTCATACACAAGGCAACTCGAAGTGCTGACTGCATATTACTTACTGCCCCTTACTTTAAAATATTTGTTTTTGGGAGACAAAAGTTGGAACCATGAAACGTAGAAGAGAGGAAGGACAAGTAGAATCAATCACAGAAATTAAAAATGAATTCTAAGAAATTTAGAGAAATTGCGTGAAGCCAGGTCGCTGTATAGAGAGTTGTGTGTTGCTTTTGTGGCGTGGGGAACAATCAGCAGGTTCTTCAGCGTGTCCACCAACAACATAACGCAGTAGAATATATTAGAGTAAAGTTGTGTTGTGTTTCCAGGTCACGCTGCACGGATATGAGAATTATCCGACTCAGTATCTGAGCAGCGACGAGTTGATTGACAAGGAATCTCTGAAACTTGCGGCTGCGGATTTCCCGAGTCCACCTCCGATCTGCAGCAACAAGGAGTGGCTCCAGAGACAAGTCATGGGGTGAGCCACGGCACATGTGTCAGAGCAGATGGGTTATTTTCTCTTATCTTTTAAATCTGAAAAGGTTAAAGGAAAGTGGAACCACGGCTCTAGGTCCAGCTGCGCTCCTCACCATCGCCATCGCGTCCAGACACCGAGGGTCCAAGGTAGGATCCAGGATTACTCTCTATGGTCTCATAGGTTCAGGCTGTTCTGGTCTAATAACACTGGACATTTACAGTAGTGTACCCCACTTGGGAAAACACTGATGCCTGAAAATGATGATTAGATTACTACTAATGAAAATAATAATGTGTCTTGAGATCATCAAAAAGAAGGAACGTGAATCATGGATGATATTATAACTTTAACATTTCAGTGAAAGTGTGTGAAAAAAATTATAAAGAGAGTTGGAGTTTGAAATCGACAAAATGTGGGGAATGAGAATGAAAAAAACATACTTTTGGACCTGTTTACAATAGGAGTCCCACAATTATGAAATTAGATCTCTCAGAGCCGTCATTTTGACTGCACCCATTCAAACCAATGGAATTATGAAAAATTGCAACAAAAATGTCATTCATGAGGCCACCGTGAGGGCAGCACGGTGGCTGAGTGGATAGCACTCTCGCCTGGGTTCAAATCCCGGTCAGAACAGGACCTTTCTGAGAGGAGTTTGCATGTTTCCTCCAGGTACTCCGGTTTCCCCTACCACTAACAACATGCACACTAGGTTAAATCCTCCAGCTCTGGTCCTGACCAAGCCGAGCATCAACATCTGGAGATGGGTTCCCAGGCGCTGTTACTACGGCGACCACTGCTCCTGATGTAAGCCTTTGCGGCCTCATGGGTCAAATGCAGAGGATTGAATTGCCCAACGGGGATCAATAAAGTGCAACTTTACCTTTACTCACTTTTAATAAACGTTGAAACTGGTGAGTATAACATGTGGAACCAGAACCAGTCCAAAACCAGCTCCACACAAAAAAATGCCATATGAAAATGGCTCTAAATGAATGAAGCTAAAGGTAGAACTCTTCTCATAAAAAAATGTACAGATAATTTCATGAAAATAACGACCAAAATAAACTACATATTGGAACAGAAAAAGTCACCACCCTTCTAAACCCAACAGCCGTCAAATTGACTGCTATGGGAGTGTTCTTCTGAAGACTTTCCGAAGTTTACAGACCAAACACAAACCCACATTAGTCCACGGCTGTACCCAGACCTGCCACCAGGGACAGTCAGCAATACATGGGTAGACAAGTTCAAATTTGTTTTTAGTTTTTGGTGACTGGTGAAGAAATGTTGATTTATCCTTGAGTCGGTCGCCCTCTATGACTATGAAGGCAGAAATAATCTTGAATACCTTGCACTGGTAGGTAAATACACCAGTGCAAGTTATTGTTCCAAAAACGTGCCTTTCTCCCAGGTGATCATTTGCACTGATGGAAAGGCCAACACTGAACTGGGAAACCTGGAGGAAGAGGACATTGACGCCCGGACGCTCCTCTCCTCCACCATCTTCTACCAGGAGCTGGGGGAACTGGCCGCTAACCAGGGGTAACAGTCCCGTCCTGTATATTCACCTCACGAAGCCTCTGAGACTCATGGCCTCCTCTGGCTCAGGGTGACGGTGTCGGTGTTGTCCATCGAGGGAACAGACTGCAGACTGGATGAACTGGGAAGACTCGCGGACCGAACCGGAGGCAAAGTAAGTCATCTCAAAGTTTCTATTTGAATCAGCCCAAACACTGCAAAAAGTGGTGGAAAATTAGGCAATCACAGTAAATCAAAAGAAAGATAAAAATACAAAATCCCTCAGTTGTATGCACAGCTTACAGAACTGTTTTAAATCTGGTTTTAAACATTGTCAGAGAGGAGGCCTGTCTCACATCTTCAGGAAGATTGTTCCAGATTTTAGCAGCATGAATCTGAAAAGCAGCCTCCCCATGTTTAGTTCTGACTCTGGACACTAACAGGAGTCCAGTCCCTGTGCTCCTCAGAGTCCCAGCAGGAGTCCAGTCCCTGTGCTCCTCAGAGTCCCAGGAAGAGGCCAGTCCCTGTGCTCCTCAGAGTCCCAGCAGGAGGCCAGTCCCTGTGCTCCTCAGAGTCCCAGCAGGAGTCCAGTCCCTGTGCTCCTCAGAGTCCCAGCAGGAGGCCAGTCCCTGTGCTCCTCAGAGTCCCAGCAGGAGTCCAGTCCCTGTGCTCCTCAGAGTCCCAGGAAGAGGCCAGTCCCTGTGCTCCTCAGAGTCCGGGCTGGTTCATATGGGACTAACATGTCACTAATGTACTTTTGGTGCGAGATCCAAATTAGTCAACACTTTGGCAAAATGTACCTTCATTTTTAGGGATACATGATGGAACAAGCAAAATTGTTTTAAAATGGCTTCTTTGGAATGAGAAAAAAAATGTAACAGTTGTTGAAATGAGACTAAATGGCTTTGGCCCTTTGGTAAATCTTGTTTTAAGACACTCAGAATGAACTCAAAATAAGATTATTACTTCATATGTTTTCATTTCTGGCAGTGTAATAGCTGTATTAGGATTGACTGAGTTGTTTCTTTAAGGTCGTCATTGCGAGCCCCGACAGGCTGCACGAGGAGTTTGAAGAGATCATTGAGAACAGAACCATAGCCACACACTGCACGGTGTTGTTCCTGCTGCCCAAATCCCTGTGCGTCTCCAATCACACTCTATTGTCGCCGCAAACAAGAGCCGCAGCTGCCTTGAATCTAATGTGTGTTTTTCACAGACGCGTGAAAGGGGAGAGAGAAGCAAGTCACCGAGGAATCAGGGAAGTGGGGAATGTTGATCCAGAAAAGGAGATCACGTTTCAGTTTGAAGCAAGTCATCAGGGAGAAAGTGAGATATTTATTTTACTAATGAGGAGAATTGTGAGTTGGCCGGTGGTGGCATTGTGTTGCTCTGGCACACAATGCAGCAAAACCACATTGGAATACTTTTGCAAAGGTCCCCAGTGTGCACAAGACAAGTACATAAATAAAACAATATTAAAAACAAAGAGGGCCAAAAAAACAAATTTGCTACAAGCCGAGGGTCGGCCTGGTTAAATGTTTATTTTAACATATTAAAATGATTGTCTATAACCTATTGAACCAAGACCTAGCACATTTGACGATATTTTATTCAATAATTAAATAAATAATCCAATATTTTTGTGGCTCTGTCAGTAGTTTCTATCAGACCCAGCAGGAGCAGAGTAGACTCCACCCATTTCCTCAAGTAAGCTCAGTCCTGAAGATTTGAGGAAATGGGTGGAGTCTGCTCTGCTCTTGCTGGGTCTGATAGAAAACCTTCAGCCACAGCGGCCCTTTCTGAATCGGTTTGGACACCTCTGCCCTAACCCTAACCCTAACAGGCTCACAGACAAAAACAAACTTCCTTCAAAGAGAAAACACACATCCCAAACATTAAATCCATTATTTTCTTGTGGCTCTGTGCAGCCGGATATAAAACTAATCCAAATATGATCCCAGGGGCCAAGATAATGACTCCCATGCTCTAGCAGCTGACCAATGCTGCCAATTAGCAACAAATGTTTCTTCTTTTTTTAATCAATTCCCTTCTCCACCTTTCCCTTTGTTTTCAGTTCCACCTCCAGTCTCCGGCTCCACTGTCTATGTGCAGCTCCAGGTCAGATACACTGAAAAAAACGGCCAGAGAAGACTACGTGTGATAACTGCTCCCAGAGAGGTTACCAGTGACAGGTGGGGTCCAGTTTGTGTTTGAGGAGATTGAAATGACCGGGACAGGCTTTCAGAGTGTGTGTTCTTGTCCTCAGCTCGGCGGTGCTCTCTACTCTCACTCTGGGAATCCTTCAGCTCAACTCGTCTCAAGCCACCGCTGCTCTGGCCGTGCGCGGACGCTTCGTGGACGCCATGAAGGAGGCGACGCAGCAGAGGCGGCTCATAGAGAGGACCCTGTAAGCACAACGTCATTCACTCCTGTGGCTGAAAACCTGGGTCAAATATTGGAGCCTGTCGGGCGTTTACATGCACATACATAGCAATAATCAATACAACTAATCTAAAGCTGGGGTAGCTAACTTTAAACTATAAATAATCATAATAATTAATCCTCCAGGTTGTTTGTCCCAATATTAAGTCTTGAAAAATCAGACCTCCGCAAGAAAGTCCTGGGTTTAAATCCTTTCTGAGTGGAGTTTGCATGTTCTCCTCCAGCTGCGCTTGTCCTGACCAAGCTGAGCATCAACATCTGGAGATGTGTCACTACGGCAACCACTGCTCCTGATGGAAGCCTTAGTGGCATCAGGATATGGGTCAAATGCAGACGATGAATTGCCCAACAGGGATGTATAAAGTGCCCCTTAGTGACTCTGATTGGCGGGTGGGGGTGGTCCGACTGAAAAATATTACTTGAAGATGTAAATAATTATATAGAGTCTTTTACAGACTAGAGTCACAAAAAGGGCGGCACGTGCCTGAGTGGATAGCATTCTCGCTTCTCAGCAAGAAGGTCCAGGGTTCGAATCCCAGTCGGAACAGGGCCTTTCCGAGTGGAGTTTGCATGTTCTCCCCGTGTCTGCATAGGTTTTCCTCTGGTTTCCCCTACCATTAAAAACATATAGGTGTGAATGTAAATGAGAGTGAATGGATGATGTTGATCGGAGGCTTTGGTGCTCCAGTGTGTCCGGGGTCTTGCTTCTGTCATCACTGTGTGGAGAGAATGGGAAAATATCTGAACTCTGAACATTGTAAAGCGCTTTGGGTGACATTGGTCTGTAAAATGCGCTATATGAAAAAAATGTACTAACTTACATGCTACTTACAAAGTGCTTTACAATTGTTGTGCGCATTTGTCTCTCACTCCACACAGAGATGGAAGCAAGATTGTCTACAGGAGGCATATGCCAAGCCTACATGTTTTTAGTGGTAGGGGAAATCGGAGCACCCAGAGGAAACCTATGCAGACATGGGAAAAATACACAAACTCCACTCAAAAGGGCCTTGTTCCGACCGGGATTCGAACCCATGACCTTCTTGCTGAGAAGCGAGAGTGCTAACCAGGCAAAATCAATGCAAATTCAATCCATGCATGTGAAAACTTCATTGTTGCGGTTTGAAAGTCAGGTACCCCAGCTTTAATACTTCTGGGTTTGTTTGAGCTGAGGCCCTGCTTTGTGACATATTCCAGGGCCCATAATGCCAGTGATGAAGACGAAAAAAAGTATCATGAATGGATAAAGACCATGAAGACGATCCACAACAGCTTCCACACCTTCACTCGGGTAAGTGGTCCCTCTGCTCTGATCACAGGTACTGTAATATCTATAATACACACACACACACACACTCATACATGCGCATTCTTTTGTTTTGCAGAAAAAATCCGTCACTTCAGATTCACAGGTAAAAAAAAGGACACTACTAACATTGGTTCTTAAATGTTTTCATATATTTGATTGTTCTCTTTTGTGCAGTCTCTGAACGACGCTGGTGCCGCTCTGCTCTACACCATGAAGCACAGCAACAGGAAGTCAATCCATATCAACTGAACGCCTTTGCCCTCGTTGGCCCAGACTCGAGACGCACACGCTTGCATCATGTGAAAACTACTGCAGCAGAGCGGGAAGTGGAACCTGCACCGATCCACGGAAACACACACTTTGAGCTTCGGAACATTCAAAAGGAAGTGTTTTTGTGCCGCACCGTGAAGTATTACAGCCAAAAGAAACAAGGAGTGAGGTGCAGATACAGAACGACCCCTTCACATATGAATACTTTCAGGAGATGATCATATTACTAACAACAGGTTATGTACTAGGGCTTTGATTATGTTGGTGTCTACTTCTTTAGATAAAACACTTTGAAGATTGTCTCCCATTTCATGAGTGTAAAAATAAATGTTGTTTGTTGATGTTGTCTTCAATCATTTCTATTGTATTGTAGAAGGTTGTAGATAGGTAACTTTTCCATTGTAGGCATTTAGCTGTTAACCTTCTAATGTGCACTCCTGGAAGAAATCAATTTGTTTTTTTCTGTTTTTTTCCTAGATGTAGTAGCATTCATAACACAAATCATTCGTTTTTATGTTTTTTTATTCAACCCCTATTTTTTTATTTATTATTATAGGCCTTTTCTAAATGGTTGTGATGCAGTTTGATGGTTAAAATGGTTAACATCTGGAACAGTCTTCCTGAAGATGTGAGACAGGCCTCCTCTCTGACAATGTTTAAAACCAGGTTAAAGACAGTTCTGTTTAGCTGTGCATACAACTGAGGGATTTTATACTTTTAGCTTTCTTTTTAATGTTCTGTGATTATTTATGATTTTAATGCTTTGTTTTGTTCAGCACTTTGAATTGCCTTGTGTATGAATTGTGCTATATAAATAAACTTGCCTTGCCTTAAAGTGAGATGTCCCAAAGAGGAGGATTTGAGTTCCAAGCTCATAGTAATAAATTAATAAGTAATAAGCTCATAGTATTAAGTAAATATAGTGATTCAAAAAGTGATCTAACAAATGTTTGAGGAAACCAGTACATGCGTATCTACGTCATGGTGAGGATGCACATTCAGAAACATTCATTCATGAGAAATGAGGCCTTTGACCAAATCTTTAACGTGTATCAAAAGCTCGACAATAAAAACTACAGATGCTACAAAAATGAGGTTCTCAGTTTATGTAAAAGCTCAGAGTCAGAGTGTTACAGGTGTTTTCGTAGGACAACAGTGTAGCACAAGGAACAGAAATTGAAACCGTTGAATATATATCAGCAATAAAAACAGTTAGCGAAGGTTAATACTTTTCATGGCAGATACTTTTATATACAAAAGTGATCACCACAGATGAAAACTTAATACTAGCTTCCATTTCAACATCTTCACACGTTCTCTTGTTTGACCAGGTATTCTGGCATGTTCTGGAATGCAGAGACAGGATCCGTCAGGGAGATGGCGCTGGCTTCGATCGTGCTGGAGGACATGGTCAGGTCACTGGCTGCGGCGGCGTGAGTCCGTAGGTGCTTGCGAAGATATGCAGCAAACAGAAATGTCTTTCCGCAGAGTGAGCAGCTGTGGGGCTTGCTGTTGGAGTGAATCTTCTGATGTTTGCGAAGCCCTGATTTGTTGTGAAATGCTTTTCCACAGGTGTCACACACGTGGGGGCGGGGCTTAGGGTGCTGCTTCTCGTGTTCCTGAAGATCAGAGAGTTGAATGAACTCTGCTCTACAGGTCTCACACACATGTACATCCACTTTGACCACAGACAGGCAGCTCGAGTCCACTGTGGGGAGGTTCTCTGTGACCTGGACTTGGTCCCATGTCCCAAAGTTGACGTCGCAGTGAGAGGAGAGCTGAGGGAGGCTTGTGTCAGCAGTAATCCCACATACTGACCCCTGCTCAGGGTCCTGCTCCTGCTGCTGCACTGACTGTTCAGACAGGTGCGTCCTTTTGTGTTTGCGAAGACTAGATGACACCACAAAAGTCTTTAGACACTCTCCGCATTTAAAAGGCCGCTCTCCAGAATGCAGACGCCAATGCTTATTGAGACTCGAGCGCTCAGCAAAAGATTTGTTACACTCCGTACAGGAGAAAGGTTTGACCCCAGTGTGGACCAGCATGTGGCGTCTCAAGTCCCATGAAGCGACAAAGGCTTTGTCGCAGCTCAGGCATTTGTACGGTCGCTCTCCAGAGTGAACTCGCTCGTGCACAGCCAGATCTGCCGGCTGTCGGAATCTCTTGGAGCATTTGTCACAAGGATAAGGTCTGAAGCCCTGGTGAGCACGCTGGTGTCGTCTGAAACTGGAGGGGTCAGAAAACATCTTCCCACACTGCGGACAGAGGAAGGGCTTCTCTCCAGAGTGAGTGCGGAGGTGAGACTGGTATGAAGACAGCTGGGTGAAGCCTTTGCCACACTGTTCACATGGGTAGGGTTTGTTCTGGGAGTGGATGCGCTGATGACATGCCAACGACGACGAGCGAGAGAAGGCTTTTCCACAGTCTGAACACAGATAGGGCTTTTCTCCAGTGTGAGAGCGCTCATGGTTCTTCAGATCCTTCAGTTCTGTGTAGGTTTTACCGCACTCATCACAGACATAAGGCCGATGGCCCTGGTGGTTCCTCCGGTGTTTTCTGAAAACAGAGGGGTCGGCAAAACTCTTTCCACATTCTGCGCAAATATACGGCTTCTCCCCGGTGTGGGAGCGCGTATGCACCTTGAGTTTGGATAAGGTGGGGTAGCTCTTGGAGCACTGGCGACATGAATATGGACGCTCTCCATTGTGCTGCGTCATATGGATCCTCAGACATATTGCCTGCATAAAGGTCTTCCCACACTCAGTGCAGACAAAGGGCTTTTCACCTGTGTGGGAGCGGCTGTGGTTGCGGAGCTCAGTGGGAGTCTTGTAAGCTTTGTGACAGTCAGGACACTGAAAGGTCTTCTGAGCAGAGTGACTGCGTTCATGCTTGGAGAGCTGAGCCTTATTGGAAAATGTTTTATCACACTGAGAACAAGAGTGTGGCTGGGGCCGTTCTTTTGAATGTGCCGACAATTTGTGGATTGAAAGAGCTGAGATATTTTTGAAAGCCTCTGCACATACAGAACATTTATGGAGCAGTTTGGCCTTTGGAGGCCGGCCTCGGCTTCGTTTTTTCACTGGCACATCTTTAACAGCCACTCTCTCTTGTGATGTCTTGTTTCCTTGAGCAAAAAGAGGTAATGGGTCTGCCTGAGGTGGGCTGCCAGACTGAGGAGAATCCATATTCAAATCTATAATAAAAAAACAGAAAGAAGGGGTGGCACATAATTAACATGACGCCTAATTTAAACTTAACATAAATGAGAATTCAAGTCGGGAATAAATTGACACTAATAATTAGATCATATTCGTTTGCCAAAATTATGGACAAAATGGCTGGCATTAGGACCTCAGGGACAATAGCAGTCTCTGAACCAGGGGAAGTAGGTGCAGTGACAGGACTGTCACACTGTTTACATTACAAGGCAGCGGGGAAGTACCCGCTTCTGGAGACTACACCATTGTGTCAATAGACACCATATGATCCGTTTACAAGCTAGTCGGCTAGCATTTTATTCCACTCAAAAGGACTGGCTTTAGGACCATAGGTTGTTGCAATGCAACAGTCTGAGTGATCGAAACTGCAGTTTGCTTCAACGAGTACCTTACACATTTCGTTAGGTTTTTCCTATGTCCATTAGTCTTACCTGAAATGAGACACTGATACGTAGCATTCAGAGAAAGATGAAGGTTCGAGCTGAGCAGCGGAAGAGGACGGCGCTAGGACCATGATGACGACAGCTCTCTACACTGACGGGTGCGCTCCATATCGTTGTTAAATGTATTATATTAATCTCTGTCATTTTGTAACATAACGACTCTGAAAACCACGCGGTGTCAAGAGCGAGCTGTGTTCAGATCGTAATATTAGAAAAGTGGTGAGTTACAGTCTTGGTGCTGGATACATAAAACACATGAGTCAGGCTAAAGTTGAGGAACTTAACAATCAATGAACACCATCATTTGCTCGACACATTTCTTTCAACACTGCAGACTTCTGCCAAAGGTTGCTTTTACTATTTAAAAGATTATTTATTTCAAAAGAAAAATCGTAGTCGAGTGGAACAGGGGGAACAATTTCGCTGCAACACATTTCCTGGTTCCCAGCAATCATTGGGAATCAGATGGCGAAAGGATATATTTTATTTTCTATGAAATTGGCCAAATGCATGTTTAGACCGTGTAACCCGACCCTAGTGCTGCTGTAGGTATTTATATTGATAATTCATTTTTGTAGATTTACTACACGCTCAGGTTAGCGTGTCACAGTCCCTGTGCTACTGCTAGCTGGTATTGTTATCATGTTAGCTAGCCTTAATGCCAGATATATAACGACTGTGTAATAATACATTAATGCTGTATTTGTTGTGTGTTTCTAACGGCTCTGGTGAATACAATATCTAACCCACTTTTCCATGTATTTATTTTTCAGCAGTTCTTGATTGTTTCTTCTGTTCGCTGCTTTCATCGGTGTTTAGTGGACATGGAAATAGACCTTTATTCAGACGAGGAGCGAAAGTTTAAATGTGATGAATGTGGCCGTGCCTACAGACATGCGGGCAGCCTGTCTAATCACAAGAAGACCCATGATGTCGGCTCTTTTCAGTGCAACATTTGTGGAAAAGAAAACACCAACGCTCTGGCGCTCAAGAACCACCTCCGAATCCACACTTCACAGAAAAAGTATCCTTGTTTGGAATGTGGAAAAGCTTTCAATCGAATGTCTCAACTCGCTAACCACGAAAGGGTACATGAATCAAGACACGCAAAAGAGCAGTCAGCAGATGAAGGAGATCTGGAGTACTTCACCCACATCGATACAAATGGACACACCGATTTTCTGTCCTCTGCCATTTCAACATTATATAACCCATCTGAAGACATAGAGGAAGCTTGTGCCAATAACTTTGAGAATAAACCTGTTAAAGTTGATTTGGATGAAAAATCCAACAATTATCAGGAAAAGAAAAAGCAGACTGAAATATTTGAATGCACTGTGTGTTTCAAGTTGTTCAGTGATATCGCCTCACTCGATTGCCACCAGAACACTCATGAATGCAAAAGTCCAGAGGATTCTCTTGGTGACCCCTACATGCTCTCACCACACGATCAGTTTTCCACACAACAGCAGAATGGGCCAGTAAACTTTTGCCATCTGTGTCAGGAATTATTTTCAAGTGAAGATGAGTTTCAAGATCACATCCAAATACATAATTCGTCATCTTTATTAGATCAGAGTGATGGGACATTTTACACCAATGGCACTTCTGAGTTTCATCAACCCCCGAGTAAATATGCCTCATCTGAATCTTCTCAGAGTCACAATGGGTCATTTGATGTGCCTAATGAACAAACAAAAAATAATGACCTTTTTTACAATGGCTCAAATGTAGAAACTGCATCTTTGAGCAGCTCTGAAATACATCCTTCTACAAGTACCACAAACATTGTTGCACAAAACAATGTCAACACAACAGGCAGTGCGGCTGAAGATTCAGAGGAGCGGCCTTTTAGATGTGAAGTTTGCTTTAAGACTTACCGTCACTACGGCAGCCTTGCCAATCACAAAAAGTCACATCTGGTCGGGAACTATCAATGTCCCGTCTGTCAAAAAAGATGTCCACATTTGGCAGCGCTCAAAAATCACTTGCGTAAACATAAAGGAGCATCTTCTCATTACGAGGGAAACGAGTGGCTCCAGTCTCAAACAGAAAGCATCGAAGACCAACTACAAGAGTCGCCAGATGGAACAAGTGTTGGTGTTGAATCCACAAATGAAACGTCCTTAAAATCTTACATTAATAAATATAGTGACCCGATATTTGCCAGTGATGTAGCCGAGTTAAACGATTATTTTCACCAGCAAAACGTCGATCTCGATGGCAGCGCTGAACATCTAGAGGAGAATATGGATTTCCCTGAACAGAATGACTTCAACGATGAGAGTAACCAATTTCCTGAAAATGTGAGCATGGACAATTACACCGATAATAACTGTGTTGAGGAGGAAGAGGACGAAGACGACCGGGATTTTTATCAGTGCTCGTTTTGTGGAAACCGCTACAACAGCATCGGAGCCCTGAGGAACCATATGAGGAGGCACATACTCTCACGCAGCATCCCGCCCAGCTCTAACCCATCCAAACAAATCAAAGACGAAGACTCGAGCGACGTGGTAATATGTAGTTTATGTGGAGAGACCTTTTCAAACGACCAGGACCTTGCCAGTCATCAGGTTCTCCACAGCACGGATCACACACATGATCTTGAACTCTCAGATAACAAAGAGGCCAAGAATCTCATTTGTGGCCGCTGTGGCGTCTTATGCACCAGCTACAATCATCTTGAAAGCCATGCGTGTGAAGTCGTTGATGTGGAGCCAACAACAGCGGCTGAAGAAGAAATGAACGACACAAACACTGAAGCAGACACGAGCGTCGACAAAGAGGAGCGGCAGTTTAAGTGTGAGGAGTGCGGCCGCTCGTATAGACACTCTGGCTCCCTGCTGAACCACAAGAAGTCCCACAAAACAGGGCTGTTCCGCTGCCATGTGTGCCAGAAGAACTTCTACAATCTGCTGGCTCTGAAAAGCCACCAGAGGTCCCACTTCGATGTCAAAAGGTTAGTAAGATTTAAGATGAAGATCCTTTATTGGTCCCACAGTGGGGAAATGTCAGTGTTGCATCACCAGTTATACAACGGCAGGAATGAGGAGCACACAGCACAAGATTAAAGAACAATAACTCTATACTAAAGTTTAAAACAGTTTAGAAAAAAAAGAAGCAAATATAAAACACAGTGTATTCTAGTGCAAGAAATTCACGGTTGTATGTTTACATCTGTACTTGTTGGCAGCATGAGGGTCTGAGACAAAGTGACAGTGGACACGTGTGGTTCTGTGTTGCACATTCTCACACACACACACACATGCACTCAAGCTGAAGCTGCCTTTATACCTTGCTATTGTGAATCTGTCTGTGAAGGGAATAAAAAGACACAATAATAAGAAAATGGAGCAAGCTGTTTTTTCTTTTATTTTATTTTTGTCATCTGTTTATTGATTTTTCATAGACATGACATGTACATTACAGTGTTTCACATTATTGACACTTCGTCCCGTTTTTTATAAAGAACAAAAAACAAAATATAACACAAACACACAAGTACCATGACAGAACTTGGGGATCTAAAATCTTGTCTAAAATTTTAGCCAATGTTTCCATATTTCTTCACATTTTTCACTTTCCAGCCTTATACTTGCTGTCATCTTCTCCATTGTAAAAATATCCTTCATCACATCTAACCAATTTTCTTTAGATGGGCTCCTCACCTTCAGCCAATTTTGAGTAACACCTTTTTCCCAGCTAACAGCAAAATTATAAACAACTTAGGCTACAACTGTTTAATGATTGAAATGTGCTAGTAATAACATAAGTCATGAACGTTCTTGTTTGTGTTGTAAAACATAGTTCCCCTATACATAAATGAATGTGTATGGGAACAAATAGCTGTCCAAAAAGTAGTGATTAGTTGGGATGTGCTGTTAATAGATTTGTACATTTCATATCTCCTCTAGGTTCACGTGTAATGAATGCGGCAAAGCATACAAAATCCAGAAGCAGCTGCTGAATCACCAGAAAAGACACAAAAAGGAAAAACTGGACCAAACTCCGACACAGAGCAAGAGGAGAAGGCCTGTAGCAGAGGTGTTGTTACCTGTCCAGGATGTCCCTTTCAAGACCAACAGCAAAGAGCTCCCAGAGGCACAATCTACAGACTCTCCAATCAAATCTGAGGACGGCAGTGACAAGCGGCCGTATGCGTGCGACTTGTGTGGACGCACCTATCGGCACGCAGGAAGTCTGATCAACCACAAAAAGTCCCATAAAACCGGTGAATACGCCTGCACCGTCTGCAACAACTCCTACTCCAATCAGCTCGCCATGAAGAACCATCTGCGCACCCACTTTGCTCTCGAAAAACATTTTTGCTTGAAGTGCGGGAAGCGACTAAGATCAAAGAAGCAGCTTTTAGTCCACGTTTGCTCGAATCTTAAAAGGAGTCGGAAAGGAGTGAGATCCAAGCGTGTGAAAGCAGTGGTCAGCAGCGTTCAAACCAAGCAACCGGCAGCAAAAGAGCCACGCCTCTTCACATGTAACATCTGTAACCGCAGCTACCGCCACGCCGGCAGCCTCCTCAACCACAAGAACACCCACAAGACGGGGCACTACACCTGCACCTTCTGCTCCAAGCACTTCCCCAACCTCCTCGCGCTGCGCAACCACACGCGCATCCACACGCAGAAGAAGAAGTTTGTCTGCCTGACGTGTGGGAAGGCCTTCCGCGTGGCCAGCCTCCTGTTCAACCACCAGAAGATCCACACACGCAGAAGTCCCAGCTGCAACGACTGCGGCGCCAGCTTCAGGGGACGCTCAGGGCTGCAGAGACACCAGTGTCCCCAAGGACCCCAAGGCCCTCAAGTCCCCCAGCAGAGCGGGCCCTCGGAGCCGCCGGCAGACAAGTGCTTCAAGTGAGTTAAAGATCCATACATACATACGTATATGGGCTTGTTCACACTAAAGGGCACAAAAGTGTGACAAAAGGCCAAAAATTAGATTTTAATAATCAGAAGATATTTTATGTTTTTCATGTATCCTCTTGTAACCTCCTCTGTTCATTAGAAGTTGCTAGAACATAACTGTTTTATACATTAGACAAGTTTCCTATAGCGGCCCTGTTTATTTTATCTAACGGACGTGATGATTTGACGGAATGAGCTTTGTGGAAGTTTGATAGGTATTTTCAGATTCATGTATTTCAGATACATTTGATTCAGAGATTCTATTTTTTTTACACAAAGTAGATGCAAAGTGATACTTTCATATTGTCAAGCAATTAAATGTGAAAACAGACCAGATTTTGTTTTTCTCAAGTTTAATTTTTAGAGAAAAGAGGACCGTCCTCATCACGTCCGTTATACATTTTTCAGGGGTCATTTAATTAATTAATTATTTTTTATTTTTTTACGATTCCTTTTTTAATCAAGTGATTTCCTTCTGTTGTGTTAACCATGTAAATCTTGTGGGATTTCATCTTCTGCTTTTTCAAACTGAGGACATTTTTTTTTTTTTACTGGCGTCACAGTAGAATGGTCCCATCAGAGGCTGATTTGGTCGTTTAAAATGTTGCTAAACATTTTTTTGTCAATCTTTCCTTTTGATTTTTTCCACACTATCTCTTCAATGTGTCTGTGTTTGAAATCTTTTTTCCAATCTATGAAAGTAATTTTAGTTTTTAAGTTATAACCTTTTAAAGTCCAAATACTTCAATTGTCACTTTACTGTGAACACACTCACATACGTACATACATGCATACATGGACAGATACATAGATACTTCAGTGATGCCCTGTAGGAGACATTCAGGTTTCCAGCAGCAGAAACACACCCATCTAAACAAACACATAAGTATATAAGTTACAAACGTTTCCAACTAATAATACAATAGTGCACATTCCACTCAGACAAATGTGTTGCACAGTCTTAGAGCTGAAGGATTTAAGGACATGTTCTTAAAGTGTTATGAATGTGATTTATATATTCGTCCTTACCAGAGATGTATTTACACTGAATATACAGATAAGAGTAGATCCAAGGTCGTTCTTAAAGGCACTGTATCAAAGAGAACATGACTCGGAGGTTGATTGTTTTCTAGAAGATACCACAGATACTTTGTATGTGGCTCCTCAGGGACTTTTCGTGCTGAGTTTGCTGATAAGAGAAAAAAGTGTAACCTTGAAGGAAAAGAACCGTGGCGAGGAGTATTTTTAATTAAACATGATATTAATAATAATGCGTTAGTTTTCTAAAGCTCTTTTCTGGACACAAACGACACACACCAGACTCATTCTGATGTGGGTGAAGTGTCTTGGCAAAGGACACATCTGTCAAACTCGCTCTCAAAACTTTTACTTTTTTTGTTTTTTAATTTTTTTTATATTTTTCAGACAGAAAATTGAAAACGAGGACCCCCCCTCAGCCATTCAGCTCTCAACCCAAAGAGTCAAATAGTGCCTCACGGGTTTCCAAGTATGCAAAAGTTAACATGTGATCTCACTGGTTCACAACATTGTGTTGTCAGGGGAAAGTTAGGTAGCCCAGCTTTTATAACACGTAACACTGCAAAAAATGATAAAATATGTTTGAATCGAGTGTTTTTAGCTTAGTTTGAGTTCATTCTGACTGATTTTCCAACGGGACAAAGCCATTTAGTCTAATTTCAAGAACTTTAGATCCATTTTCTCATTCCAAGGGAGACATTTCTTGTATCTTTGTTAAAACAAGATCATTTTTCTCTGTCCCCATTAGTCAATCTTTTTTTAAGGCTCAGTCAAAATGTGCTCAAATGAAGATACATTTTGCCAAATTTGAGCTTTTTCTGACTTATTCTTCATCACTTTTTGCAGTGTAAGTAACAGGAAGTCACAAACAAGGAATTTACTTTGGCTCAAGGAGCAAACAAGTTGTGAGAGTGAAATGTAAGGGCATAGATTGGGTCCATTTAAATGTTTTGGCCGGAATGTTCCACAGAAGGACCTTGAACTTATCTCTACTTTCGGCACAAGCATTTGAAGCTTCTTTCCAAGCAAACCAATGTCCTCTTCAGAAACGCTGCATAGTTGACCTTTTAAAACAATGGCTTCTGTTTGGAGACAGTAGAAAACCTGCTCAAATGTGCTTGACTCTTCTCCTGCAGGTGTGACGTGTGCGGACGCTCGTACCGCCACGCCGGCTCCCTCCTCAACCACAAGAAAACTCACCCGGAGCTGCTGCACCACTGCTCCCTGTGCCTCCAGACCTTCCCAGACGCCCTGTCCCTGCACGCCCACTCCCAGATCAACCGCCACTGCTGCCCCGTCTGCGGCAAGACCTTCTGCCTGCTACCCCACCTGGAGAGCCACATGGAGGCCCACGGCAAGGGCCACAAGCGGCTCCTGGATCAAAACGGCCTCTCGCTGCACCCAGACGGAAGCAGAGACGAGGAGAGGGCGGACGGCGAGGACAAGGTCTACGCCTGCGAGGACTGCGGCCGCACCTACCGCCACCCGGGCTCGCTCCTCAACCACAAGAACAGCCACAAGACGGGAAGCTTCTCCTGCGCCGTCTGCCACAAGGAGTTCACCAACCTCATGGCGCTCAAGAACCACCGGCGCATCCACACGGAGGCCAAGCGCTACCAGTGCGCGGACTGCGGCAAGGCGTTCCGCGTGGCCAGCCGCCTGGTGTGCCACAGACGCATCCACACCCGAGAGAGACCCTTCGCCTGCTCCGTCTGCGACAAGAGCTTCACCAGTAAGTCCAACCTGAGGAACCATCGGAGCGTGCACCAGGTGGACGTGGGCGGCTTCATGGACCTGGACTTTGACGAGTATCTTTGAGGAAGTGGGAGGGGTGGGGGGGGGGGCGGATCTGTAGACCAGTGGTTCTCAACAGGGGGTTCATGCGATTTTGTGGGTTGCAGGCTTTTCCTGGGCAAAGTGTGTGTCTAGTCTGCTACACTGCAAAAAAAGTCGTTACTGGTAAGAAAAAACGTGTTCCATTTATGAAAGTAATATAAAGAAATGTGTTTTTTATTTTAGATTTTTTTTTTTGTCTAAATCCACTGAAAATGAGATGCAGACGAAATAAAACGTATTATAATGTGTTCTACTCAGTTCAAAGACATTATTTTTCTCTTGCCGAGGCCTGGCGAAGCCTTGTCCTTGTGTTATGCCTTATTTTCTGTTGTCTATATGTGTTCTGTTACCGTTTTATAAATATATTTTGTTTCTGGCTAATCCATCAGACACAACTACATTTTCTTGATTACAAAATTCTATTATTATATTATTTATACTAAACGGTTTTACGGTTGGTCCCGACACGTTCCAGTTGAGAACCACTGTTATTTAAATGGATTATTTAATTGACATTCTTTTGCCTAAAACGACTAACGCAGTATATTTCTTAATCTGCTTCAGTTGTTTTTTTGTTTTTTTTGTGTTATATTTAAAGAAAAACTGTATTCACACACACATTCATTCCTGGAATATGTAAACGATTAAACCTACGGTGGAAGTAGAGTGAAAACCTCATAATAATAATAATAATACTGTGTAGTTTATATGCGACTTTACTTTGGAAATCACTAAAACTATTGTTAGTATTGATGATATATTCTCCCCTATCACTGCGGGCGCCTGACTGAAGCCCCAGTGGTCTAGGTTTTTATAATTTTTCGAATGGTTATCTGACACTTTTTAATGGATATGAATAAAAAGAAGAGTTCTGAATAATACAGTTTGCATTTGTGTTATTTTATTGTGTTTAGTTTCACTGCAGCTGCGGGTCTTTGAGACTCTGAATCCCTTTGTTTGCCTCATTATCAGTGGCCACTTCCTCTGGACCTTCACATGGGGCAGGCGGGTTATTTTTAGTCAAATACCTCTGGGTGTGTCCAGAAGTCGGTGAAACAACAAGATAATGCGCTTCGTGTTTTGCTGCTGTAGGAAAGTCTCTAAATGCACGTGTTTAATGTCACCCAGTCCAGTGTAAACGCACAAAAACAGGTTTATAACACCTGTAGATACTGGTGTTATACATAATCTTATACAGAAACGAGTTTATTGGTTCATTTCTAGTCCAGTGTCAGAACCAGTTTGATATATTTACTTTATATTGTTTGACCAGGAGGTGTTCTGAAATGCTACTAGCTTAAACTTTTACACAAAATCTACGTTCATTCATTAAACAATAGTTTTTTTCCCAACACAAATCATTTATATTAAAGCTGGGATATATACACTGCAAAAAATGATCAAATATGAGGTAATAATTTCTTGGATCGAGTGGTTTTGATCTTAATCTGAGTTCATTCTGTGTCAAAACAAGATTCACCAATGGGACAAAGCCATTTAGTCTTTTTTTTCTTCTTCATTTTCTCATTCCAAGGGAGATATTTCTTGTATAATTTTAAAACAAGATCATTTTGCTTTGTCCCATCGGCAAATCTTGTTATGAGGCAGTCAGAATGTGACTCCTCGCTCTCAAAGCCTTTTCTTGCTCTGGTTTTCCACTGCATGTTTTATTGATCTCTGTCACATCTTTACATCAGCTTTTTCAGACAGAAAAGTGGACAAGAGAGAACCACCTTCAGCCAATCAGCTCTCAGCCCAGTCAAGTATACAAAAGATACTGTGTTATTTGTGAATATAAAAACATAGGTACCTCAGCTTTAATACTTGCCGCTCAAAGTTTTGCATTTCCCGTTTTTTGTTTTGTACCCTTGTTAAATACACAGGAAGTTTCAAACAATGCATGTTCAGACTTTTTGTCCAGATTTTTCCCAGAATTCCTCAACTGTCCTCTAAATATTTATCTCTGTGTGATTAATGGGTAAATACTCAGACTCTCGACTGTTAACGAAAGCTTTCCTCTTTGCGATATTTCACTAATTGGATTGTATTGATTATGACATGACTGAAACACACACATTTGTCTGTAATGTTGTACGAGTGTGTGTTTCTCCCAGTTTTTATGCTTGTGTTGCTCTAAATTGCGTTCAGAGGGAGACGTAAACAAGAAGAGGTGCAGCCAAATACAAAAACAGGCGTCAGTTTTATTGTGAAAATACATTTGATACAAAAAACTGTTAAAAAGTCGCTTAAAAAGAAGCCAGTGCATGTACAATATTTACAAGAAAATATACAAGTGATTAAGGCAGGAGGGTTTTTAGCTCAGTAACTTTCAACGCTGGCCTCGGAAGAATCTTCACCGGAGTCCCTTACGAAACACGGATTCGCATCTCGCAGGTCGACGCTGCGAGATGCGAACGAATAAATAATATAAACATCTAGAAAACGTTTCAAAAATGAGTTTGTATGTTGCTACAAATACTGTCAGTTTTTGCGAATGGAATAAAAGCAGGAAACAGCGCTTGTTTGGATCCAAGAAATCGAAACCAGACGTCACTTTCTTTGCTCGCTCTGGCCGTAAAAAAAAAAAAATCTATATGAAATGTTTTTGGCAGCGTTTATATTGCGTGACTCCACCTTCGCTGAGTGGAGGTGCTGTTTCCATGACTTATACATTCCTTGTTTTTCCATGTTTCATTACAACCTGCTGTAAAACGTTGGGTGGCAATGTCAGTTCTTGAAGGTCTGATCCCCGAACAGTGCATACAACAGTTTCTTCCCTTCATCGGACGACTAAAACAATAAAAAAGTACTGGCAGTGGTAGAACACAGATGTGGTTCATGGACATGGACGTAGCTACATTCAAAAGGCCTGGATGACGATGTGCCGGGTTTAGTTTTCTGGGATTTTACCTTCAACCGAACTAGATTGTGGTCTGAAGTAATGGATCGATCGTCGATTCTAATTTCTTAAACTCTACTCGAGAAAATACATGATGGAGGATTAGTGTCATGGTAATTATCACACACTGGAAAACAAAAATACACTTAAGAGTTGAGATGTCTGTGGACGCTTCAGGAAAAACCAGAGATGGGCCGAGGCAGAGATGGACCCAGATCCAGTCTGTGTGCTCTGGGTGTCCTTTGGGTGTCCTCGGGGTGTCCTCAGGGTGTGTCTGGGTGTCCTTTGGGTGTCCTCAGGGTGTGTCTGGGTGTCCTTTGGGTGTCCTCAGGGTGTGCTCTGGGTGTGTCTGGGTGTCCTTAGGGTGTGTCAGGGTGTCCTTTGGGTGTCCTCTGGGTGTCCTCAGGATGTGTCTGGGTGTCCTCTGGGTGTCCTCAGGGTGTGTCTGGGTGTCCTCAGGATGTGTCTGGGTGTCCTCAGGGTGTGTCTGGGTGTCCTCAGGGTGTCCTCAGGGTGTGTTTGGGTGTCCTTAGGGTGTGTCTGGGTGTCCTTAGGGTGTCCTCTGGGTGTGTCTGGGTGTCCTCAGGGTGTGTCTGGGTGTCCTCAGGGTGTGTTTGGGTGTCCTCAGGGTGTGTCTGGGTGTCCTCTGGGTGTGTCTGGGTGTCCTCTGGGTGTCCTCTTTGACACATGAGATGTCCCACTGTTATTGTCCTTCTTGTCCATGGAGAAAATACCCTGCAGTCACAGTATGAGAGAGTGGACCTCAGGCTGAGGAAGAAAACATACAGTTATTTCATATTTCCGCACAAATGCATTGTGCATTGTTCCGCACAGTTACCTTGATGCTAAGCTTGATAAAGAGGTCCTGCAGTTTCTTCAATAGGTTCTGTTCGAGAAAAAAGGAAAAGCTAGTTTATTGACGTTTTATAGATCATAATTATACTTTTTAATTGCTATTTTAAATAACAGGAAGTCACAAAAGAGGGATTTACTTTTGCTCAAGGTGCAAACAAGTTATAAAAGTAGAAATAGGAATAAGGCGTGTTATAAAATCTTCATAAACTGTAGATTACTACAAATATATGTGCACTGACTACACACCATAGACATTTAACAGTGCAGTAAAGTGACAAAAGCTGTGAGTGACCATCTGTGTCCATTTTCAAATAGTGTGAGTCTCATTTGTATAAAAGACATTCTGTTCTTGTTGATGTTTAACTTGAAGGACAATGAGATTTGGGTTTTTCTGAGAATAGCTTTGTTATCTTGTTGACTGAGAACATTTTACTGCTCTGTCATGTAAATGTCGCTGGAAAATTATTTTTATAACCGGTGAGATCTTTGATTGCTTGTCCCTTTGGAGCTTATATTGTGAGACAAATATAAAACTGTTTATCTTGTATGGTGCAGTGAGAACTGTGAGTGCATAAATGATCTTTGTTAAAGAAAGGAGAAAGATTGTGCCTGTTGTGTGAGGGCCGTGATCTCACCGCGTAGAGGCCTCCTGTGGGACTTGCGTAGGTGAACCATGACCCCGATGAGTAGCGCTGCTCCCACTAAAACCACCGCCAACACCGAGAAACTGGTGATGGCGGCCAACTTCCACACGTCCGGAGTGTTGTCTATGGATTTACCTGTGGGAGAGACATGGTTAAGTCTGAGTCCCAGAGTCAGGGTTAAGTCTAGGTCTGGATCCCAGAGTCAGGGTTAAGTCTGAGTCTGGATCTCAGAGTCAGGAAGGAGACGCAGACGTACATGTGTTGCAGGACGGGGTCTTGGGATACTGTTTACACGATGCACACGGGACGCACACGTCCAAGTCGGAGTTCCAGAACTCTTTGCTGTTGCAACCTGAAAACACACGTCACATGATCAGAGAAAGAGTCTGGACCAGCGTCAGCCTCGGGCTCTGACGGGATCAGGGACATCGTTCCACTCAAACCTTTGGGCCTCAGGATTCAAAAAGCAGGATAGTTCTACGGAAGAATGAGCAAGTTTTTTACACCTGATTTTTCTCAAAAGTTGTAATTATTCCCCTAATATTGCTTGTGAAACTAAGCAGGTCAGGGCCTGGTTACTCCTGTGATGTGAGACCTCTGGGAACACCAGATGTCAAAGTGGGACTGCTGAGGTCTCATTGTGCCAAACTGTTGTTAATGTTAGTCTGAGGAGTCTCGATTGACGGCCTCCCCCAGAGCGGCTGTGGCTATGGTTACAACAGTTGTTTACTTTGTGAGTGAATCATTTCATGTGAAGCATCCAAGTCTCCACATATGATGCATATTCAAATAAATACACATTTGAGTATATAGATATATACTTATATATACTTTATACCTGAATTCATATCAAGTCCAACTGTTTTTACCTCCATTTGATAATCACTAATAATGCAGGACGCTCAAAGCCACAGCTGTCCTGGGGCAGACTGAATGAAGCCTTCAGTCAGTCACCTTTAAACAGCATCTTTTCGAACAATTTGTACTTTTCCTGAACTTGTATAAAAACAACTAGCATCATTTATGCTTTCAAAGAGAATAGTAAAGTTAATAGTAAAGAGAAAGTAAAGGATTCTGTTCCTCCATAACCTTCATTAGTTTAAAATCTCCTGTAGTCACATGTCTGAGTTCATATTGTGTGGATCGCGGTGGTGGGAACTGGCTCCGTAACTCCGCTGGACTCAGATAAGACGGATGAAAAAGCACACTTGTGGCTTTCCTCTAAAAGAAACTGGGGAAATTCCTTTGGGCCGGTGCCACCAGCGGGAGTATTACTCAGAGACTTTGGGCGCAGGATGTGAGAGCCGACGGGGGCTTCCTTGTGTTTGCCTTGTGCTCAGAGATACGAGGTTCTCCTGGTGGGACCCAGAGACAGCAGCAGCAGGAGACCACTGTCTGCAGACGCACTTCTTCCATTCATCTATTTTTACGGCCTGCACACAGCTGAACAATTAAGGCTTCTCCACTTCCACACGAGGACGGAGATTAACGGAGACAGAGATGAAACGCAGAGAGGACAGTAAATAAACAGAAACATTATTACAAGTCGTTTGTTTTAATACGGGGCCGGGAGATGTGGTTACAGGCCTGAGAAAACACCTATGACACTGTAAGGATCAGGGAGGGGGGGGGGGCGAGGTCAGAGACATGTAACAGTGCGATGGGAAATACTCTCTCTGACAGATGTATGTGTCTTGCTTAAAGATCTCAGGAGCATAAATTGTGCAGTTATTTCTACAAAAACTGAACTTGGAAATGGTTCGGGTTCGGGTGCACTTTCCTCTACATTCTACAACATTCATGGACATTGGTCTCTCCCTATGACCAATACCTGTGTTCTATATTTTTTGTGTCTTAAAGTCGCAATATGTAAGATTTTCATGTAACGTTATCATTAAAGGGCCCTACAATGGCACTACTATTGCCACTGTTTCTTTAATTGCCACTTTTTTATTGTCCATAATATATCCTGCATTTTACATCTTTGCACACTTCTTTCCTTTCACAAATCTTGAGTGATTCTATTCATGCCAGATGTGACGTGTAAATTCCTCCTGTGTGAGATCAGTAAAGTTTATCTTATCTTATCTTAATCTGTCAAAAGGCATTCATAAAACCTGCTCTTTTCCAATACTTCTTTGACTGATAGCAGTAGTTCAGAGATATTTGGATTTCAAAATTAGTTTTCCAGCCCCTAAATCTTGTTATTGTTTTCATTTCGATGTCTCTCCACCGTTTCACCAATCAGAAAGTCCATGATCCGGGTTGTCAGAACTCACCACTGCGCTACATGGTACTTTACCATGTAGCGCAGAACTAAAAATGGTCTCGTTATGATTCTTAAAAGATTAATGACAAAACAAGGAATAAAACGAGAATTTCTATCTTTGTGAAAAGGGTGTTGGTTATAGATTTGTTGTTGATAAAACTCTTGTCTAGGGGCGACGGTGGCTCAGTTGGTAGAGCCCACAGTGAGACCTACTTCACAACTCCCACTGATGACTGTTGTTGTTATGTCCTTGGGCAAGACACTTAACCCCACTTTGCCGAAAGCTCCAACTGAAAGATCTCAGCTCCTGCAGGAGGATCAGTGAGGGGCTGGTGCTCTGTGAACTGGGTGCAGCTCTGACTGCCACCCCCCCGATCCAGGAATGGATTAAGGGGAAGAAACTGGATGGATGGAAAACTCTTGCCTATTCAGCTGTTATGGTTCCAGCTGGAGTCGTCTGCATATCTGGCAACCCGAGTCAGGGAGAGTGGGAGAGGTTTTGAGAAGTCCTCTGAGATAACTACTGCTGTGATTTAGGGCGATACAAGAATGAATTGAATTTTGCTTCTGTCACTTTCTCGTGTTCATAATTTAAACTATCAACATGTTTTTACTATTTTGTTTTGAGTCCAAATGTGTTTCTTTGTTTTCCAAAAGTAGCTAATAACATTTGTTTTTCATGGATTGGTTGATTTTCCGGTGTGTCACAGTCAGTGTGTAATTGTCTGAATTGTCGACATCATCAATAATATTTGTTCACTTTTCAGACCCACGATAAAATAGTTTGACTACTGTCAGAAAGTGCAGTATAGAACTTTACAGTCACTTTGTCCCAGACCCAGGCTGCTAACATGTACAGACGTAAACTTACTACTATATATATCTTGCACTAGAATAGACAAGATTGTATACTTGCTTCTTTATAATGGTAACGTTAGAGATTTTATACTTGCTTCTTAATTCTGCTAAAGATAGAGAAGTTAATCTGGCTTATTTACAATACCAAAGAAAGAGATTTTTTTTTAGTTGTCCCCACTGTAGGACTAATAAAGAATCTCTTCATCTTAAACTTGATGGTAGATATGAGGATTTTCTTCTTCCGGGTGGATCATCAAGACTATTGGTCCTTCTAATTGTCAATCAAATCATTCTGGTGATGCGTGCTCGTCCAATAAGACCAGAGAGTTTAATTTAAAAGTGGAAAGGGGGGTTCTTTCCTAATATTTGTGAAAATCCTTGTCTATACAGTACCTTTAATGTCATCGTCCTGCAGTGGTTACAACTGTTGCAACAAGTATGAATGCATTTTGTGGCTGCATCTATAGAAAGTCTCAGTAAACTCTTTCGACATTTCCTGGTTCACATGTGACTGGAATAAATTTGTGCAAACCAGATAATTGGAGCGTTTCCTTATTTCACCTCTGATCGAGACATCTGCAGGCTTTCCATGTACTGTCCAGGACACTACACTTTTGTTGCTAATCCCATTGTTCCAGCTCATAGCAGACATAAAAAAGCAGCGGTCTTCGGCAAATTTGAAGCTGGAACCCCATCAGTGAGACTTCTCAGATGGACCGGATTGCCTCATCACGGGGGAACTAAGAGAAATCGCCAGATCTGGGCAATCGTTTCTTCACTCGAACAAGATCCCTGAGGCACATTGTGAGTGAACAAAAAGCCAGGCTCACGTTACCGACGGCACAAAGCGAGTACCGGCCATTAACAAGCCTGTGCGAAAGAAAAAAAGACATCTGTTGTTAAAAAAAAAGAAAGATATTTGGATGTGTCCTCAGAGAGCCACTCCAGCCTCCTGCTTCGATGACTTTACTGCTGCGGTCACGGCATAACCACCCTGTCACACATCTTGTGAGCATTCCTCTTGATGACTCCAACCCCACATCAGGAGGTCAGAGGAAGGAGATGAACTGAGACTGCCGGTCCATCTGTCCAAACTGCGAAGCCTCATTGTTTATAGAGGGAACATAAACAGTGAACATGTCCAGCCAGTCTCCAACAGCCTCAGCACAACACTTTTATGGATTGTCTGTGAGTTATGCGTGAATGTGGACATGTTTTTAAACGTTTTTTGCCCCCAGGACCCTGGCAGATCTCAGCACCTCGCCCTGACAAAGGGTGTTTTGTGGTGTGGGGGCCTGTATTTTGTCATGACAGAGGAGTAGGAGGGGGGGGGGGGGGTGAGGGGGGGGGTGGATCAACAGCTGATGACCAGATGTAGCCCACATTGTTCACTCATATTGTGTAGAGAACTCTGATTGATGTGTTTGGGAAGTGCTACGTCAACAAGTTGTATGTGTTTCTCGCTGTCATGGTTATTGGAGAGTGTTTATAGAAGCCTGCTCGAGCTGATGAAGGGAAATGTCCTCAACGAGTCAAACCAGGAGAGGGTTTGGATAAATCTGAGAGGAGGACAGCAAAAAGAGCGCTGTGCATGTGGTCTGTCCGCTCTCACCGGGGCGGGCATGACCGGCTGAGATAAGGGGAGAGGAATGCGGAACCGGTGAGATATGCAGCTGGTGAGGGAAGACAAGAGGGCACTGTAGGAAGATAACGGAGGAGGATAACGGAAGAGGATAATGGAAGAGGATAATGGAAGAGGATAATGGAGGAGCACAGAACTATCCCTCCTCTCTGAACACATGGCCGCACACAAACACAGAGTAAAGCTCAGATTTGTGAAAAAAGCTTCAGCCCAAAGTGAATCAAAAGTTTTGCCACTTACTTTTCTGAGCGTCCACTCCATGGAAGTGCGTGACAGCAGCTATAATGATCCCGCACAGAGCGCAGATGGAGTGAGGAGCCATGATGTGTCCCACTGTTTCCCACTGAGTCCACTGTTCTGTGCGCAGAGCTGCGCGGTGGAAAAGCGCGCATCAGAGTGAGTCACTTGGAGGAGTCTGCGCCGTGTTTTAAGAGCGCACACACCCACTCGGCTCAGCCTGTGACTCATTTCCTCTGTCCTCATGTGTGCGCGTGCGTATGTGCGCGTGCATGTGTGTGCTGTGTGTGCGCGCTCACGCAACACACAGGCTGCGTGCGCTGCGCGTAAACGTCTATTAACTTCTTTATTAGTGAAATGTGTAGAGAAAGGTTTGGAACACGCCTGTAGCTTTTATATGCTGTAGTTACGCCACAGGCCTCGCGTCTGGAGTTAATGCTCTGCTCATTGTTGTTACCACGCCTGTCGACGTCATTCTCTGCGCTCTGCCAAAAAACACAAGTTTCTGGCTGCAGCGCGGGTCACTCCGCAAAGGCGCAGAGACGCAGCTCCGTGTGCTCTGGTCCTGTTTGTGCAGACCATGGAGCAGACCCTGGAGCAGACTGACCTGAGATCAGCGGCTGTGGAGCCGTGTGCAGAGACACAGAGCTGACACAGTGCTTTAGGAAACTTGAACAGACACAGGGCACAGCTCATGTGGGGATGGGTGTAGCCTCTGCACAAACATGCAAAAACAAACGAACTGAGTTTATGTAGATCTTCAGCTCCAGTGTCTGAACAACACAAGTGTGACCTGCTGGGGGCAGGTGGCTCCTCTGTTACAGAGGATTTCTGCCAGCTCGGTCTTAAACCAGCTCTGTTGAACGCGGACGTAACTGTTCCCAAATGTCTGATAAACTTTATTATGTATTCAGTGTGTTTCAGGCTGAGCATCATGGTGTGAACCGCCTTTCCCACAAACGCTAACGTCAACCAGACGCGGCCCCTCCTCCTGCAGAGTTCACATCCCTGGGACTGTCAGGGGGACGGCTTTCATTGGCCCAATTAGCTCCGAAGCATGTTGTTGGACACATGTTTTTGTACTCGCTGTCACGGCTAACCTTTAGGAGAGAAGCACTAAGGACACCCATATGAGCAGACTTTCCACAGCAGTGATTTCATCAGTAATGAGGCACTATAAGCTGCAGATGTTGTGTCCAACTCTGCTATAGCAACCATGGCACCAGGCCGAACACACACTGAGCCGTGCCCAAGGTGATACAAGCTCTCCCGTATGTGCTGACCCGGGGCCAAACTCATGACGCACGCTCTTTCCTCATGCTATAGGCCAGCCCCGCACTCCTGAGGTTGTGATGCTTGTTCTATTGGAAACACACTTTGTTTTACACGTCTGGAGCGGAATTATTAACGGATGTCTCCAGTTAATGTATGATTTAAAGTTAAACTCTGCGGACTATTCCTCAATAAACACACAACTGTCATACATTAAAAACACTTTATCATAGGCTTAATTTGTTTGACTACATGATACAGGTGGTCAGTGCAGATCCATGTACAAACAACTACAGTCTTACAGCACTCTCACGTAGGCAATGATGCGACACACACTCTTTCTGCAGAGACACAGGATCGGTCGAGTTTGTGCGTGCGTTTGAGTCTTTTGGTTTCCCCGGTGGCTTCAGGTGATGTAGATGCGGTGAAAGTCATTGGCTCCGAAGGCACAGTTGCACTTGGGGCACTTTCTCTGCCGCGTGTCGTAGCGCATCTTCAGGCACTCGTAGCAGAAAACGTGGAAACACTTTGTGAGAACGGTCTCCTTATCTCGCATGTTGCAGCAGGGACACCTCAGCTTGGCCTGGGAGCAAACACAAACACAGAGTTACTGCAGCAACTGGGACGGTGAGTAAAAGGTATAACACATTCATCCCACAACACTCTCTTTGTATCACAAGTTTAAAAGGTCCTTTTCTGGGTTTATGAGTAAATAAATGTTTTAAAAGATGCGGCTGCTTCTCACACAGATTATTTAAATATTGACGCTCCATGTATCATTCTTCCATAGAGGCCAGAATGGAGAAGTGCATGACTAATATTTGCCTCATGCACAGATTCCTCCAGCTCACGGATGTTTATCGCTCCTCCACATTCACCACGGGCCTCTTGACTGCATCACTGATAAGGGCTGTCATTTTTAGGCCTTTAGTTTGGCTGGGCGGCAGGGTCTTGGTAGGTTTGCAGTTGTGCTTAGGGCTGGGCGATAAGGCTGAAAACTATATCACGATATAAGTCATTCATATCGGTCGATAACGATATATATTGAGTTTTTTTTTTTAACCAACCTTAGCATTAATTAATTAATTAAGTATTAATTATGTAAATATTGAGAAAGTGTCGGAAATTAGATTTCTTGGAGTGATCTTGGATGACAAACTAACTTGGAAATCACATATAATGCATGTAAAAAATAAGGTATCTAAAAGTTTATTTATATTGAATAAATCAAAATATTTGTTACCATGTAACACTTTGAGAATGTTATATTGCTCAATGGTACTTCCTTATTTTAATTACTGTGTAGAAATATGGGGTAATACTTACAGCACCAACATACAGCCTTTAGTTCTATTACAGAAAAGAGCCATTCGAATTGTTTATAAAGCTGGATTTAGAGATCACACTAATCCCCTTTTCATTAGATCAGGACTGATTAAGTTTAAGGATATAGTAGAGTTACAAACTTTATTGATCATGTTTAAAGCCAGTCACAGAGCTCTTCCAGAAGAGTTACAACAGTTATTTGTGTTTACTTCAGAAAAACAAAATCATAGAAGGAGATATGACTTCAAACATCCAATAGCACGAACAACTTTAAAACAGATGAGTTTATCTGTTGTTGGAGTAAAATTGTGGAATTCTCAAGAAAAAGACTTACAAAGTTGTAAAACCATTTTAGAATTCAAACAGACTTACAAGAGGAAACAAATCCAAATCTACAAAAGTGATGTTTAATTACGTGTTATGTTTATTATGAAATGTATGTGCGGGTATGTATATGTATGTATGTGTATATATGTATGTATGTATGTATATATATATATATATTGTATGTGCTTATATGTGTTTATAAAGAAGGCAGAGGAATCAGCAGCAAAACCATATAATTTTGTTTTGTAAAAGAGGGGGCAGAATTATATAAGAATAATATTCTTCTATCTGCTCCTTTCTGATCATGGAAATGATTGAATGATTTGTTTGAATGATTTGAAACTTGTATAATTATGCATTTTCATGAAACAAATAAATAAATAACAAAGCAGCCTTGTTTACAGTCACGGGGCGATGAGGCTGGAGGAATATGTTCACACTGTGTCCCTCGTTGTTAGTCCTGGTTTAATCCTGGTTTTTTATTCCTGGTTTAGCTCCTGGTTTATCTGTTTGAGGGTCTTGTGTCCCCATGACCGCTCCGTGCGGCTCTCTGTGCCGCACATGCTTCCCGAGGAAAAAGTTAATCTCTTGCTTTCGCCGAATACACGTGTCTGTCCACTGCCTCTGCCGCCGCACATGTTATTCCGCGCACGTACGTGCACAACCATTGACACGGAATTGACACACGAGCTATAGATCCATGGACGCTACGCATGGTGCGGTTGTTGGTGTTTTTGCATTTCCCACAAAGTTTTGCGGTTCCTGCTCAGCTGTTATTGGTCGAGAAGCCTCTGCCTACATCCCCCACAATGCCATGCGCTTATGAGTCGGCTTTACTTCCGGTGTTTTCTTCCTGTTTTTCCTGACGGAGTTAAAGGTATATTAGGAGGATTTTCCCATATTTGAGGAAAGAACCGCCCTCTCCACTTTTTGAACAGAACTCTCTGGTCTTATTTGACGAGCACGTATCCTCAGAATGATTGACAATTAGGAGGACCAATAGTCTTGATGATCCACCCGGAAGTAGAAAATCCTCCTATGTACCTTTAAGTTAAACTATCGAACATTCTATCGACCCCATTCTCTATTGATATCGAACACATGTCTATCGCGGTATATATCGTTATCGTTTTATCGCCCAGCCCTAGTTGTGCTATACCCTTATTTTATACTATTATAATACCATTTATTTGACAGAAACAATGAAAATTAATCAAAAGTTAGAAATAATTAATCAGAAAAACACACATATTAATAATCTGTAAATCAGTTACTCAGCCATCTTGATCTTCATGTCCAGTAGGGCAGATTATTTTGATTATCCAGATTATCCTCCAGATTAGTTACAAATGAAGAAACCTGAACCTGTTCAGAAGGAATCTAACCATAACTCAACGCTTTGTTCTTTATCATTAGCATTAAACCCTCTGTTTATTTTCAGCCATCTACAAAATCCTCAAACTTTTTCACACCACAATAATCCCAAATCGGTCAATCTCTAGGAACAGAATAAAAAGGTCTAAAGCCTAGCGTACATCGGACTGGCAACTGATTATATCCGTCGCCTCTGAGTTGCTGCCCCGCACACATCGACAATCTGGCGAAAACGGGCAACTCTGAGTCGCAGGCCAGTCTCTTGAATAACAGCGCGTACATCGACAGCAACTGGCCTCAACCACAGTGTGTTTTCTGACAACAAACTGTTGCGGGCTCGCAATACACACAATACACACACGTTGTCGGAGCGGCGCATGGAGCGCGCACATCGGAGCAACTGAGGACAACTAGTTGCCGAAAAGTAGAACACGGGCAACTGACTGGAACTGGAGACCGACTGATCATCTCCAGTTGTAAGAGCGCGCACATCGACCGATTTTGGCAACTGATCATCTCCCACCATCTCCTCTCAGTTGCCAAAAGCCGCCTTGCAACTAGTTGTCCCCAGTTTCTCTGTCGATGTACGCTAGGCATAAAAGTGCAGTGTCTGGTGTCAAGGCACTGAGCAAATCCAGAACTTCTCACGCTTCATCTCAAGTGGCTCTTGTCGTTGTGACAATATCTCCAGATTTGACAAGAATGATGTCGTGATTACTTCCACTGTTATTGATGAATCAGTGGCCGAGGGCCGGGCTTCGGGCTGATGACCGCATAATGACCTCGGACACGGGCCGGGCTCTTCATTTTCAGAGCGGCAGAATACATTTACGAACGCACCCACTGAATATAGCGTTCCATCACGCTGTAGTGTTTGTTGTTCTGTGTAGTGTTGTCATTGACGGCACATAGCGTTACTTACAGGTGTGTTGCAGCATCTGGGCATCATACAGCTGTGTATCATACAGATGCGGCCGTTCACTCTGCACCACTCCGCACACACAGAACTCATTGCAACACATCAATACCATGTATAACTCCGCCCTCTAAGTCTGCGTTCATATCAGTGCGCGGCACTATATATTACGCTAAAACATTGTTATGGGAGGTTACAAAAAAAAACAAACTGGCTTGATGCGGGTTTTGGGCCTGAAAATTCAGAAACCATATCGGGCCGGGCCGGGCTGGGCTGGGGCGCCACCCCCTCGGGCCAGGGCCGGGCTCGGGCCCAGATAATAGGCCCGTGCAGGGCTCTACTGAGGGGTCATTTGCTGAAGTCGGTGTGTGCTAAAGCTAAAGCTAAAGCAGGTCTAGAACGGTCTCTGTTGGATATCATCGTCTCCTGTGTTTGGGTCATTCTATTCCACTTTAATATAATCTACAACATGTCACTTTACAAACAGTGAAATACTAATCATTTTGTGGCTGTTTCTTTCCCTGCCACCAAGAGGGCAGTGCTGGAAGACCCTCGTAAGAGAGCGACTATGAAGATGTTTTGTATTAAAATAATCACTCTTGGGGTTATTGTAACAGTTGTTTGCTCCCACCTTATACTGATTAATCTCCTCTTGTAAAATCTCGTCTGCATCAGAGTAGACCTCCACTTTCTTCTGTTTCTCCAGTTTCCTCCTGAGCCGTGACAGATCCTCCTGTTGAGAACACAGCAGATGTTGACAGTGTTTCTCTGAGTGCTGTTGCTGTGACGAGGTCTGTACCTGAGCTCTCTTCAGGTTGCTGCTCTCCCGCTCTCTCGCAGAGCGGTTCTCGGCCACAGAAACCTGGATCTCTTTGAGCTTGGCCTGAGTGTGCTCCAGCTGCACCTTCAAGTCCTCTGCCAGCTGCGCCGCCTCCACCGCCTGCAGCACAGGAAGCCGGACACACTCAATTAAAACCACTTCAGAGCAGAGAGGAGGCCCCAGTGTTCCCATAGTCCTGATACCAGCACCACACCAGTGACACGCCCTCGTTATGGTCCGTGTTTATGATCTGTGTTTATGGCTTTCATGTTCTAATGTATTTACTGTGCTCTTAACATAAACTTCTATGACAGCACTTTTCCACAGAAAACAATGCATTTAAGATGCTCCTCTTGGCTTCAAGCAAACTACTGCTTTCAGTTAAACTAAGTAGCGTCTCATGTGTTTCCATTTTCACTTTATTGTTAGCACGTTGTAAGCACATAAGAGTATTGTTACTGAGACTACAAAAGTAAATTGACATTACGTCTTTTGTAAATCCTTTTTCTTCAACAAAGGCAGATTCATTGCAAATGCTGAGTGTGATTTATGATATTATTTGGGATTTAAAAGGCCACAGCACAAAGGTCTCAGAACAATCTACACTAAACTCCTGATGAGCGGTGCTGTGGCATTTCACACTCAGAAACAGAACTCCATCTGGCTCTAATCTGCAGTGAAGGTGATGAGTGGAGCTGAAAATGTCTCACCTTCCTCTTGTTGAGCTCCAGAGCCTGTGTGCGCACGGCCAGCTCCTTCTCCAGCGCCGCCAGCGTGCTCTGGAGAACGCCCTCCTTCTCCTCCAGCTTCTGCACCACCAGCAGCTGTGCGTCCACCTGTAGAAACACACTCTTCTAGCACTCTGCACAACACGGGCCCAACAGTCGTCATGTGCTCAATACCTGGGTTTTAAAAGTGAGGACCTGGTCTGCCAGCTCCTCCTTCTCCTCCTTCAGTAATTTGTAGATTTGGTTTGATTTGATTCTCTCGCTCATGAGTTTGAAGTTGGCGTCGTCCTTTTCCCGTAGCTGCTGCAGGAGTCTGCTGTTCTGCTCCTGCATGTCCTCGAACGCCTGGCCCGTCACGTCCATCTCACTCAACAGGTTCTCTTCCTCCTGGAACCAAGCAGAATACGTTAGTAATGATGTCCAGCTTGTTCTTAGAAATACTTTGAAACTTTTTAGATCAGAAGAAAGAGTCACAGCGTCTAATCACACAGAGAAACAAAGTGTCCACTAGGGCCCTGCAAAGTTGTGGGAGTCCAAAATAATCACTAATTTTGGGTTTTTACAACAGAGTTTAGTTGTGCCACTTCATTCATAGAGTAAGAGCCAAACAGGTCCAATAAACATAAGTGGTACCACCCACAAGAAGTAGCTTTTTATGAGTTAGTTCTGGCAATCTAAAACAATGGCAGATGTGGATTGAAACCACATATGATGCAGAGAGAGATACACCCTCTTCATCAACGTAGAGACTCAGCACTGCCTCTTTACCAGCCTGCTGCAAAAACATTTCTTTTGAACTACACTACTATGAATTTGGTGATGGTTAAAAGAATATGCCTGGGTATGAGTATGAAGGTGAAGGAGGAAAGTGTATACAGGTCATGGGTGTGTCTACGGTTTATTTACCAAATCTACCTGTTTAGTCGCAGCCAGTTTCTTCTGGAGATGCTCTATCATCTCCTCAGCCACTCGGATCTTCCTCAGCGCATCTTCGTCGGCCAATTTCTTACTCTCCTTTCTCTCTCTTTCCTCGAGATCACGCACGCGCATCCGCAGCTCCTCCACCTGATGGAAGAGAGGCGTTAGATCGGAACAATTGCGAGTAACAATGTTTTGGTTGAAAGAACAGGAAGCGAAGACAAACCTCTGCTTTGGACTTGCGCTCGGCCGCCATCAGCTGCACTTTGTCCCTTTGTTCCTTTGGAGCAGATTTGTACATGTCCAATAACAGCTTCATCTCCTTCTGGGACTCCTGAGCTTTTCTAATGACGATACAAAAACATTGGAAGGTTATTTAAAACCATGATTAACATTAAACATTCTGGACCTTGTGTAAACAAAAAGTAGCTCAGCTGGTAGAGCGTTGGCCTTTGAGCCAGAAGGTCGTGGGTTCAAGCCCCGCTCAAGACTTTCACCATTGACTCCCACTGACTACTGTCGTTGTGTCCTTGGCAAGACACTTAACCTCTGGGAACACCAGCCACAGTGGGGCGGCTGCGGCTGTAAAGTGCCAAGCTGTTGTTGTGTCCCTAGGCAAGACACTTCACCCCCATTGCCTCGAATGAGTCTGGTGTGTGTATGAATGGTTGGTGGTGGTCGGAGGGGCCGATGGCGCATACTGGTTGCCTCGCTTCTGTCAGTGTGCCCCAGGGCAGCTGTGGCTACAGTAGTAGTTTATCACCACCGTGTATGGAGTGAATGAATAATGACACATGTAAAGCGCTATATAAAAACCGATGCATTATTATTATTATTCATTATTAAAGTATTGTGATATTTGCCTCTTTACATAAAAATTAGGGCCGGGACTCCAATAAAAAAAATTAATCTAATTAATTAGAGGCTTTGTAATTAATTAAACGCATATAAATATTTGACCTGAGAACAGTGAGAAGTAATTTTTTCACATGGATTTTTAGTTTACCATTGAATAATGGCTGCTCCTCCTCCGCCTCCTCCTTCTGCTTTTACGCACAGAAGTCGCTGCTCCTCCTTCTCACACAGAGTCCATCACTCCACACACAGCGCTCATTCCCGTCTCTAACTCATTGGGTTTCAGCACTCTGTCTTTCACTTATTCTACCGCACTTCACCTCAAAAATCTCAAAGAGAACCAGGAGCATTATCTACATCAATGGTCTCCAACCTGTAGCTCGGCCGAACCTTTCAGGATTCAGGAATTTGACACATGATCCTGAATGATTACGTTTTGAGTCATTGCAGATCTATCTTAACAACACATGTTTTCTTATTGCTCCTTCTCATTCTAAATTTAGGAGTTTTTGTGCTTAAGTCTTGCTCCTTCATCATGCTAAAGATAGAAAATTAATACTGCTTCTTTTTACACTAGAGTTTTAGAATGTATTCTATTTTATAGCTAATCTTGTGCTGTGCTCCTCATTCGTACTGTTCTGTAATTGGAAATGCAACACTGACATTTCCCCACTGTGAGACCAATCGAGGATCTCTTCATCCTTCACTGATATAGGGCTAATCAGAAACATGGCACACTTTGTTTTTCCGCAGTTATACCAACTGTTTTATTATAATAGACTACCGAGACATTTTCAAAGTAGCTCTGGAGTACCCTGATCTACAATATCTATCCTGTGTCACACCAATATTTTTTAAAAACTACAGTTAAAAGGCCGTGATGGTTCCAGCTCCCCATGTTTACACCAGTTGCAGCAGAAACAGACCGCTGCACTTTGAATAACCCAAAGTGCAGAGTGACGTACTTGAGATCCACTCGGAGCATCTTCAACGTGTCGGAGTTCCTCTTGAGTTCGTCGCTGCGCTGTCTCTCCCGCTCCCTCTCCCTCTCTCTCTCTCGCTCCACCTCCCTCTCTCGCTCCCGCTCTCTCGCCCGCTGTCTCTCCAGCTCTTTCCTCCGCTCCTCCTCTTCCTCCTGGTCGTCCTCCTCCTCCTTCTTGACGTCGCTGCTGTCGGACGTGCTGTCCTCGAGGATGAGGACCCCGGTGTCTCCGCTCTGGCAGCGCAACTGTGTGGAAAGAACTCAGCTCAGTCTCAGGTTTTAACAAAAAGAATCTGAGAGAGAGAGAGAGAGAGAGAGAGTAGCTTTAAGTTCAGACGTGCACCTTATTGATCTCCATCTGTGTCTCTCTTAGTTTCCGTTTGAAGCGCTGCACGTCCCCTTTCAGCTGCATGTTGTGGTTCTGTAGACTGCTGATCAAGTGTCGCATTTCTCTGTTGATTGGTCCTGACGGAGAAAAATAAAATAATTTAAAAAAATATATATCACCCAAAAACGTCCCATTATTGTTCCTCTGTTAAACATGGGACACACACCTGCTTGTTCATTGGCAGCTAGATTCTGTTCAAACTCAATTCGAAGCATCTCATATTCTTTGCGGACCTGGGCCAAAGTGTCCTCGAGCTGAATGACCTCTGTCCGCAGCTTCTTCTGAAGAGATAACTCGTCGCTCTGAACAGACGAGAGTTTGTGAGAAACGGGGAGAATGGAAATGTTGTGTTTGAAAATCTGCCGGCTCTACCTCCATGTGCTCGATCTGACGGAGGTGGGCGTTCTTGGCCGTGAGCAGAAGGGCTCGGGCCTCATCCAGCTGAGTCTTCACACCGAGAGATTCATTGTACAGCAGCGAAAACTGAGACTGGAGGCATTTGTATTCGGTGGTCTCCTTCACAACCTCCTCTGGAATGTTGCGCAGATCCATCTACAACACAGAGGTTGGAGAATGGAGTTTATAAAAGGCTTAAAACAAACTTCATTTTAAAGAAGTTTATTCCCAAAAACATACCTTGAGTTTTTCACTCTCTCGAACGGCCTCTTGAAGCTCTACCTGAAGCTTCTCCAACTCTGCCATTCGGCTGTTTGCCAGCTCCTGGTTGTGCTCCAGCTCTGCATTAAGACTCTCAAACTAAAGGGAAAAACAAATGTTACATGTTCAGATAAAAAATATATATATATATATATATATTTAGGATCAAGGAACAGTGATTCTTGCCTTCTGAATATTTAAAGTGATCTGGCCACCAGGTAACACTCCAGAGCTCCCAGTGCTGCTGTATCCAGACTTCAGCTACACAAACAGAAAAGCCATCAGTATGAAACCACAGAAAGCCTTTAGAGCAGGGTTTAGGGTTAGGGTTCACCTGCTCCATGGCTTCTGCCAGATGCTTGTTCAGCTTTTGTTCCCTGTTGCTCAGCTTCTCTGTGTCCCACTGTAAGTCTTCTACAGTGGTCTGCATCTCCGTCACTTTGGTCTCTGCACTGGTCACTTTATCTACCCACTCATTGTACTGCAAAATAAAAGTAGGAAAAATACACTTTTGGTCACAGGCTGTTGACAAACATGATGGTAATGAGAAGATGAATAATGGAGCTACCTCCATCGACATCTTATGATGTCTGCCTTGCAGATGAGTGGCCACGTCCCTGAGGCGCCCACACTCCTCGTGGAGCTTTCGATTTGAATTCAAGGTTTCAGTCCGGATATCGTCTTGGGAAACTGTCACATCCACAAACATTACATCTTTATTAGTCCTTCTATTTGTGTGTGACAGTAGGTTGTTCGAATGATTTTACATGAGATTTTAAAACACATACTCCATGTGAAATCAATATGTTATTTTTACGGCAACATAATCATCATAATAAAAATTATAATAAAAAATCAAACTCTTTTGGACACTCCAAGACCAGGACTTGACATTAAGCTCTGTCAGCCATTCACATTTTACTTGCCCAATGTCAAAAGTTACTTGTCCAAATATTTCTCAATAAAATGAGAACAAGAGTTTGGCAATAAAGTGGAACTAATTGAGAAAAATATATAAAAACACCACTCTCGGCCCAAAAAGTCAAATAATGACTCACCGGGCTATTAAGTATCCAAAATAAAATTACAAGACAGCCGTTGCGGTGTGTTCAATTTGATTTGTTCACAACTTTTTACTTGTTCACAACCAACATGAACTTTTAATGCAAGTGAAAATGTAGGTACCCAAGCTTTAATTTAGTCAGTTTTGGTTGCGCTTGGGGATGAGACACTTGCAGCAAACTGGGGATGGTTCTTTCCACACGTCTATGGTTCTGTCCACACGTCTATGGTTCTGTCCACACGTCTATGGTTCTGGTTCTGTCCACACATCTATGGTCCGTGCTCTACAGATGTGCGTTCACTGTGCTGTTGTCAAAGCGGCTGCAGTTGCTCCCGTGGTCAGAATGGAGGATGTGAATTCCGTTCGCGTACGTACAGAAAAAAACAAGTACACGCGGTCACACAACGGAAAAAAGTCAGAAATCACGGATCCACAGAAAATGTTCAATGTTCAAACAGATGTGTCTGTTCCCGGCTCTAGAGGAAGAAATGTGCTCCCGGCCTGAATGAGTTAAAGTGATACATCACTTGTCCGATCGGGCAACTTGCTAACACACCGCCCTTGCCCGTCCCAACGAACAACCATTAATGTCGAGCTCTGAAGACGCTTTACTAAACATATAATAATAAACATTGAACAACAAACATAGGAAAGGCAAAGTGAAACAGGTGGGTTTTGAGAAGTGATTTCATTATAACATAAATATCCTTCTGTTGATTGAGAATGAACCATGTTAATGGTTTGGCTGCAGTGTGAACTGGTCAGTGTTACAGTGTTGTTACAGACCATGGTGTGTGTCGGAGATGGTTTGGCACTTGCCTTCGGCCTGGATCCTCTTGCACATATCATCGATACGATTGTGTAGTCTGTCAAAGACACACACCAAGCTTCCAACAACATCTTTGCTAAACTTCATACGGTCTTGAAGATGGAGTGACAGCTCCTCCTCACTGCTGTGCTCCAATATTGTAAGGAATGTCTTGGAATTCTCACTGATTGGAACAGGGGGTGGAAGTGGATCTGCACAGAGAACACAACTACTAATATATATTCTACATTTTAAAACTGGTAAAAAGTAATGCCTAACCTGCTGCTTGCTGCAGCTCCATGGGCACTGATTGTTCTCCTGTTGATTCGGGAGGCGGAGGTTGATGTGGCGTTTCCTCCTTGGGTTCATCTTGTGGTGGCTCCGGCTGCTCTGTCACATTCAGTCCTTCTGGCAATGGAGGCAGAGGCGCAGAAGCAGTTGGTGACACCAGGTTAATGCCATCTTCTTCCATTGGAGCCGAAGCAGGAACCAGAGCAGAGACTGGAGCAGAGATTGGAGCCGGGGCTGGTGGTGCTGGCTCTATTTGTTTTCGCAGAACATGCATGTTTTCCTCCAACTAAGGCCACAGAACAAGTTTTAGGTCATAATCACAGTCTGATTTCTCTCATGTGACAGACATGTACAAGATGCATATAAAGCTGTGGTGGTACCTGTGACCAGTAGCGATTGACAATGAGTAGAGTGGTGTCATCGGTGGCCTGTCTCTTCTCCAGTTTCTCTATCTTCTCACGCAGCTCGTCCTCCATCGCCTGCCTCTGCTCCAGACGCTCACACAGCTTTTTGTTTTTAAACTGGATTACCTTCATGTCCATTTCCTCCTGTGAACGATGAGGATCAGCACAGAGGCCGTATGAACAGGGCTGATCATTACTGCAGTTGGATATGGGGTCAAACTCACCGTTGAGGAGACACCAGCTATTCGAATGGGTTCAATCAGAGTGGTGGTGGTCTTCTCCTCCTTCTTGCTCTTCTTTTCAGGTGGGCCAGGGGGGCTGTCCCCGCCCATGGGACGCTTTCCTCCCCCAGCACCTGACATTTTCTACTTCCCTGGAAAAACAGATACATGAAGATAGAAAAACTGAAGTTTCTGTAATGCAAAGACTTGCAGAGCTGGTTACTTTAATATCTCTAAATGCATGATCTCCGTTTTCATTGATCGACATTTATAATACAATACAAACTCATTTCTGATTTCGGACGTTAGCCAGTTGCTAAGAAGACAGAAGCTAACGCTAGCTAACGTCATGCCGATTGATTCCAGTCAAAGCGAGAATAAGTGAGTTTTCACAAGTCCCGGTTAAAGAGTGAGTTACTATTGTGTCATACTCTAGTTATAGAAGACATCGCATACGAGCACGTGTGGAAAAACACAATATCTGACTATATTTAACTGCACAAACCTTTCTTACAATCGACAGACAACGGACGTACACAGAGCACCGGAAGTTACACAATACCATTTCCGTCTGGAAGCAGTAGACATTGTGATCATTATTACAATATGACCAAGCTGCTTGTGGATCATGGTTTATTGAAAATCATGGCAAAATATTTAGAACACACAATAATTTTAAATGATTACAAGATAATTAATACAGAAAAAAAACTTGAGTTCAAACCCCAGCCACACGGGGGCGACAGAGACAAACTTTACTCCCAAATGTGCCAGAAATGTAAACATCGTCCGTGTCCGAGAGACTGATCTAGTTCAGATCTAATGTGGATTCTTCTGAGTTTGGCCTTCGATGACTGCTCCATGCTTCTGTAGCTGTACACACATGATCCACAGCTGATTTGTGGGAGTTCGCTGTGAGTAGACCGTGTTTGAGCGACATGCAGAGACAGAGAGTGAGAAAGGCCAAAGTCCTGGAGGCTCTGTATGTGTGATGGAGTTACTCTACAGATCTACTTAACATGCACACAGGCGGCTTACGCAGTAACAGATACAATCTTCCATTTAACCTTGAAGATACACATTCTTTACACACAAACACATGCTTATTTCCTGGAAGTCCATATACCACAGGCTTTATCTATGTCAAGAGTTTACTCATGTTGCGCTGGCAATCAACACATATTTGCAAAACACATACATCTGATGGACTCCCAGAATTATTAAACTGTCATTGTGATCGCTCCCGTTAAAATCGATGGAATTCCCCCAAAAAGTTAATTTTTCAGTTTTTTTTTTTAACTTGACTTACCTATACTAAGAGCTAAGACTGGTGTTTATAACTTGAAATACAAAAACTGCCATGTTAGCAAAGAAAATGGGGAAGGCACATATAAAGTTATTGCTTGGGCCTTCTCCTTTGAGCTTTGTGCTTGAAATTATTATGTACCTGTAAAAATACATTGTAACTGCTCAAACTAACTACTAACTGCTTGTAACTAATACTATTCTAATTGCTCACGTTTAAAAAATGACAGATAATTTCATTAAAACAATAATGACGTAGAAATAAACCACACATAGACACAGAAAAAGTCAAAAGTTATGACAATGGGTCTCACAAATGCATTGTGCAAAACCAACTAACATACAATACTTAAAGCTGAAGGAATACCTGTTTGCTACCTAGATATTGATGTCTAAATATACTGCATAAGGTCTGGGCCTGGGTGGTGTGGTGGGGGGGACGAGGGGGAGGGTTTGGGTCCCAGGGGGCGGGTGGTAGGGTGTGGGGGATGAGGTTTGTTTTGCTCCCTTTTGTTTCTTGCTGTTGTCATTGTTTACACACTAATTTAATTTAATATCTTTCCCAGTACTGTTCCATTAAACTGTATGCATTTAAGCTACCAAAAGCTTCAGTAATGATCATAATGAACATTGTGTGCCTGTGATCAGGTGGTATTCCAACACTGCTTGGAAAATTTGTGTTTAGTGTATTTTTTTGTTTTGTTACTGGAACATGTGCATAATATGTCTTTTGTGAGCCGTACTCATCCCTGCACTCTCCTTGAAAATAATAAAAAATTGATCCCATTTTTTTTTAAATGAAAATCAACCATGTACATACACTCAGTAATGGCGTTCAATGATTGTTGTATGATTCTTGTGTTGTTACAGATTTATATGGTGTCATTATGACCAAAGATATTGTTGTTGGGGATGAGTTACCAGACTGGGTAGGAGCCAAAGAGTTTTACCAGAAATATGACCCCAAAGAGGTGATTGGAAGGTGAGTGCATGAGTGGTGTGTTGTGTGTAGATCTCTGAACATGTTGTATGTACTGAGTGCAGTGTGTTACAGGGGGGTGAGCAGTGTGGTGCGGAGATGTGTGCACAGACACACTGGGCAGGAGCTGGCGGTTAAGATCATTGAAATAACTGCAGAAAAGATGAGCGCCCAGCAGTTGGAGGAAGTGAAAGTTTCAACACTGAAGGAGATTCAAGTGCTCAACACAGTGACAGGACACCCCTCGATAAGTGCGTACTCAAGTTCAGTATTTTGTTCAACATTTACTGTGTATTTCCGTATTAAATGTATTGTTGACTTTTAGTTACACTTGTGGATTCCTATGAGTCAGTCACTTTCATATTTCTGGTGTTTGACCTGTAAGTAACCAATCAAACAAGCTTCTTTATGTACAAGATTATGTTTATTTGACTTACTTTTACTTATATTTTTAGTATGCGGCGAGGGGAGCTGTTTGACTACCTCACTGAAAAAGTTACTCTAAGTGAAAAAGAAACAAGGTGAGAAAAACACAAGCCTGAGACACATAACAGGAAGTTTGCAAATAGCTTTTTAACTCTGACTGTTTTCTGTAAGGTGTATTATGCGGGCGCTGCTGGAGGCCGTGCAGTACCTCCATTCCCTCAGCATCGTCCACCGAGACCTTAAACCAGAGAACATTCTTCTGGATGATCAGGGACACATTAAACTGTCTGACTTTGGTTTCTCAGTGCAGCTACAACCTGGAGAAAAGCTGAGAGGTACCAGCTGCACTGTGGCTCATGCCTGAATAAGGAATCCAGATTTTCCATTGATTTTCTATGTATTTCTACATTTAGAGCTTTGTGGGACACCGGGTTATTTGGCACCAGAAATTCTGAGGTGTTCCATGGATGAAATGCATCCTGGCTACGGCAAAGAGGTGGATCTGTAAGTCTTATGACCCATTATGATATATTACAGGTAAATTGGTATTTTGGTAGAGTATTTTGAGTGCTTTCCTTCCCACAGTTGGGCCTGTGGAGTGATCCTCTTCACGCTCCTGGCTGGATCTCCTCCTTTCTGGCATCGCAAACAGATGCTGATGCTGAGAATGATCATGGAAGGGCGCTATCAGTTCAGCTCTCCAGAGTGGGATGACCGGTCTGACACTGTGAAAGACTTGGTAAGGTTTTTATCTTTTTCTTTTACCGTATGGATACTGATACATAGTGGTGGGAATTGGCAAAAAATGTGACGAATCAATAGTATTGCAATATTTGGGCCACAATTCAACATGAGTGAGATTCTTAACATACAGTGATACAGCAAGTTTTGTGATTCGATTCTCTGATATATTGCGATTCATGTCCCTCATATTATTTGAAGGCATTACACTACTCTGTCCATTTAATTGTGTGTGCAAACTGTCGCATTACTGAACAGAATAGAATTTTTCCACCACCACCATTACTAATTGCCCTTTTTTCTTAGATTACTAGGCTGCTTGTAGTGGACCCTGCTGCCCGCCTCACTGCTGAGCAAGCATTGGCACATTCCTTCTTCTGCCTGTATCAGAAAGAAGAGTTACGGACCTTCAGCCCGAGAAAGTCTTTCAGGGTGAGCTATGTTACTTGTTTACGGTGCGGTTTTGCCCAGAAGCAATACGTTTAAAGCTGAAGTACCCAACCTTTTTGTTTCATAAATACATGGTGTGTGTCCCAACAGAAAGAATCTTGTTTAAGTAACATTCAGGTCACAACATGTTATTTTTTGCATACTGAGAGCTGATTTAAGAGTTAAGGTGGTCTCTTTTTTCACTTTTTTGTCTGAAGATGTGACAGATGCATGTGGACAGTTTTGAGAACAAGGAACTAGTTAGAATGACATTTATGAGGCATGTATCAACATTTATGGACATATGGACCAATAGTTCTATGTGTTTTTAATCATTGCATTTCCTGAGTTTGAGTTGAATCGACAGCTCTGTAAAGTCCTTAGAGATAACTGCTGGTTTGATTTTGGACTATAGAAACAAATATAGAATGTTGATTATTTTTTGTGGTTTCACAGTTTGGTGCGCTATATATATTCTCTACACTGAATCTAGTGTGTTTTTTCTTATAATGTTGGTGCTTTCACTTTAGTCGTGGATTCATTCACACATTACAACTCTATAATTGTCGTCTTCTCTGCAGGTGTTGATCGTGTCCGTGTTGGCCTGCATCCGCATGTACAGCCGCTACCGCCGCGTCCGCCCCCTGACCCGGGACGTCCTGGCCAGAGACCCTTACTCCATCCGAGGGGTGCGTAAGCTCATTGACGGCTGCGCGTTCAGGATTTACGGGCACTGGGTGAAGAAAGGCGAGCAGCAGAACCGGGCAGCTCTCTTCCAAAACACAGCTAAAATCGTGCTTTTGGGCCTGGAGGACTTTGACTCCTAACAAACCTCATTCCGTCTATGTTTCGTGGAACTACCTGCATTCGGGCCATGTTTGCGTCTGTTTTTGCCAAGTTATATTTTAGACACTTTTAGAAAGACCATTTTATTTTTATGCCTTAATTTAAGCATTGGTTTTCAAATTTTATCCTTAACACGCACAATTAAGTATATTATTTTAGTTTTTGCTCTTTTGATTTTAGTCTATTTAAGGTCAACATGTTTGCACTGGCACATTGCTATTATCTACATTGCACAAAAATAACAAAGAGAGACTGTAATATATTCATTCCCAGTGAACACATCAAGCTGCTGTGTTCTGTGGTATCGCCGCGTTCAGCCGACTGTGGCGAACAAGTAAAACATTATGAAACTTGATGTTGTGGAACTTACTAAAGCATGTTGTCATTATCGACACGTTACATTAACTGAACAGACTCACGGTTCAGACACAGCTGCGGCACATTTTTGAAAAACATTTGACGAATGTGTAATTGAATCATGTACAAAAAATAATTATAACTTCATCCTAATGACAATAAAGCAAATAAACAAGCACTTTTGTTTTTATTTTTATTGAAAAGTTAATGTATGTTATGATAAAACTGGAGAGAATTATGAAGTGTCTGTGTCCCTCCGCTGCTTCAGTCTGCGGGTTTTTGGTCTAAAGTGAAAATGAATCATCAGACTATTATACATATTGGTTAACCCTTTCATGGTTTCCTCAACTATTTAGATTTAGATTTAGATTTATTTAGGGAGAACCTCTTGGTGGATCACGATTTACCCGAAGGCTTAGAACTGAAATCTATCTCTTTTGTGCATCGCTATCACTTCAACCATCGAACTTCATCTCAACCATTTGGTAAACGCCTATAAATAAAAAACTAGGCGGCTCAAATCTAAAAAACTAAATATTTTTGTTAGTAGTGCTCATACTCAAAGCAAAACATTTTTACAGTGCTTTCTTCAAGGAGTGAGTATAAGACTGATGGTTCCAAAGGTGGTTAAAAACAGCTAAAATATAATTAATGCAGTTGATTGAATAAAATATATAACTTATCATCATCATACATTCTATTTTAGTTGTTTTTAACCACATTTAGTATGCTTAGTCCAAGTATCTCCAATCTTTTCCCTGGGAGAGCTACTTTTATGGGACTAAAGTCGCAAATAATGAAAACACTTCTTAAAACAATGCAGCAACCAGCTTCAGTCTTAATTAAAGTGGATAAAGCAAATGTGTTTCTTGTTCTTTTAGCAAATCTTGTTTTAAGATTGTCATAATGTTCTCTAATCAAAATGATGACAATTTCGATCTTTTTTGGGCATTTTTCTATCAAAATGTAGTTATGGAAATAGTTTTATAATAAGAAATATATTTTTTATAATAAGTTTAACCCATAAATTATCCTTTGGGGAGCTACTTTGAAGAGGGTGGCGAGCTACTATATGGGCTATAGGAGACCCATGGTTTGGTATAACTATGAGCCTTACCTAACATTAAAGGGTTAAAGAAGCAGTAAAAAACACACTTACCTTTCAAGCTGTCCACTGCATTATCTGGGGAAAAGCAAAAGGTTTATCATAAGAACAACAGCGGCTAAAAACAGTTGAAATAATGGATAAAGTACAGCAGTAGTACCTGGAGTAGAACCAACTGTCTGATCAGAATATGTCAGTGACAAATCTAGTTTCACCTGTGATAAAGACACACATCCTGGTTTATTTATATATGCATGTGTGTAGTTTCAATTCAATTAATTATTGTATCGCCCTAAATCTCAGAAATCAGAGAATCAAACACTTCTAACACATAAATAAAATAGACATAGAGCCATTGGTCCATAAGGGGCAGAGACCAATGTCCATAACGGTTGATAAATGTCAATGTGTATAATTGTTCACTAAACAGATACTTCCTAGTCATACCTGTGGGGTAAAAATAGCCTTATAAAGTCTGTAGTGTCTCAGGTAAGTGTTGTAGATGTATTCATAGATGGAGAACACTTCCTCTGCGTTGTAAAGGTCAATGCTCGATGGTGGTCGCTGTCAGAGTCATGAAGAAGTTAAATATTGAGCGATAACAAAGCTTAAAAATAAATATGTTCTTGATTTACAAACCCGAACTGAATGACGGAACAGAAGCTCTTTGCAAAACGAATGACAGTGTGTGATGTTGTTCATGATGGTTTCTGCAGGAGAAAGGACAAAGTGTGAGTCTGCGGTGTGTTATTGAGGCTGAGATGTTCTGTACTTACCCACGTTAACCCTGTGAATAGCTTTAAGGATGGACAGAAGAGTTGACGTCTGTGCGGCTTTATACTGCTTTTCTCGACAGTAAAGTATTGTCTGAACATAAAGGTCCAGCAAAATTCCTCGCTTTGGATCTGGGAGCTCGATCTCCAGCACTTCACATAAAGCTCTGTGGGGCAAAAAAAATAACACTGTAACATTATTATAACATGTGGTAAAGTTAGAGTCACAGTTGGTGGGAATCTACTTTTGTATCTCTGGGATGGACTGTATTTGGTTGATCTTCTCCATGTCATGGTAAGTTATATCTGTCCTATAATATGCAAACACACACTGCTTAAAACCAGAAGTCATCTTTCAATATTGATAGAAACAAAGATATAGGTTAGCTATATTTTTTATAATTCTTACCATAGCAGGACTCTGGCTTCTGGCTCTTGTGGCATCTAGAAACACGATTAGATTAAGATGCGCACTGAAGTTGAAGTGAATTTACAACCAAAATAAGAATCCTACCTTTATTTTCATGTCCATTGATTTCTCCATGAATTAAACACGTTCAAAACAAGAAAACAACCCAGGACCACCTCTGTGTTTGACAGTTTCCCACATGGTTCCCTAGCAACGCTGACATTTCCGATTAGCTTGCTGCCAGAATAAAACTAGCATAATACAAGATATGCATTACAGTCTATGGTTTTTATCAATCTATACTTTCACACAATCAGCCAAGGAAAAAATTACAAGCAGTTAAGATTGACAACGCATATAACTTTATCGTTATTATTCATATTTTTACTCAAATTTCCCATTTCTTGATCTCTATGAATTGTGTTATACATGATTTCTGTATCGGGATATGATGAAAGAATGATAACAAGACATTAATCACGCTTCATTAATCACTCAAACACGACCTTTTTCAGTCGACTTTTGTATGTATTTTATTTTGAAATCCTTTCCCTGAAATGTAGCCACTCGGGACAATTCATCTGTATCCATAGCAACGGGATAAACCTGTGAATTTCCCGCGTAGATTTTTTCTTCTTCAGGCGTGACGTGACGTGCTCTGTGCGTGGTTTATGGGACTGCGAAAAACAAAACACAAAAACAAATTCATGAAAAGACAGCGGCGTATGTCGTCCCGCGGGCCCCGGGCTCCGCGCCGCGCTCCAGGCTGCGTCTCCTCACGTAAGAACCATAGTAAGAACATTATCTCCTCTTAATCCACTTTGCCTTCTGCTCCACGGGGCAGTCTCGCAGATGGGCCTTTCAACACAAGCCAAGTGTGTGCTTCATTACAAACACTATTCCACTGGTTTTCCTCCACATTTGTTCGTTTTGTAATCTGACAGCACTTGTTGAAAAGCATAATGGAGGATACAGATATTCGACAACAGAAACTGGAGAATCAGGTAATGTACAGGAACTGTAGTTTTAATTCAGATCTACTGTAGTTTAATTCAGATCTACTGTAGTTTAATTCAGATCTACTGTAGTTTAATTCTGTAGCTGATCAGCTGTGATAGTGAGTGTTGTGATGATCGTGAGTGTGACACAAAGTTAAACTCATCAGAGATGGTTCATGTTCGAGCTCTTTGTCAAATCCATCTGTTGTTGTCATGGTCACTACAGGTGGGTCAACGAGAGCACGTAACTAGTTAAATAAGACTTTTAAAGCTGGGGTACAATTTTCAAAGCCCACACAAAATAGAACTAGTATAATCTATGTGTGTGTATATATATATATATAATAATTGTCCACTCACCTTTGGCCCTCCGCGGGCGGTTATCCCTCTCTAAGCTCGGGTCCTCTACCAGAGGCCAGGGAGCTTGAGGGTTCTGCGCAGTATCTTTGCTGTTCCTAGCACTGCACATTTCTGGACCGAGATGTCCGAGGTTGTTCCGGGGATCCGCTGTAACCACTCATCTAGCTTCGGGGTCACTGCCCCGAGTGCACCGATCACCACGGGCACTACTGTCACCTTTACCCTCCAGGCCCTCTCCAGCTCCTCTCTGAGACCTTGGTATTTCTCAAGCTTTTCATGTTCTTTTTTCCGGATGTTCTCTCTCAGGGACACCAGCCATTGTGCACTTCTGTTATGTGCTGCATCCTTCTCCCATATGTTCCTCCAGAACTGTTCAGTTTCCAGCCTCGGTGGGTCTGCTCCCCTGTTGTTACCCTGCCACTGAGCGTACACCTTCGCAGGTTGTGTTGCGAACAGCCTGTTCACCCTTCTGGCTTCATTCTCTTTAGTGTACCTCTGTAGGCGGCTGGCCAGGGCTTGGAGCCTTTGTTTGGCAGTTTCGAGTGCTTCAGGTATGGTCATCTGGCTGTACTTTCTGGGTACTGGTCTTTTCATTGCACCTCTCTGGGCCTCTGTTAATTGACTCACTTCTCTCCGAGCCGCCTTGATCTTAGCCTCCAACCGTCTTTTCCATGGTGGGTATTGTCCATGGCTCCCATGGTTGCTCTTATAGCCAAGCATCTCTAGGATCACTGCTGCTGAAGTGTATATCAGCTCATTGGTTTCAGTGATTGTGGTGGTAGGTATTCACGCTTGCTATGAGATCCTTAGGTGGTACTTCACACAACCGCTGTAACCGGTGTCTTTGCCCTGTGCCCATTCTAGCCATGATCTTAGCTTTCAGGTCAGTCGCTGCCTCGTTCAGCGTTATCGGTTCCATTGGGGCTATGTACCCAATATCTGGTTGGGGAGTTGCAGTTGGTGGGATCTCCCCTCTGACCTCGGCAACTGTGGCATCATACATGTGTTGTACTTCATCAATCTCAAGCTGTGATAGCAGTTGCTGTTTGTGGATGTTGGAGCATTGAGCTACCAGTTGTTTCGGGGTCAACTGTGACTGTGGGTTTCGAAGTAACCATTCAGCCCACATTCTCTGCATATAACCTCTTTGGCCAGGGTTACTCGAGTAGTAGCATTCCAACAGAGCTCTGTTATCGCATCTCGTCCACTTTCGCCTTGTTCCAGTAGCCCACTTTTCATCAAGGTGCTCTGGCTCCCCAGCACCTGACGCAGACCTTGTTTGGCCGGGCGACGGCTGATCCGGCATCTCATTGCTTATTTGTACCTTCATGGTTATGAGTTAGGCAGTAGCACTGAAATGAATCATATTAAATATTATATATCACCTGCTGAGCGAAGAGCGCGAGGGAGGCTCCAGAGATTTGCAGGCAGCCCAAGGGGATTTTACTACATCTATATAAACTGGAGGGCTCAAGGACCTGAGAGAAGGGTCCAAAGCGGCGGGAAAACCTGCCTAAAGTGTTCTAACTGATAGTGACTGGCCGGAGTGCTGCTGGAATCACCAAGTATTGTCTAGGTACCAGTTACTAAAGCGTAATGGAAACGCAATCTGGTGGAAACGGGGCTATACCTATAGAGAGTTGAGCAGTCTATGATGTCTCTGCTACCTCCTCCAACTTCAGCTCGACTTGAGAAACCGCCTTTTTGATTCTTTTGTTGAGCTGGTTCATGTTCTCTCTCCTGGTGCCGGACCAGCGGGAACAGAGCCCTGGCCTGTCCTGTTTAACAAAGATTATCATGTGAAGTTGTAAGAAAACTTGAATTATCAATAAAGCACTAACACATCTGTCTTTGTACATCTGATAATTTAAAGTTCAACCACAAGCCTGTTTTAGAAGCTCTTATCACAAAATATGGAGGAAATATTTCACATCAGATGCACAGGAACTGCACCGAGATGAAGATAGACTGTTGCACAACATGCACCAGAGTTCACACAGAGACACTATTTTAACTTTCAGGCATTAAATATATGATGCTCCTTCAGACGATGTGGTGCGGTAAATATTCTGTGGTAGATCAGAGTGGCTTCCTGTAATTTAAGTACAACAAACATGCAAACACGACAAACCTGAATTTACAATCATATCGGGCCTAATAGAAAAAATCGCCAAAGAAAGAATATGGCCAATAACACATCAAGTAAAGTAGGCCTAATACCTCAAACATTACTACTAATACTTTGGCAGTTTCTACCTAAGGCCTCAAAACGGTTTGGTTGCATCTCTAGTTTTAGATCAGCTTTCTCCAGCCCTCTCTCTCAGCCAATCAGCTGTCAGTAAGTAAAATAAAACATGTTTAAACAGAGAAAGACATCATGTTGTGGTCTGGTTTGTTTACTAAATGTAGCTTAAACACATCTCTCTCTGTTGGGACGAACAAAATGTATAAATGAAAGTCACAGGTACTCCTTTAATAGTCAGATGTATCTTCACACAAATAACCCGTAGTGACGTTAAGACCTTTATCAAGATAAAACAGTCTTATAGTCGCACGGATGGGCACATCCTGGAGGTGGTGACATGAGAGGAGCGTCACCGAAGCTTCACAGATACCTCTCAGTGTGGATCAGGCAGGCGCCACTCACGGGACGTCCCACAGCAGAGAGGAGCGTTCTGCTGCGACCATGGACCTGAGAGCGCCTCTGCTGCTGCTCCTGTCCTCAGGCATCGTCCATATGTCAGGTAACCTTCAAAACATCAGAAATCACAAATATGTACGTGTTGTGGAACTCAGACCGTCCTCGCTGATGTAGGAGGGTCTCAGGACATTCAACATTTATGGACTTTATGGACTTTAGTCTCTGCCCCTTATGCACCAATGGCTCTATGTGTTTTTTTATCATTCCATTTCTTGTGTTTGATTCTCTGATCTGTGTTGGCAAGTCATCTATTCTTGCATAACCCTGATGTAGATTTCAGAAATGTCTCCTTAAAATGTTTTATTATACTAATGATTATCAATAGGTGTTTGCATAAAAAGCCTTTGTACAATGTTTAGCCTGAGTTTAGTGAATTCAGGGAAGATTCAAGGACAAGGTTGGTTTCGGTGATATAAGTATCACTTTAGGAACAGCATGCCTCTTATCGGGACAAGGCATGAGACCCAAAACCGGACTAGACCAGACCCAGACCAGGGCCTCAGTCTCTCTCACCACATGACGTCATCAGACATTTTGTTAGCAGTCTGAGCAGGGACAGAGAGCCTTTAACGCCCCCCTATATTCTAATTTTCAACATTTACTCTCTTGATCTCTAATAACAGTCATTAAAGTCATAAAATCATATATAATTCCAATATATAATTAATATATTAAAAAAAAGAGCAGGGACAGAGGGAGGACCATCGCAGGGCACCTGGATGTTAAAACGACTCAGTTAAAACGACTCAGCTCATAGGACTAGTTTGGGAAATAGAGCTCAGAAAGTTTTATATTAATATTTAATTGTAAAGAGAATTAAATATTGTTTTATATTTAACTCTTGAACCTTCGTCTTATATCTGTACCAAATTCAGAGACAATAACCCCTAAATCACAACAGTAGTTATCTCAGACGCACAAATATAGTCCTCCGAGATAACCACCGGTGTTTAGGACTCTACAAAAATAAATGTAATTGAAGTATTGAAATGGTGTAGTTTTGAGAAAAGCTTAATTGTTCATATTTCAACATTGTTTCTACATATTGCCTGTCTAGACTTGAACTACAACTTGACCTGCTTCAATGACTATGTGTCCACGCTTCACTGCACCCTGGAAGGTAGACAGCTGACAAACACCAACGATACATTTCTCAAGTTAAGAGAAGCGGACGAGGAGTAAGTCACATAATGATTGACTTTTTTTTAAACTTTAAATTCATCTCAATGTTTCCCCTTTTTCTCCATTTCAGAAGTGTGGATATCCTGTGTCCGCTGTCGTTGCAGATGGACCGTCTCTTCTGCTCGGCTGATGTTCCAATAGGTTTTTTGGACACCGACGAATACGCCATCTCTCTTTGTCACCACGATGTGGAGACCTGTGAGCTGCTGATGGATGACTATTATCCAGCTGATATGAGTAAGAAGCAGATTTTTATTCACAATACAAATGATATGTACATAAATTATATTTCTGTAAGTTTGTGTAAGCTCTCAGCCGTACAGGGTTTAGTCAAAGCAACCCTGTACGGCTTCTCACCCGTCATCTGTGCTACTTAGCAGGTTTTCCCGACGTTTCGTTCTTCATCGAAAGAACTTCTTCAGGGAATGAAATCTCAGCCCGCGTTAATGAGTTAGCTTCAGGATTAGGGGGTGGCTGACCACACCCATCCATCCATCAATTTTCTTCCCCTTAATCCATTTCTGGGTCAGGGGGGTGGCAGTCAGAGCTGCACCCGGTACACTGATCCTCCTGCAGGTGGTGAGTCTACAGGAGCTGAGATCTTTCAGTGGGAGCTTCAGGCAAAGTGGGGTTAAGTGTCTTGCCCAAGGACACAACGACAGCAGTCATCCGTGGGAGTCGTGAAGTAGGTCTTACGGTGGGCTCGAACCCACGACCTTCAGGCTCAAAGGCCAATGCTCTACCAACTGAGCTACTGTCGCTGACCACACCCTTAGGTTATAAATCTCCAAAACACGGTCTGAGATTTCATTCCCTGAAGAAGTTATTTTGATGAAGAACGAAACGTGGGGAAAAAGTGCTCAGAAGTACAGATGATGGGTGAGAAACCTTCCTTTGCTTTGATATAATTCCATGTTCTTTTTAGTTAAACCCAAGACACCAGGCAACCTCGCAGTGAGCTTCAACTCCAGCCTGTGCATCTTCTCTTGGAAAAGCAACTACGAAAACTACAGAAGCCGGAATCTTTACAATGAACTGCGATTTGAGCTGCTTTTCCACGAAAGAGGACAAGGATTCAATGTTAGATTACTATTAGTTGATGATTGTTTGACGGGAGCTTTACTAACACCACAAAACCATGTCACAGGAGACGTCACATCTCATTATCGACCAGAAAACTACCGCTACTGTTCGAGATGTTTGCAGCCCCGGCTCTGAGTGCGTGGCCAAGATAAGGTCCTGTCCCAACTCCCAGACGTACAGAGGAGTGTGGAGTGACTGGTCCACAGAGATCTACTGGAAGAAACCACTGCTTGTAAAAGGTTAGCTCGAGTTAGTGAACAAGGATAGCTGTTTGTCCATAACAAATTGGTCAAATTCAAAGTGACTATGCGTCAAAGATTCACAAAAATAGGCCTTTATTTTTTTTGTACAAAATGGAGACTCAAAATGACCTATTAGTTTTTGTATATAGTTCTGTGCATGTAGTTCCTCAATCTATTGCACGTTAGCACGTTTATGTTTTATATATTGTAGTATTTTATTGTATACAACTGTAACACTGTAATCCAGACAAATGACATTGAGGACAAAAACTTTTTCTGTTTCACCTTTCTGAAGATTAAGAGTTACTGAAGATAGAGTTCTTTAGTTTACAAAGACAAATTTACTGTATAATGCGAAAGTTCCACCACAGGAGCCTTGGAGCAAAGTAAAAATGCAGGTAGATTTGTTTTCTTTGTAATTTTGTCTCTAGGTTGGAAAGAAACATTTCAAATAATGTTCAATTCATTACAATTATGAAATACCTTCTTTCTAAATATCAATTCCCATTTCATTGCAGAAGTACCTCTCGTCTTTTATCTGGAGAAAGTGATCATCCCTGTCTGTGTGTTGGTGCCATGTTTGTTTGTTCTATGCTTTATTCCCCTTAAAAAGTAAGTTTTAATGTCACTTTGAAGTTCATCGTCCCTGATGTCATTTATCCAGCTGATCCATTCTTAGATGGAGACGCACCATCTTTATACCAACACCAGCGCCGTATTTCTACACTCTGTACAACGACTTCCAAGGAGACTTTAAGGTGAGACTTGCATCTTTAAAGGTATTTAGGATTTTCTACTTCCAGGTGGATCCAGGCTATTGGGTTCTCCCAAATGTCAATCATTCTGGTGATACGTGCTCGTCAAATAAGACCCGAGTTTTGTTCAAAAAAAGTGGAGAGGGCGGTTCTTTCCTAAAATTTGGGAAAATCTTCCAATAAACCTTTATGTTCCAGAAGACACGAGTTTTATACATGTACATTTCAGAGCTGGGTGGTGATGGAGAAAAATCTGGAGCTACCAAAGACAGAACCAACTCTTCACATCGACAACATGATTGAGTGCGAGGATGTGTGTGCGGCTGCTCCCTGCGATCACAGCGGGGTGTACGCCAACATGAGCCAGACTGAACCAGACCAGACCCTGGGGCTGGACTCTGCTACTGCCAGCTGCACCAGTGCTGAGCACTGCTGCCTCAGCCCACAGTCCAGGAGCCCTGCAGAGGACTCTGGCTGCTGGCTCAGCAGTGACCAGACTCTGGGAACCGGCCCCTCCTGGTACTGCAACAACTACTGCACCCTCAGCACCTTCCAGCAGACGGCTCTCGCTACAAGTGAGCCGCTCAAGTGTGCGACCGGAGGGGAACTTCATGTCATGGAAGAAATTGAGCTCTAGTGAAATATGCATGTCCTTTGTGTGCCACATAAGAAACATGGTTAAACCTCTTTTTGTAATCAATAAATGTTATGAATATTCTATAAAAAAAAGGTTTTATTTACGCCAACACATACAAGAACAAAGCACCAGTTATCTTACAGCCAGATACAGAAGAAAGCCTACTTGCCAATAGTAGCCATTTCAAAGGACAATCTCTGAAAAAACAAAACCCGAGGCAGCAGTGATGAATTACAGCATGCCAAATAGAAAACCTGGGTAAGAATAAGAGGCATCTATAGACACTAGTGAAGAACGACGAAGTAGAAAAGTGCTCGTCATTATACAGCCATTGAAATACTGACGATGAGAGAAGCAAAATATTCATGAAATGGATTGAAAACAAAAAGGAAACCAAGAGAGAAAAAAAACAAAGAACATTGACGACCACCAGCCTCCGAGAGTCTGGTACCGAGCTGTGCCCTTTGCATCGCATTAAGACAATGTTTAAAAAGAAAAAAAGAGTTCCCACGCACCCACTTCCTCCCAGCATTATGTGCCAACCGGCAAATAAGAACAAACATGGAAGGACGGATGGCACAGAATGTATGGAGTTTAAATACAAGTCTTTAGGTGAGTCTGGATGTGAGAGCAGCACATCCAGAGACTGAGCCAGAGGTGATCCTTGTTTAACCCATTCCTTCAGCTGGAGTCTTCTTATGACGGAGAGAACTTTTTGGCCTGTGCTCGAACTCTTTTTTCATATTCTACTCTGTTTTGACTGAAAAAGACAAAGAAAAGCAATACATCAGTTTAAGAAATGATATTTTACAGAACAATTTAGTCATAATAGTTTCCCCATCATGAGTACAGAGCGATTCAACATCACACCTTTTGTTTCATCAAGTTAATGAAAAAACAATTTCTTGTGGTAATTTACTACACTTATAAACAAAAAGATTATTTGAAATATCCTTAAAAACTGCATTACAGCCACATCACTAAAGCTTGGGTATTGGTCTGAAATCTGCCACGGGTTTTGAGGCAGAGTGGATCTCATACATTTGAAAATCTGGGGCCGTATTCCTAAAGATTCTGAGAGTCCTCTCAGAGAGCTCTTATCTTAACCTAAAAACTCCTAGCTAGGAGTCTTAGCTTAAAAGTTATTCCAGAACACTCTTAGAGAACTCTGAGCAAGGAATTGACAACAACTTTTATCTTAGTGAGGAGGCGTGGCCGACCCCGTTGCTAGGTATGAGTCATCATTTCAGACGCTGTGATTGGTTGATCCTAAAAGTTAGAACAAACATATTATTGATGATAATAGGCAAAATAAGGGCCCTAAAATGGACAAACTCAATCATGGAATCTAATCTTAGGAACACTGTTATTGTAAATAATAACCAAAAGCTATAAAGTCAGATATATCAATGGTACATAAATACTGTGAATAGTAAAGTTAGACTTATACACCATCATCAGAGCTTGCTCAGCACCAATTTATCACACATAATACGTATATATAATAATAATAATAAATCAAACTTATATAGCGCTTTCTTGGACACTCAAAGACGCTTCACATGGGGAGTAAAATACAATAATAAAAAGGGGTTTACGGAAAAGCTTGTTTGAAAAGATGGGTTTTGAGTACTGATTTTAAAGTTAGTGAGTCGGAGTTTCTAATGAGCAGTGGGAGTGAGTTCCAGAGGGTTGGGGCGGCAATGGCAAAAGCTCTGTCCCCCAAGGTTCGGAACATGCTCATGTTCGTGCTCATATATCATGAGCACTTTGTATATGTGTATATATGTATATGTGTATATGTATATGTGTTATATATATATATATATATATAGAGTAATATTTAAATTATATGTATGTATGTATGTATATATATATATATATACACATACATACATATAATTTAAATATTACTCTATATATAATATACATGATAAAGAAAATTATTATTATAAATATATGGATAAATGATGATAATGATAACGTTAGGATTAGTAAAGGCTGTGATATGTATAGACTTATAAGGAATTAAGGAAACAATATTAATATAAACATATTATACATACACTGTACAAATCAAGTACAAGGGAGCTTAAGTAAGTAAGTTAGTAGTAAGTAAGTTTTTATTTATATACCGCCTTTTCACTGCAGAGCTGAGTCTCAAAGCGGTTTACAATTGTTAATTTTTGGGCATTTGTCTCTCACTCCACACAGAGATGGGAGCGGGGCCAGTACAGGAGGCACATGCCAGAACTATTGGACATATTTTTAGTGGTAGGGGAAACCGGAGCACCCGGAGGAAACCTACGCAGACACAGGGAGAACATGCAAACTCCACTCAGAAAGGCCCTGGTCCGACCGGGATTCGAACCCAGGACCTTCTTGCTGAGAGGCGAGAGTGCTATCCACTCAGCCACCGTGCCGCCCCTTAAAAGTCTTATCCTCTCCCACTCCTTTTTGAGCTGGATTGTTGTTAATAAAACAAAACTGTATATTTGTAATTCTATTCTGTTGTTGTTTTGTTTGTTTTGTCCTTTTTTTTCTTGTTTGCCATGGCTCAAAATAAAGTATTCATTCATTCGTACTGAATGTGTGACAATTTAGGACCACTTTTTCCTCTTTCAACTTTTACCATTTCTACTTACTTTTGTGTAACAAAGGTAAAATGGATGAGGTGTTATTGCTGACCAGCCAATAAGAAGCTGGTCACATGATTGACTTTTAAATATACCACAAACATGATTCCTGCTTGAATCTGTAGCGTTTCACTGATTCACTGTCATCCAGTGTATAGAATATTTCTCCTGTCTCCACCGTCCACCATTTTGTGCTCTTAGGGAACTTTTAAGTCGCTAAAAGTCCTCCTCTCAACTCTTAAGGGATCTCCCCTTAAGAGCACTCTTAAGAGCTAGGATTTTTTAGGAATAGCTTTTATCTTAACTAGGAGCTACTCCTCACTTTTAGGGGAAATTCTAAGAGTTGGTCAAGATTCTAAGAAAATTCTTAGAATTGGCCACTAGGAGCAACGTTCAGCACTAAGAATCTTTAGGAATACGGCCCCTGGTCATTTAACATCAAGTCCAACCTTGGTCTCGTTTGCCCGACAGTTGTGGAACTTACCAGTAGATTGTGTAGGCCTCTGCTTGAGCTGGATCCTGGATATTGGGCTCATTTAGGAGTTCTTGGATGCCTAGTAGGATCTTCAAAACATACAAAAGGATGAGTACAAAGCATCTTTGAAGGACGTTATTTTACTTTACCTGTTTTATCGTGATAGCTGGTCTCCAGTCCTTGTCTTCCTCTAAGATTGAAAGACATACTGTGCCCGAAGGATACACATTAGGATGAAAAAGTGGTGGCTCAAATTTACCTGAAAAACAAAAACATTTAAAATTATTATAAATAGAAGACATTTGGACTTTGTAGTAGTCAGACTTCAGTCAGGAGCCGCCAAAGAGTTAAGAGATCAAGTGCAAACGCTGCTGATGTCAGTGTTGAATACACTGAGACATGTTTACCAATGAACTTCATAAACATGTTTTACACTGATCCTCAGCGCCGCACTGTGGCACTTCTAAACTCCAGCACTAACCACACCCTGTGCTTCTCTGAATCTAGTCGGGCTGTAATTAATGATCCTGTAAAGATAAGAACCTTTATCCCCTTCCCTTCAGCGTTGCACTTTACAGCAGAATAAAGGAGAAATAAGCTCAGGTTATGCACAAACACAATTTTCCTTTCCTTTAATTGTTTAGATCATTTGACCAGAGGATATCTACAAAAGAGAATCATGTGGCTGATTGTCCTGTGGCCAACTATGAATCCATTCATTCTCCCTCCAGGTCATTTCAGGGAATCCTGAGTATGTCCCGTCTCCCCCAGGGGCCTCCTCCTGATGGGACATGTTCGTTACCCCTCTCCAGGGAGGCATCGCAAACGGATGCCCAAACAACCTCAGCTGACTCCCTTAAAGTGGAGGAGCAGCGACTCCCATCCGAGCTACTCCGGTGTGACCGAGATCACTTTCATATTTTGTCATTTTCCCTCTTTACATATATCAATTTCCACTGAAACAAATAAAAACTCACATTTTGGAGGAGACGATGGATAGTCATCCTTGAACAGCATGCGGAGTTTGAAAAGACCTCCTTCCCATGGAGTCTAAAGAAACCGTCACATTAATCCACACAAACACCAAATACAGTGAATCTCACTGAACTCAAAGTATAGAATACTTTACCGATTTCTTCCCAGGAATAGCACATTCCCAATTCATGAGATTCATGGTTCCATCTGGGTTTTTTGTGGGTACTGCTACAAATCCCTTAAAATAAGGTTGTGTTAACTAACTGTAAACAAAGTCAATTTGAGCAAAAAGTCCACTTACAAATGGATGGTCCTTCCGCCAGGCTTTACGCTCCTGGGCAAGCCGGCTCAAAGCAATGCCAGACATGACGTGTAGGCTCCTGGAACAGACGCAAACTAAATTATTGATATGAATAATGAGGAGAAATGTGTCGCTAATGAAGAGGAAATGCGCGTTTGTGGAAAGATCGTAAAGTCCTTGAGTGAAGTTAATACAATATATTCATACGTGTATATGTAACATACATCAGATATAGATTAATATATCTGTAACATCAGGTAAACAGCTTCTGTCAGACTGAGGCCACAGCTGTAAAGGTGACCTTTGAGAGTTACTCACAACTATTAAACAATACCCTAAAAACAGACATCTACCATGAGCCACAGTCCGCTACAGCTGAACAAGCTAACGGCGGTTAGCATCGGAGCTAACGCGTGTGCGCCAGAACCGTGTCACAACAGGCGCTAAAGCGGCGCAGACACGGCCTGAGGTAGCACAAAAAAGCGCAATTGTGTTTGCGCTTGTGTCGCTGTGCCATAATACACTATAAGCGTAAATAGACACAGATATACTCAGGAAAGCTTGCACGACTCTAGACTCAATACAAGAAACAAAGAACCATAGAGATATATGGCGCACATTAGTACCTTACAAAACTAGCGAAAATGGCGCAAACAGAAGCGCGCAAAATGCCACATAACAATGCAAGCGTGAGGCACGTTTTCAGGGAGCACGTCCTCTTACCTGTCGGTGTGACAACACTGTGTTTGTGATCACACCAATGGAAAGGACGTGTTCAAATCCAGTTAAAGCTAATAAAGTTTCCCTCCTGAACAACACTAGCTTCGAGTCCAGCCAAGCGCAGCGGAGATCCAGATAGAGCGGTGCTATTCACTTCCGGTTTGGGCTTTTGTGCAGATCCAGATAGATCTATGCTCTCCACTTCCGGTTTGGCCTTTTGTGTACAAAAATGCATTCAAAGCTCACGGTTAATCGTAACTTCAGAGAATGTTCACAAGATTAGCAGTGCGTTCAAATAACCTAGGTAGACGTTAGTGGTGTTGTCCAGGGGCCTCAAACTCTGGTCAGGGTATAATCAGAATCAGAATCAGAATCAGAATCATTTTTATTGCCAACGTAAGTAACGGGAGGTCACAGACTTGGAAATTGCTTTGGCTCAGTGCAACAGTCAAAAAGAGATAATAAAAATAAGAATAAAAAACACTTCTAAAGAATAAATTTAAATTTAAAATAGAGTTACAGTTACAGTTACTATTTACAATATACAAGTGCACATGGTGCACACATGTAAGGTGACAGCAGTACAGTGAAGTAAAGTGACGTATGATGGGCAGTAAAGTGACTTTATAAAGGGCGGGGGACAGGTTAAGAAGTGTTCAAGAGTCCAACAGCAGAGGGGAAGAAACTGTTCTTGTGGCGGGAGGTTCTAGTCCTGATAGAGTATAGTTTTAACAAGTCTTAACGATACAGTATTTATATTCTACTTAAGTTTCAAAGTTCATCTTTTGAATCTGTAGTTATCGTATACATTAATCTGTATCTATATTTATTTTATAGAGGTTTGACTAAACTTTGAATGAACATATTTTCTGGTAGATTTTAGAGAAAAATGTGTTGGATTAAAGGTTAAAAAGTATTGTAGACTGAGCTGCCAATTATTTCCTTTTTATTTAAACTGTAGTTTTTTCATTGCTATTCACCCGTTGTCCTATTGTCTGTTTCATGGTACGACAACGGGACCTCTGAATCTGGCCTCCTCCATCTACACCTGCGGACTGCCCTGCCCGACCCGCCTGGGAGTTCTTCTGACCTGCACCGGACCACGTTCTGTAGCTTAGGTCCTGGATCATTAGCCCGTCCGTCCGGGAGGAGAGGATCCCTTTCTCAAACCATGGGTCTCCGAGGTTTCTTACTTTTTTCCCACTGGGTTTTAGAGTTTTTCCTTGCCAATGCAGGAGGGTCTTGTTGGACAGTTAGTGTCCAACAAAAAGGATGTGGTGATGATCCAGGACACTTTAACATTCTTCAACATGTATGACATTTATCAACATGTGTTCTATATTCTTTATGTGTTTTAACTGTTGATTCTATGATTTGTGTTGGTGATTTCAATGGTTTTGTTAAGTCCTCTGAGATGATGCTGTTGTGATTTAGGGCCATACAAGAATAAATTGTATTGTACTGTATCTCCGTCAATTTGGCTGCCTCCTGAAAAAATGCTTCCGATGATGTATACCATTATATATAAACATTATTATGCACCGTCTATCATTGCTTACTTGTGTATACCTCCGGCTTGGCTGCGTGTATCTGCGAGAGTTGTCGCGTCAAGATTTCAAAAGTTATACACAATTACCTTAAAACTAGTTTTGCCATTATCTCCTGTTAAATGAAAATGTTTTATAACCATGTGGCCGTTATTGTTGGGTGCAAAATTTGATGTTGAAACAAAACAAAAACATCTCCCTCTGGTGGTAAAAGTGAGAAGCTACTGAGATTTTGTACAATTTTTTTATACATATTTATCAGTGTTTATTTCCCGTTCTAAAACATGCCTTTCCAAAGTGCATTCCTTATTATGTTTAAAGGCTGAGGGTATTGACCTTTACATTATATCTAATTTGTGTTTATTACTTCGCGGGTTCAAAAATAAGCATAGATCTACTGCTGTCTGTACAGCGGAACCTCTCACAGACCTCTTTCCAGATATCTATTTCCTACTGGGTTCTTGAGTTCTAATTTTTAGTCTTCGTTTGTTCCTTGGTCATGGTCTACACACTGGTCACACTTGTTTCATTATTAATTACCCAAAGTTATAGTTGTTTGATTATGTAATGCAGGGATGTCAAAGTCAAATCCGTCAGAGGCCAAAAAAAATTAAAACATTTCTATAAGCCAAGGGTTCAATATTTAATAAAACAAATTAAAGTGATTAACCTATAGAACCAAGACCCAACACATGGACCATAAATGTGTAATGATTAAATTAATTATCTTATAATGCCAATGTGTTCTTATGGCTCTGAGCGGGCCAGTTCCAATGCTAATCTTGGGACCCAGAAAATTCATTTGCGGGCCAGATCTGGCCCCGGGGCCTTGACTTTGACACCAAAGACCTAATGTGTTGTTGGCAAGTTCTCCAATACAGCTGTTATTTAGTGCTATACAAAATCAAAAAAATTGACTTTTACAAAGCATTTCTATCAGTTAAAGCAAAATAAAAAAGGTTACAGGTTTAGGGTTAAACATGCAATTCATTCACAAGTTAAACACAATGGAATACTCACGTTCTTAAAACATGGACGTCAGTGAGTGATACACCCATAGACTGTATATATTAATACACAGAGAATCATTGACACCAACACTAGATGTCGCTATTTAACAAATTATGATTTGGTAATTATGACACAAACACACACTTTGATTGACTTTTTTATTACTAAGTTTACAGTATGCAAGTTCTTAACGTTGTATACACCCCTAACCTCATCATAAACTCTGCACATTGTTGTATAATTGCATAAGATCAAGAGTAGTTTGTAATGATATGAGAGAATTAAAGATGAAACATTCACTCCCTGTGGCTATATCATGAAACCATGCATTACAGTGGTCAGTGATTCATGAATTTAATGCAGAGGTGAATGGGCACTTCAGAATATTAGGCTACAGATTGTGTACCCATGAAAACATGAAATGATCATCCATGGGGAGGTATGAACAAAACAGGATGAGATTACTTATCATGTATCTACTTTGAAAGAAAGTCAAACTAATCTTTAAAAGTTGTTTTAATTCAGTTATAAAATCTACATGAATGAGCTGCTACTGTAAGCCAACTAGACCTGACAGACTGCCACAGATGGGGCAGATTGTACGATTGTCTGCACCGCTCTAGCATAGGCTGCTAAAACCTGTAAATGTCAGAGACGATGGGAGTGCGAGCTGCAGTAGAGTCACACTAGTCAGACTTGTACCGACATGCGTGAGGGAGTGCACAGTGTTCAGTGGAAGGCTTAAGAATACTATAGCAAATGTAAACGTCTCTTAGCTCTGGCAGGAAATCCAGTCTGACGGATCCTCGTCAATATTTTACTTTAAAAGCCCTTGTGTCTTTGTGTACATATGTTTATATCAAACATGCATCTCATACTTTTCTATAAGACTAGAAAAACCGCTGTGTATTCAGTGAGTGTTTGTAAATAACCTCTGTACAATGTGTGCCAGCAGAAAACTACTACGTCCCTGACAATGATCAATGTGCAATACACATAAGACATTGGGTTTTGGTCAACAGGGGGAAGGCAGCACTAAATTATTCTTGTGAATGTCTGATGACCCTATAAAAACACATCAAAAACGGTTAATTTCAGTTAAAAGTTTTCCAAAATGCACTATTTACAATATTACAAGCCATTAGCAATGTGCACCGTGATACTTCACTCTAGTGCTATAATGCTTTCTTAAAAACCTACACAATTCAAATGCTTAGAAGAAATCTTATCTCACTCTGAACAAAAGACACTTAAATGTAACAGTCACTTCATAGCCAGCCAGGTTCAGCTTTGTTATTCATATGAAACCATCATGCGTGTTCATGCTGAAGACACGGATCAGCATCCATCAAACTTCCAGACCTGGAAAAATGAAGTTCAACTAAATTCAAACCCATTTTTCTCATAATCAAAAGATCCAGATTAAGCAACTTCCCATGGAGTTATGCTTTCTATACAGTGTACAAAACATGCCGTTTGATATTTAAATATTTAGTGTTTCTTGAATTGTATAAAGACAAAGTTAGATATGATAAAAAATATTCCTTCACCTCAATCTTCAAACGTTTCCAGTTTGTCAAATCTATCTCAGTCCCAAGAAGATTATTAAAACCCTCCCCAACATGTACTTGGGGAGTACTTGATCAGAAACACAATCAAGACAATGTCTGACAATGTGTAGTCATTGTAAACTTGTGCATGAACACAGTCTAGGAGCCAAAAAAGTTGCATTGCTTTTAGAATAGAGCCCCGTGTTCACAGAGTGGACAGGTGCAGCCACGTCTCAACAGCAAAGACCTGCTGGAGAGGAAGATATGCCACTGGGAAGAACCAGTGCAGCGGGAAGTCACTTTACCTGCACGAATCTGTCCCTTCACATATTATGTTATAGGTTTTGATATTTGAATAAAGAAAAAACTGCCCAATTCCTTTGCGGACTCTTGAGCTGGGGGATATCGACAATAAACTCAATAGATGACCCTGAGTTAGTTGGCCCGGTTGATGTCGGCCATATTTTGTAGCAGTAATATACAATTGTACAACTTTTCAATTAGAAAACAAAAGTGGCTTCAAAAAGGTCCAGTTAAACAGACAGGCACAAATGTCAAATGTCAGTAAACATACCTATTTACATTGAGAAATAAAACCAAAAAAATCAAAATGGAGGGAAGAAACAACAGTGTAGATCCCCCATGAGCACTCCATTGTGCCAAATGTTCTTCTGTCGGGATGATATGTTTCCACAAAACACCTGGAGTTCATAATACTCTTCACATTCGAGAGCCCCTTTCTTGAAGAATCTGCAAAATGACAAAATACTCAACACCCCGAGAACAGCTGCACATCTGACAAAACCAAAACAACGTCTAAAGCAAGTTACGAAATGAAAAGGACGGGGCATGATTCTGACACCGATAGCTCCGATGAGTCTGATTCCCTGATCTGTCGTTGGTGAATCGACAACTTTGTAAAGCCTCCGAGACGACTGCTGTTGTCATTTTGGGCTATTGTTGTAAAACCTTGTTCTTATACGATTCGTTTGACAGCACTGCCCTCCACATTCAAGAAGCACAGAGAATAAATGCTTTTGTGATTTTATAGACTATACAGAGCGGAAAATGTTTTTGTTTGATGTTATTAAGTTTTCTGTGAGCGCCTGGTGGAGGACAGGAGTGAATACTGGACACTCCCTTTGTCCCTTTGTCCATTACGCATCAGAAAGAAAGACAGTGGAGTTGGCCTAAACCATACACTGTAAATATTAACGGACGTAGTCATGCCCATCTCCGCCGTTCTAACTAATGGGCCAAAAACTGGGCTCTCATGGAGTGATTCAAAATGGCCGCGGGGGCTGGAAAATGTGAAAAAAACGCATCTGTGCATGCGTCAGCTGCACGAGCTCCATTCATTTAAATGAGTGCTTTCAAAAATCCACAGCGACTAAACCACTTTTGAGCTGGGACCCGCCCCCACTCGCCTAAACCAGTAACCTGTATCCAGACGCCCCAGTTCAATGACAACAATACGCATGATTTCAATCATAATCAAACATTCATTATATTTAGAAGAAAGGAGAAAAAAGTCACATCTGAAAAGTCTGTTCAGTGATTTGCCTCTGGATATAAAAGCTGACGTTTAGTATCAGCACAAAACTAAATGATGCTTTACTAAGTGTGTCTGCTGCCCTCAGCAGAGCGCCCCCTGGGGACAGGCCCAGGGGAGTCCGCTTTCTGCCCTTGAGGAAAAGAAAGAGCTAAGTTGTAGTTCTGCTGATCCATGGGCCAATGATCAGTTAATGCAGAGTTTCCTCCAGTGTGTTTTATAGAAGTATACACACAATATAAATTAAATACTCGTTGGCATGAAGTCTCGGATCAGCAGACGGATATAAAAGGACTGCGTGCAACACTTACCTTCGCCTTCTCGCTGGGCTCAGTGTTGGTGCCGTACGACTGATTGTGCAGCTCTTTGGACACGACACACAGAAACTCTGCTTGGTCTTCGTTTCCGTAGTTGTACGAGGAGCCGATGCTGACCAGCTGCAGAGAAACAAGTGAAGAAGAATCAGCTCCGAGAAGGAAAAACGCACACATCTGATTCTTAAACTATTTGTGCAGCAATAAAACAAGACACTGAAGAAGGGAAGTGATGAAAGAACTGAAACTATGATGTAAGGAAGCAGAGGCTGTGAAACACAAACATCTGCATCTGACGGTGATGAGCCTCGTTATAACAACAACTTTAATACGAACAAAACATAAATGATTGATTGAATGATCATTGAAGCAGAATAAAGAGCTGTTTCATGACAAATGTAAAAATTAAATTAAGGAGACAACAGCGATGTCATCAGTGCAATAAAACTTCTATCATTTAAACTTGCAGAAGGATTCTAAATCAAAATACAAAAATTATTCTTAAAAAAAAAAAAAAAAAAAAAGGAAATTTACAGAGAGAAAAAAATAGAGTTGCTGCCGACGTGTACAAAATGTGGAAGTGCAGAGCTCTGGTTCAGGTGCATGTCCAGACATGCTTTGCCTCATGAGCCACTCCTGAGACTTGTTGTTGTTGTCGTTAGAAAGCCCTCTTACTCTCTCAAATATACATATATATATATATATATCTCCAACATACATAGATATTTCATATATACATCACATATCCCTAAGACCATAATTACATTTATCAACATACTGGAATTGTCTTCAGGTCTTTTAAAGAGTTATAAGAAACTTGCTTTGCAAATCATTTTTAAAAGGACCTTTTATCTGCTCAGGAGTAAATCTTGATTTGCCTCAAAACAGCAGATAATACTGCAGCTTCATGAAAGCAAAGCACACACAAAACATTGAGAATGACATGTCTGTGAACTATGAGTGTATGTACACACTCAGACAAATTAAAATAGAAAGGGATTGGGAGTGAGGATTGTGCTGCCCCGCTTTGAACAGGCAAAAACAATCCAAAGTATAAAGTTAGGAGAGAGCTGCTGCTCGCGTCTCCTCAGGACGTGTGGACGACACAGGGACATGCAGTGACCAGCTCGTGTTTGTGGGACACACCTCTCCGCTGTTGTTTGGCAAAGCAGACTCCTCTCCCTTCACCTCCCTTGACACAATCAGCAAAAACTCTGACTGGTGGGCTCGCCCGTACCCTATACTGACAAGCTGCAACAACCAATCAGAGCAGAGGGAATGCTCGGATCATGTACGCAGACACTGAAATGCCATTTGGCCTTTCCCCTAAATGTGCCATAGGACTTCATCACAGTCAGAACTGAGTGGAGGCAGAGAAACAGCTTCTGATGTGGATTAAAGCTGTGGGGGCTTTACCTGCTCAAACTTCCAACCATCAGACATCGTTGACACCATCTGGGTCAGCTCCTCCTCCTGGCACTGCAGCACCCGGTACACATGCTTCACCGGGACCTGAGGATTACAGCAGGATCAGGACCCACATGCTCCCAACAGCCCTGTCACACTCACACTCACCTGTGAGGTTTTGCAGTCGCGTTCCCTGATCTTGTCCTTGAGCAGCTTTATTAATGATGTGATGTTGTAGAACTCAGCTTCCTCAAGAACTCCTGCGAAAGATTCAGGGTCATATTCGAACAAAAACAGTCATTTATAATGTAATGGTACAGAGTGACGTGACCATGAAGGGAAAGAAGTCAACAGCAGCGTACAGTTTATACATGGTGCTGAGTCTTTTGATTCATGCCTCGTTTCATGTATATTTGGTAGAACACATGTATAACCTCACCCTCCTCTGCCAGGTCTCTGTTGAGCACCAGCTTGCCATGCCTCAGGTAGTTCAGCACCGGCCCAAAGTATGCAGGGTCTCTGTCGATGAGATACGCACCGGTTTCATCCTAAAAGAACCGGTGACAGTTAATGATCCATACAAGGACAATCTGTGATGTGGATGAAGCTGATCAGCTCAGAGGAAAGAACCACACTTAAAACCTGTATAGTACATGTATACGTACAGTATAGGTTTATGTATATGGTGAGCAATTTAAAAAAAATATCATGGAAGTGATCAGGTCATGCCAACCTCAGCTTTGCATCTGTTGTTTTGACTTCAACATATTTTGATTTGACGTGATATGACATAACATTTTCTTTATAAAACATGCCCTCTTTTCAACTGTCTGAAGAAAGCTCCGAACAAACTCTTAAGAACTGAAACTAAAATAAATGGCTCCACGGTGTGTGTGCTTCGGAACATGTCTGATTTTTGACAATATGTACAGCTTTCTCCATTGATCGTCTCCATGTTGTACACCTATGGAAGGACTTCTGAAATCTTTGACCTTTCTCTGCACAAAGAGGCCATTTCAAACAGGAATAGTAAGAGCTATCAACAGAGTAATTTAGCATTGGTGACATGGCTTCAGGCTCCCAATGGGCCTGGATCTGATCCTCATTCTCCCACTGAGCATGTCCCCAGTGCGATGTGCTGTGTTTGACTGCTGTAGCCTCGCTGGGAGTGGGTGTTACAACAACTAGAGCAGAATTTCTCTTTCGGAGCAGGAGCTACAGACAACTTAAAGTGACAATGCACTTTCTTTTAATTGGAAAAAAAGACAGGCTCGTTGAGGGTTAAGACACGACCTCAGCGTTATTCTCTGATGATGAGCAGAGGTCCCACTGCTCTCCTTTTGTGAGAACTCTCCAAACTCATTTGGCCGTCCTCATTTTCTGACTAAAATTATCTTGAACAGAACCCAATGGATTTAAATCCCTTAAACTTCTGCACTCCCTCAATCTGAAGCTCAATATAGTTCAAATTGTAGCGCTCCAACGTTGTCAGGGCATGTGCACCCGAACAAAATGTTTAAACGTGTAACAGTTTTGTTAAGTATAACAACTGTGTGCTTGAAGGGTGGGATTCACAGGAGGAAATGTTGGAAATTAACCTTCTCACTGCTCTCTTTATATACAATACATATCCTCCTGCAGGAAATGCCACAGTGACCCACCAGTGACATTGGTCAAAGAACCGGCTCGGGCGAGATTCTGGTACCAGGCCACCACAGGACACAGCCAATGTTAACACTGCTCCAGAGTAGAATATGTTTGTAGTTTTAGAAATATCAGCCACTGACCATAGCCCCTTACAACTAACGACGGGCATCAATGGGAGCCAACACCCAATGAAGGCTTGCAACTTTAGTTTCTCTGGAAAACTTTATACTGAACAATCAATAAAAAAAAAAGTCAAGCTATTTAGCCTTCTATACTGTTGTTCCAGTTCTGTTTCAGACCAAGCAAACCATTACAAACCATATTCAATATAATCTTTAATATCTCTGTAGTAATACTTTTACTTTTTAATGCGCTGGAAAACGGCTGCAAGTCCTAAGCAGCTATGAAACAGTTGTTTTGTGCTTTTGAATTTTTATTTGTATTGCTTTTTTTCTTCCTGAGATGTTGCTGCAGTACAGTGTTCATGGTTTTGCACTGGTCCAGACCAGAGCAGAGAGGATTCATGGTCCGAACCAAGTGGATCAGGTGAAAATCCACTGGAGGAATGCTAACTTTTCAAAAAATGCTAATGAAGCATTTAGCATTTTAAAAATTGGACCAGAGTAGAGAAAAAGGTCCGAACAAAGTGGCTAACTCCACCTTGTGACCCGTCCTGCTCCACCCAGGGGCTACTCCACCTCTGCATTTCTCCAATGGGGATCAATAAAGTATCTATATCTATTTAATACAACAACAAAAAATGAACAAACCGACAGATGCAACAGGTGACCTTTCACAAACACATTTCCCTCATTGCTAATCTGCCATTGTTCAGTCACACTTTAGTCATCCACAGAAATATCTGAATATAATACATGTAAAAACTGGTGTGAATTGGACGAACTAAAGGCAAATGTAAATAATGTAAATAACCAAAACAAAAATCATTCGACGATCGTCAGCAGTGGAGACACGTTCACAGAGACTCCAAAGTAGACTGTACTTTGAGCACTCCCGTTCCCCCATGCACATGAATGCATCTCAGGGTCAACTCAATGAACGGACGCGCGGTTAGATGTGGAGCGGGTATTCTCGTAGAGCTGCGCAAGTTTAGTGCATATGAGGTTAAGGTATGGATATTGTTTATGTATGTATGTTGTAACTAGTGTTTTCCTATTTAAATAATATACATTCAGTGCAAACGCTGCACTCGAGTTGTGCTCACGTGATTTGAGAGATTGGTGCCACTAAACGTCTCCACCTGTTCCTTGAATTGAATTGTTAAAAATAGGTTGCATCTAGTATGAGGTGTTTACAGAAATAAACAGCTAGATTAAATATGATAGAAATGGTTACTACCTTTCTGCAAGTGTACTATCTCTGAATAAAATGACTTCATAATGTATACAATTAAATTAAAAGCAATAGGAGTCTCAGCAGCCGCAGCACATTGCAGCGTCCTCCTGAGCACTTTGAGTGAGAAACAGCAGCAGAGACGTAGAAGCGTTAAATATTTACGTTTCCTTCCAGTGTGCTCAGGCATGACACACAACCCGAGTCCGGCTACACACCCACCACAGAGAGGACTTGTGCAGAGGCAAATGGATATGAATATGAAGAGAATAAGATGTCAGGAGCTTTTAAAAATGTATGTGGCTTTCAGATGCAGAAAACCTCTCAAGAGTAGAGTAGGGTATAAATGGTAACAGTTTGAAGACAGAAATGGACTAAAAAGACCAGTCATGTAACAGCTTTTAGAGCCTAATATACACAAGACAGTAACAATATCACACTAACATGACACTTATCGGTGGCATTTGTCAAATCTTAGTGAAATTATTCTAAAATAATCTACCCACTGAGATCACACCATATGCACAGTCTATGAGCCACATAAATGTCAATCCACTTTCTCCATGTTCTCCTCCAACGTGTACAACAGACTCCAGTCCACATGAATAATGCAGCTGGCCTCAAGAGTTCAGTAGAAGCGCGTCAGGGTGACTGAGTCATACAATGCTACATTCACCCAAAAGTAAAGTTTCACTGCAATTCCGGTTCAGATAAGACCACAAAAGAAATGTGTCTATGTTTCCACTCGACTGACCGCAGAACAGACGTGTCGTAGGAAACCCAAGTGCACTTAAGAAGACAAGGGATTGAGATGGGCTGATCGGATGCCCATCGGAGGATAAACTGACAAAAAGCAAGCCGATTATTAGAGATTAAGTTATTTGCATACAAATTAGATGCTTTCTGGTTGCTGCATAAAGAGGTCAGATCCATTATATGGTGTTAGTGGTTCATGAGAACAATAACAATGGCCCCGTGAACCATTAAAATCAGTAGACTCTGACAGACACAGACACACAGTGTATTGTGGTGGTGCTGGTGGGCCCCTGAAGCACATTCAACCTGCAGAGAGGGAAAGAAGGAAGCAGCTTGTGGAAAAATGAGGCCATTCATGAGCGAGTTTACTCACACATTAGCAACTCTCAGTGTGGACTTCTTCTACCTTGTTCATTGTTTTACAAATGTATGGTCTATTGACAGTTAACGGCAGTAAAACTACTTTTCAGAGCACAGTCTGAACATAATCCGAACATGGGCTAAAACTCACACGCAAACATTAAAGGATTACAGGGCTATAAAAGAGTGAATACATAATAATATTTCCAACAGTGAAGACGGAACAACATGGCCACAGTTTGGCTTTAACAAATATAACCAATCAATCATTTATTTGTACAGCACCATTTGTGAACAAGGCAATTCAAGTGCTTCACATGAGCAACTTAAAAAAAACAGATAAAAATCCATGAATGAGATATACAATAATTTCATATTAAAACAGCAGCACAAAAGTATGGGGTTTAAAACTTATTAAAATGTGGGTTTAAAAAAAACAAAAAGAAAAAAACTAAAAAAGGAGTTCAAAGCAATAAATATCATATAATAAGTGAAAAAACCACTGCATGACTACGTTCATAATTTCGAGCAGGGGAAAGTTCTCAATCAGATGTGGTGATCTGTCACAAGTCACAAAGATCTTAATTTGTTTATAAATGCGATGATACTCAGAACAGTTATGGCAAAGTCAAAAAATTTATGTATTTGTTTGGTATTTTTTTTGGCATTTCTGCACTTTTATTGCATTTATATGTACATCTTGTGTTTCTGTATTTTTATGTACTCTCACTGGTGCTCCGTGTGTAAAGTTCCTCGTGTATCAATAAAGTTATTTGAATTGAATTTGAATTGAAAGTGACTGGTCTCGCAGAGTTTTCTCGTCGCCTGCAGAGATCATATGTCAGGAGGTGACTGTCGGAATCTAGCTAACAAAGATAAAGACCGCACAGGCGGACATTTCATTTGTTTTTAATCAAGACATGTGCACTTTAGCTACACGGTTATAATGTTCTGGGTACATGTATAAGACACGGATTTATGGCTCTTTTCAAAATGTTGGCCAAAATTAACCAAAAAATACTAGAAGGCTAACTAGCTCGCCTAGCTTAGCATTTACCTTGTCGGAGTCGAGCTCGGGGTCAGCTTGGCTCAGTCTGTAGAGAAATGACTTGGGGTCTCGACACAGCGTCTGTCTCGTTGTCAAAAAATAAGTGCCCCCCACGTTGAGTCGGATCCATTTGGACGATCCGGGACTGGCCGTGCTGTTCCGGTCCGAGGCAGCGGAGTGGGCCAAGTGTCTGCGGTGGTGGAGAGAGCCGCTGCTTTCGGAGTTGTTCTCGGCCATCTCCCTCTCGCCTCTGTCTCAAAAGCACAGGGAGTTTTCAGGCTGCTGCAGACTGAACTCCAGCTCCACCACCACCACACATGCAAAGCTCCCCGGCCACTCCTACCACCGCCACCCCCCACTACCCCCCACTCCATCCGCGGCAGCTCTGTCCGTGACTCTGTTTTCTCTCAGTTGTGGGTCACATTATATCATTTGTTATGCTAAAGTCATAAAGATCAAGAGTTTATACTTGTTTCTTCTTCTTTCTAGAGTAAGAGATTTTTATTTTATTTTGGTGAGTTATTGTTCCTGTATCTTGTGCTGTGTGCCCCTCATTCCTACTGTTCTGTGCTGATGCAACAGTGACATTTCCCCGCTGTGGGACAAATGTTAATGTCACTTCACTGAGTCTCTTTGTCCCAGAATGACATGCTGCTTACAGTACAGATATAAACACACAACTATACATTTCTTGCACTAGACCAGGGGTGTCCAAACATTTTACGTTCATCAGACTTGACCTGGGGCTGACATCCTGAATTTAAAAAACTGAAAAAAAATGTGTTTTGATTCTTCCTTATTGATCCACAGATGCATTATATTCGGATTGTTGTGACACAATCATAAAACAAATGTCAGGAAATAACAATAAAGTCAACAACTGGATTCCAGAAGGTCTGAGATTTACAAGGCACAGCATGACTGTGTTGGTGGAGCTGAAGTTGGTTGGATGACACTATCAAAATGTCTCAATGGCGACTTTGTGTTTGCAACAGAGGGCCACAGGAAATGACAGAGGACCGCAATTGGCTCGCGGGCCTCAGTTTGGACACACCTGACCAAGACTAAACAGCATTTTTTAGTTGCTCCTTATGTTTATGTCAGGGGGTTTTTGTACTTGAATCTTGGTGCTAAAGTTAGAGATTGTAGACTTCTTTTTATAATCTGGTTAAAGATTGTATTTTATTTTAATATAGTTATTGTTCATTTATCTTGTCCTGTATGCTCCTCATTCTTACTGTTCTGTAACTTGTGATGCAACATTGAAATTTCCCCACTGTGGGTGAATAAATGCCAGCCAAGTTCACACTAACAATAAAACATGTGTCGTGACCTAAAATTGAGTTCATTTTAGGTTAATCCTCCAACAGTGCACAGATACCATATGCACCATTCTTGTGTGAACAGTTTGACAAGGTAAACAATGGCAGAGAAGGCCTTTGTCAAACCTGAACAATGTACGGAGAGCGTAGACTCCTCCCAACGAGCATTTTAGATCTCACATTACTCCAGATTGAAAATGGACTCTCAAAACAAAAGTATCGGTTTTTAAAAAAATATCACCTTCCCATTTCAGCCTTTGAGGATATTTCTCACATAAAAAGAAATGAACTCTCATGGAAAAAAAGCAAAAAACTCCAAGGATAACATCAACTCTCAAAAGTATTTAAAGTAAAATCATTGCTACACCATGAATGAGTCTTCCCCCATCATTCAAACTCTTCTGAAAGTAACGTCACAACACATATCACTGGTAATGGGCCGGTATTTTATTTACATGCTGCAAAATGAGATGCTATTGCCACTAAATGCTGCATTTACAGTGCCTTGAGTTGCTGTTGACAGAAGACAGGACACATGGCTGTATCTGTACGCCTAAACCCCTACATGCTTTAATTATTGAACTACCAAGCAGTAAGTGGAAAATGTCATAATTCAATCTACTGACCTAGCGCAAGGAGGACTCATTAGATTATCAGATTAAATCACTGAGCAAATAGAAAATGTATGATATAGTAAGAAAAAGCTGTAAAATATTATAGTTTACAATAATTATTCACATTCAAAGGCTTTACATCTCAATACATACACAACATGGCCCCTGAACATGACTTCAATCCAAATATGATTCATATATTAGAATTTAAATAACACAGAATGAACTAGAGGCTAAACAATAGCCGTCAAATAACCTTATACAAGAATAAAAATACAAAAACTGTATCCTAATATCATTGCATTACTTGCTTCAGATTTTAATAATACATCATCTGTACATCACAGTTCCAGTCAGTTACAAGCCATGTAGAGTAATCCATTTACAATGTAACTAACTGCCATTGACTTGATTCAAAGAAATTCTCTTTAACTGGGGCCACACTTTCTCTCGAGTGAGTACCCCGACTTTTACAGCAATTTCATCGGTTATTTGGATCAGACATAATCCTTAAAATGACATCCATCCAGCCTCACTACCACCTACACTCCAATCACACCTCACACAGATGCAGCCAAAGGAAGAGGGCCTTTTCAGACGACCCGAAGGTACTATTTCCGAAGTTAAAAGCAATATGAAAATACATATACGGGGCAAATGAAATCAACCAGTTTTTAGTTTCTTTTGGGGCAAACAAAAGAATTTATAAAGTATGAACTGTCTCTTTGTCATCGCCCAAATTTAACTTTTGTTTTGATTGCTTCTGAAAACAAAAAAACAAATGTATGACAATAAGTTTATGTTCAGCACTCAAGATCTGGTTCTCAAGATGAAATGACCATGAGCCAAACTATCCCAACAATACATGGAATAGGAATAAAATAAAATAAACTAAACAATTACTGCCACAAAATAACAGCAGGTGATTCAAAAATAGCCACCTTTAAACTTAAACTATGTCTGTAGTGCTCTAGGAGAGATACGCAGGTTTGGCAGAGCTACAAATCTGATCATGCAGGAAATAGAAGCCAGTTATGGTTAAAAACGTTTGGCCAAAGCCGGTCTTGTAATTGCTGTGATGCTCCACATTCACACCAACTCTGATCATGACCTGACTTTTTACCTTTTATTATATTGCAATGTAAGGTCTAGATATTAAACTAAGCTATCAATTGAAACATTCAAAGATGTATTTAAATCAATATTTCTGAATGAGTCTGACTAGAGCTTGTACTTTGAATATGGTGCAATTAAAGAGTGGCATGGGCTCTGATTCATAGCAGCTAGATTTACATGTTAATTAATATAAGCAATTAACCAGTTCATAAAGATAGTCCTAGCAGTGCCCAAGCTCGTGCCTCTAAGCACACGCGCTTGTCTTTCTGAATTCTCTGCAAAAAGGTGTATAAGCGAGTGTGCATGGAGGCCATCGTCCACACATGGAAAATGTAATAGAAGCCTCACAGAGCACAAAGAACAAGCAAAGCAACCCTGAATCCAAAGATGTGTTTTTCTCCCATGGTTCTGCTCAGGAAAACAAACAAGGTCTTGATGCCAGCGTCTCTTTTAGAGTTTTGTTTACATTGCGGTGATGAAGGGCACAAAAGAAGGTTTTACTCTTCTCAGTGATTGGCCATAGAAACAAAGGTGTGGCCATAGAAGAAATGCCTCTCCTATAGCCCTGGGTTTTGGTGCCTCTGATAGGTTTTTCTCCACACTTCTTGGATCTTCTTGCACCACCGGTCAGCATTTCCACTGGGATCCATCAAATAATATGTTCGGTTAGGCTAAAACAAAAATAAAACAAGTGCCACATTAGCAGTTTCACACAAAAAACTGGTTAAAGAAATCTACAAATTGAGCAAAGTGAGTTTGAGACTGAGGAATAGTTGTGTACCGTATGAACAAAGAAGGTTTTGAAGTTCTTAGCCTCAGGACGAAGCTCAGGGGACCAAGGAATCTCCCCTTTTAGAACCTTGTTTACAGGATCCACATAGTACAGGTGTGGTCCTTCTGTGAGAAGCAGCTGTCTCCGCCGAGCAAACAGACCCTGCAACAAGCAGCCACATGTTTAGTCATCAACAGGGGGAGCTCTTCACTTCAAACTCATAAACACATCTATTTAGATCAGGCCTGTCCACACTTTAAAAGAGGCCCACTTTTGTTAACACGGATAGTGAAACTTAACGGCCTTTGGGTTGATGTAGAATGAAGAATGAGGATGTTACCTGCTCGCTCAGTGAAGACTCATAGAGAAGTTCTCATGGATTCATTTCCAAGGAAAGTAAACTTTTTCTGTAACCGTGTGCAACACACTCACTATTTAAGACTTAAAGGCCGTGGTTCAATGCTCTGTATGACTCGGGTGTTTGTTATTTTTATCATGTATTTGTAAATCCAGATATGAACCCTAACGTCTGACCAATCAGATGCCTTCTGTCCCCAAATTTGGACTTTGTGAGAGCGAAGGGGGGAGTAGACCGGTGCTGCTTCTGATTGGTCCTTTTGGTCATTGTTATTTGAGCACATTTTAGTTCAGCTCTAATCGGCTATCGGCTGTTATGGGTGAAATTCCCAAATTAATTCACATTTGACAGGGCTGAAGTTGGCTGAATGAGTGTTTACAGTTGTATGTTGTATGTGGGATTCTGCTGCAGTGCTTGTAAAGTATGTATAAAGAGTATAACAGCTTAACTGAGAGTCTTATTTGGCCTCTGCCTTAACCCTTTGATCGTAACTTTTAATGTCCAGTGGATCTGTCTTTTTCACAGAACTGTCATGATTTTGAAACAAAAACAAACATTGCATAAGAAGCGGACCAATCAGAAGGAGTATTTTTCCAAGCCCCTCAGTAACGCATTTACTTTTGGGGAGAAGTAAACAAGTGCACCATATGCACTTGCACTTGTATATTGTATATAGTAATAATTCTATTCTAAATGTTATTCCTTAGAAGTGTTGCTGATTTTTTACTCTTTACCTCTCTTTGACTGTTGCACTGAGCCAAAACAACTTCCATGTCTGTGACTTCCTGTTACTTACGTGGCAATAAAAATGATTCTGAATTCTGATTCTGTAATTACTTTTTAAAGGTCATGGGACAAGTGAAAGTTGCTAATTCAAGGGGGTATGAGATTTACACGATGACAGCCTTCCTATATTGGCGGAGTTGGTTGGATCAAGCAAACTTGGCAACTTTGGGTGGGCAAGGCAGAGGGGTACATAAAACGGACTTTGAAGATGTCACATTGTGACGATGCAGTATGATGCACAAACCTTTCGTTTATCGACTGGGCCCATTTTCAAGATGAGATTATTCTCAACAAACTGGTGCCTGTGAAAAGAATGGGCGCATAATTTAAAATAAAAGTCATTTGAGTTTTTGAAGCATTAAAAACATTGTATATAAGGGAACAGATTGTTACCAAGGATTTCCAGTAGTTTGTTTATCCAGCAAAAGCCGCTTTTCCTCATCAGTGAAGAGCAAATCCAACTCAAAAGAGTTGTTATCCAAGTCGTGGATGTACTGCTCAATGTTGCTGCTCGACCTTTGAGGCGACGTCAGTTCCAGCGGCGATAAACCCTGTATCGAGCTGGAGGGAGCCACTTGCATGTTGCTGAACTGGCTCAGGAGATCATCGTACTAGGGACAGAAGTAAAATACTCAAAACAACAAAATACAAAAAATACAACAACGAAAGAGAAGAATAGGAGAGAAACAGAATGATATAGAAGGATTACGGCCTCACATTTCCATAGCAGTCCTCGTCATCCTCTGACATGGCCGGCAGGTAGGGCGTGAGCTTGGGTGGTGTTTGAAGATGTAGATCACTCCAGGAGATCGAGTCGAAAAAGGGATGCTGCCTCAAAGGGTCATAGCCTCCCATCTCCTCACAACCGAGCCGCTTGGAGGGATCCAGCGACTGCAGTGTTCAAAAACATTAGAAGCCCGACAGATAAATATGTATTCAATTCACCAAAGAAAAACAAACATACCAAAAGCTTTTCAACAAGGTCCTTGGCTTTTGGGAAGAATTTCTCTGGGAATTCATATTCCAACTTTATTATCTTCTGAAATATTAGGTACTCATTTCTAGAAACAGAGACAAGAACGAGGTGTGTAACAACAGTATTTGCATTAGATCAAATATTTAGTCAACACATCCCATACCCAGCTCTAAACGGTGGTAAACCAGCCACCAGCTGATAGATAATGCATCCCAGGGCCCAAAGATCAGAGCTAAAAAGAAAAATGTTTTTCTCTTAAAACAAAGAAGAAATAAGACATTTTGAGTAAAAAAAAAACAAAAGTACCTTTTACAGGCAGATTTCTCTGTTAACAACTCAGGAGACACATACTGAGCAGTTCCAACAAAAGAGTTTGCTCTTGCTGCAAAACAATTGAGGGGAAACATGACATTTCCAAATCACAAAGTGTCCTATGTTTCAAATATAGTGTACCTTGTTTGCTATCATAGCGCTTTGCCGTTCCAAAATCTGTAATTTGGATGTGCATGTCTTCACTTAAAAGAATATTTTCTGGTTTTAGGTCTCTGCAACAAAAACGAGTGAGAAGTGGAAACCAAACACAGAAAATCAAGAAGGATGAGTGGAACTTACCTGTGTATTATGTCTTTTTTGTGTAAATATTCTAGAGCAGAAACTATTTCAGCAGAATAGAATCTTGTGCACGTCTCATCAAAGGAGCCAATTTTGCGAATGTATCTTAGTAGCTCTCCATTTTTAGCATAACTGAGACCAAAATCTATAAATGGTCGAGTTAAGGAAAGGTTTTATTCAATCAATCACAATATTTTCAAACTTTCATCTTCAGCATAAAGTAAAAAAATAAATGTCGAAGGTGATTTGATCCATTGTAACGTCGTACATTTGAGGAGAAAACAGACTTTTTTATTAATCTATAGTGAAATGACAATAACATGATGACTGAGGTGTTATTCCTGACCTTAAGGCAGTGAGAAGACTTCCCTAATAACAGAAGAATTTAACCAGTAATTATATGGACCTCATTCTAATACCACCGTTAATTACAATACCACTTTCATTCACAAAACTCAAAAGGATACATAATTTCTCATCATCTTGAAACGTGAAGTAAAGCTTGACAAAGAATGGATGATCTAGATCTGACATCAAGTCCCTTTCTCTCTTCACATATTGAGCCTTCTTCTCCTTCATAATATGGTGTTTTTCTAATATCTTAACTAGAAAGAAAGTATATGTTAGAGTTCAGTCAAGCACATGTAGTTTAAAAAATTGTCAAAAGCCATAGACGTAACTCACTTGCATATTCCTTGCTCGTTGCTAGCTCTTTTGCAAGAACAACCTAAAAAAAACGAAATTGCAAATTATTGAGAACCACTCTTTCAAACCAACACACATGACTCATCCGACTTTATTAATCAAAGGAATGCTAGCGAGTAAGAACGTATTCCTCAATTAAATTCAGATTAAATGTGGAATGCTTGGTACGTACAGTGGAGAATGAGCCTTCTCCGAGTATTTTGCCAAATTTGAAGTCATCTGGTCTCTTCTTGCGTGGCTGAGGAGCGTGGACAGGTTGTGGTGGATGGTTTGCACCTTGGCCGCTGGCAGATGCTCCTACAGCATAGGCCTCAGAGGACGAGCCCTCCATGCTCGGACGAAGGCTACTGCTTGCGCCTGGGATAGCAAGTGGCGAGCAGGAGTCAGAGTTGGTTCTTACCATTGATGGATGTGAACACGAACAGATGACGACACTCGACTGAATGGGCACAACATCATACTGAAAAAGGAAAGGAATAAAAATATGAGTACAAGACAAGAGGGACGGTCCAAAAAATATTATTGTCAAAGGAAATCATGTTTTGTCTAGACACAATACCCACTTTTATATAAGAATAGATAGAAAAAGACGATTTTATACTACTTTTAAATGATCTTGTCATTATACCACATTCGTGATACAAACACACACAGTGCACCAATAATAAACCTATAATTTCAATAAATACAACATTGTTTTTCCTTCTTCTTCATGAACAATTTAAAGTAAGAGCAAAGTCTGAAATGATAAGACGGACACAACTGAGGAATACACAACTTCTGCCAAGTCAACCCTCTCTTGTGAAATACTACAAACTTTATATGAAAAGTGCATTGATAAACCAAGTCTCTAGACAATTCCACACATGGACACGAAACATTAAACTTAATTACAAAACATGGGTGTGGATAATAAGTAACTGAGAGGAACTATAACATTGATGAACACACAAACAGCTCAACTAACCAGAGTGAGCTAATAATGTTGCGTCAAGTTTTCTATTTCAAAACTTAGGTGTGGTCATTTAACGAGCTCTCATTTGGAAACATGGCTTAGTTTGACCAAGATCTTCTGCAGGAGTCCACATGGGAACGATAGTAGAAATGCGTTAACTAGTGTATATAACTAGTAAACTTATCTCCCATGACCTCTGTATGTGTTTGGACCTTACGAAAGTGTATTTACAACACCAAACCACTTTAGCTTTAGATATATGTACGCTGTGTTATAAAGCTGAGCAAGTATTAAACTTATCGCTAACATTGAGATCTTTAGCATTAGCATTAGCGGAGATGCTAACTGTTTGGAGCCGTATGTCACCTTCACTGAATTGTCTTTTTCGACAGAAATGTGTCACCGGTGCATAAATAAAACAGAATCATCCATGTTTGTGTGTTCACAGTGGAACAAACTGGTGTTAAGTTAAATCCCTGATATTCCTCAACGAAAAGTTGGATCGTCCTGAAGCTAAAGCTAATGCTACACGGAAAAATCATTCGAAAGCGCGAACCTGTTAGCTTCTGCCTTAGCCACATGGAGCATTAGCCAAACTACAGAGTCATAATCTCAGTCATAATACAGGTTACATTGTTATCATGGTGTTGACAGCGACAGCCAAATATACCTACTCCAAATCCATCTGGTCAAATACCATTCTAAATCTTTAGAGTATTAACTAAACCGAACAAGCAAACCACAGAGTTGACATTAAAGGGTATATTGCAGCTAGCACCGCTCATCAGGAAGGCCCGGCCTAAGTATGTGTTGTCAAAGAGCCATAACATCGTTCTCTCAAAGCAGCGGCGTCGCAGAGTAATTTGTTTACAAGTTTTGTCCCTTACCAGCTGACTTGTGGCTCTTGCCATGAGAATTGTCCTCTAGTATTTATTTGGAATAAAATAATTAGAGAAGCTCCAGTAATGGCTGCCTCCGTGCCTTCATTTTCGAGCTGTGACGTCGTTCCACAACAATGTTACCGCAGGACAGCAGTCAGCAGAGCTCTGTGAGCCCGCCCCTCCGTCCTACTACTACTACTACTACTACTACTACTACTACTACTACTACTACTACTACTACTACTACTCTTCAACTTACCCAGGGCATAGCATCTTTCACTGATTTTACCCAGGCCCTTGCATGTCAGCAAAAGAGACAGGATGCAAATAAAAATATCTGAAAGCTTTCTTTGGCAAAGTTTGTGTGTTTTGTTGCTCGAACCGAACAAAATAACACACATCTTTAACTATTTCAAAACCCATGAGGTTGTAAAAAATATCTCTGGTCTAATGTTATTGGACAGTAACAAGTCCTTCAGTAGACTTGATCCTGGGTATACTGAGCAAAATTGCGACAATGAAATGCTGACACAAATAATATGCATCTGTAAATATTGAATATTTGTGTAAAACTGTAGTTACACATTATATAAAGTTACATTTGTTGAAAGCATTGTTGTTATATTCAGCTAAAATAATGCAAGAGTCAACAACATATCTAATTATTGTTTATATTAAATTTAAAAGACTTATTCACAATCCTGAAGTTTAATATCTTCTTGTTCCCCCAGTCGTTCATCTTCATTTGATGGTTTTCTGTCCTCCTCTTCATCTTCATCTTCCTCTTCATCTTCCTCTTCATCTGAAGAGTCTTCCTCACTCGAGTCATCTTCTGTACTTGTGCTAAATCAAAACATGAAAGGAAAGTATTAGATAGATTGTCAAAATGATTGTAGCCTTTGTACAATCACTGATGGGTGTGTTATTCCCATAATCTAACCCCAGAGCTCAATGAAGACCAATAGGGAAATGGTTATGGACGATTTGCTCGTCGAAGCGTTTGTGTCACACTCACATTTTCGACATCAATGATTTCTCTGTGATCATGGTGTTTATATTTAGATAATGTCTTGGTAAATCTACATAAAGGCCATATATAGGTTTAACCAATCAGATTTGTTCAGTCGCGGGGGAAACTCGAGCCTGCCTTAGCAAACGTCTTTGCAACACATCTGCAGCGGAAAAGATGATTTGCCTCTTAAAGCACTCGTCTCAGTCCACTCCTAATATAAAGTCTGGTTGTTCCTCCGCAGCGGCAGCACCAGACACGTCTGAGGTTCCCTTCTTTGTCTGTGGTTAGAACATTGGAGCATATCAGCCTTCAAACTGAATATTCTTCATCTATGGGAAACATAGTGGTCATAACGCAGCTTTAAAAGCTGCAGCCGTAAGCCTCATTAAAATGCACTTTACTCAAGATGTTTTTTACTTTGACCCGTCCCACATATTCCACAAACGAAGCATGGTTCAGGGTTCTGTGTGGAAGTCTCCTCTCCAGAACCCCAGAATAGACCTTACCAGAAGACAGCGGAGGAGTGTGATCCATTGGCAATTGAAACACGACCCTGCGGTCCCCCTGCTCAAAGAGAGGGACCGCCACACTGTTCTGCCTGTCCATATTTGTAACAGAAACAGGATGAAGTGGAAATTATATTAAACTCTGAGTGCACTTCACTCCGAAGTGAAAGTACTACAGTATATGTGGTCAAAATACCTTAAAACTACTAGAAGAGTGTACTCTTATTTGGTGGTCTCATGTCTTCCCACTGTTGGACGAATAAAGGAATATTGCAGGGCTCGACATTAACGGTTGTCCACTTGCCCGGGGCAACTGAAGATTTGGGACAGACAAGTGTTTTGTTTTAGCGAGTTGCCCGATCGGGAAAGTGATGTATTACTTTAACCCATTCAGGCCGAGAACGCATTCCCCCATTTCTTCAGCTGCTTTGACAACAGCTCAGCAAACGCACAGCTGTAACGTGTGAACAGAACCATAGACCTGCGAACAGAACCATGGACGTCCTGACAGAACCATTGACACGCGTTCAGGACCATCCCCAGCTTGTTGCAAGTGCAGGTCTCCCAAAGCGCAACCAAAACTCACAAGGCCTGATATCGTATCTCAGATCTAAACCTTTGTTGGCAGGATTCTGTCTGTTAAGAGCAGAGTCCTGGATCGAAAGCCCGTCTGTCACCTCCCTCAAAATGGGCCTCCCAGAGATTTTAGGATCCAGGACATTTAAGTCCAATGGCTCCTATGTATTTGTTATACTTGTTATGCTGTACTTCGGCAGCTGGGATTTATGCAGTGACCAAACCAGCTGGATTACACCAAAGTGGCAACCCAGAGGAGACTCATGTGATTCTAATTCTGCACTTTGGTTGGATTCTCAGCTTGAGAACCAAAAGAAAAAATCTTGTATAGTGTCCCTTTAATGCATCATTTGTGCATGTGTCATTAGTTGAAGCTGCCACAATTATAGCTCATTTTGTAAACCCCCCACACAATCTTAACTCTTTTTTGCTCTACTCATTAATATGAATTGAAGAGTCAAATTTTATGTCACATTATGTTGACAAAAAATATTTCAGTAGACAATATCTCACCATTGAGGTCTGTTCAGATTTCCAAATTCTACCCCCGAGTTGACATCAAATGGATCTGTGGACAAAACACAACAGAATAACATATACAAGACCTTTTTACTTCTCAAATAACTCTCACAAGGATATTTTTACCAAACTCATCCTCCGGAGGTTTATATGTGAGAAAGTCTTTTTCTACCGTCAGCAACTCCTCCTCTGTTTGACAGGCGGCATAACGCTGAAGCAGAACTTTATTTAGCTCCAGAAAGACCCTCCCCCATTTAAATTTCTTCAGTATAAGAACAGCCAATTCTTCAAAGCCTGAAAAAAATATATAAAATGAATTCATCACATTCATGAAATATGAAAAGGAAGTAAAAACGACTTACCTACAATGCAGAACGTGGCTGCAAACGCCTCAACACAAGACAGCTTGCAGGGTTTGCCATAGTTGACAGGATTTGCAGCTACAAGGTACGGCAACAGCCTTGGATGTGTTCCAGTCATTTTATTAAAAGGTGTCTCCTCCAATTTAGCCCAAGAGCAGTCAATCACTGCTAATCCATTCTGAGCCACAATCTCTCTTTGGTCAAACAAACTTGTTAATAGTTGATCTGATACAAAAGTAAACATTTGCACTCACCTGTCTGCTGGGGTCACATATCTGACTCCCATTGGGCTGAGGATGAGTCCATTAAATCTCTGATTAAGACGAAGGTTGCGCACAAAACCTTTGCGAACTAATTTTCTGCCGGTACAACGTTTAGGGTCACAGTGGCCCAGCTCCCACATGGCAAGGGGACAAGGCAGCTTCACTTCAGGGCCTTCTGCTCCAGCATCCAAATGAAGACTCGCTGAATGGAAGATGACACTTATTAAAAAGGTATGGTATGGTGTGTGTGTGTGTTGGATCTATGTGTGTTGTCATGGAACTATGGTGTGTGTGTCTATGAGTGTGTGTCTTCAGAGGGGCTTGATGACGCAGAGTGGTTACAGTAGTAGCTCATCACCTGTGTGTATTGAATTAATTCAATTTAACATTAATGGTCAAAAAACACAAATATTTTAGTTTTACAGAAAATAATCTAGCAAACAAAGGACAGAACCACTGCAGTGGATGATTACCTTCAAAGGCAGTGTGCATTTCCTCCGTGAAGGTCTCCAAGGTTTTCCCCTTCATTTTGTGTCTTCTGTCTTTACCTTTGTGGTCAGGTCGCACAAATTTACCCTGTTTCTTTCGTCCCATTCTTTCTGCTGCCACTTACTATCCTCGCTATAAAAAGAATTAGCAATGTGACATAGCTTGTGCTGCAGCTAACTTACAAGCTACACGCTAGTTCAGCACGTTATCAATCAGCAACATGGCACAACACTTAGAATAAACATCTCCAGTCACGCGTAGAAGCGACAGAACACAGCGTGGAGAAGTTTTAAATGGAAAAGTTTATGTTTGTGACGGACACACGAACATGCTGTCTACGCTCACAACGCGCATGCGCATGGAGTGTTTTGCTCAGGTGACAGATCACGTGACACATGGTCACAGTGTTGGACAAGGAACTCTCACGCAACGCATTTATTTGCAACAAAAATGGACATATTCACGTTTGACAGAAAAAACTATTGCTTATTGACACGTTGGCTGCTCGGGATATGCCTCTTTTGTATGTTTACTTGTTTTTAATCACATGTACATGTCATAGACTGTATATATTACATGTACAATTCACTGACTCTCTTGTTTGCAGCGATCAATGGCTTTGCTGGCAAAATGAAAATCGTCGAAGAGCCAAATACTTTCGGGTATATAAAACATACATTATGCATTCAGTAAGTGTTGTGTACTTTAACAAACCCGTTACTGTGTGTTTCTGTGTGTAGTTTGAACAACCCCTTCATGACTCCGAGGGACCGACTTCAGCCCAGGACAAGTCCTTCTCCAGTGTCTGGTGTGTCAATATCAATATTTACAGTCTATGGTCATACTCGAACCTATGGGAGCGTGCCTGTAGTGCTGTTTCCACCACCTGTACTTGGTCCAACTCTATTCTACCCACTTTACCTGATTGTGTTTCCATTACGCTTTAAAATCTGGTGTAGTCTTATAGCAACCTGCCCTCAACAAAGCAGTATCCAGGGTAATGTATTTGTAACCGTGGGTATGGGGGAAATCCGAGACGAGTAGGGCCAAGTAGGGCTGGTGGAAACGGGGCTTATGTTTCCTTGGCCCTGTATATATTCCGTCACTGTTAATGTTGTATCTACATTTCCTTTATCATCAGTTTGCTTATGGGGAACATTTGGCTCCAGTGTAACACACTCAATTATTTCTTCAGGTCCTCAACATCTTCAGCAGTTGGCAGGAAAATGCTTCAGTCTGATAGAAACAACGTAAGAATCCAATGTTGACGAATTGTAGCAAGCAGCTTATTTAATTTACATGTTTTTACTATTGAAAACAATGTTTAAGTAACACCAAAGAGTAAGTATAACAGTATAGTTATATTTACACATTGGTAGAAGTCCAAGACTTCTACGAGAACACCCAGAGCTGTCAAACCAATGAAATTCAGAGAATTTCCAATTTCTTTTAAATGTTAATTTTAAGTGTTATTTTAAATGTTTGACTTGTACACAGCCTGTGACACACGACTGTCTGCAGGTACAAATATGAGTTCTGTCCATTTCACAACATCACGCAGCACGAGCAGACGTTCAGCCTTAACGCCTACAGCGGGATACTGGGGTAAGACGCTAACGATAGAAGAAAACACCATAATTCAAAACGTCATGCGGTTCATACTGTGTGTCGTGTCTTACAGGATTTGGCATGAGTGGGAAATCATCAATAATTCATTTACAGGGATGTGGATGAGAGAAGGCGATGAATGTTGGACAGCAAACAGAGAAACAAAGGTATTTATAATTATACACTGTAAAATAACATCAGTGCTTGGTGGTGAACTATCTTTTTTTTTTCCAGGTGATTTTTGTTTGTGGGTTAAGTAATAAGGTGGCTCAGGTTTCAGAGCCAACCACTTGTATGTATTCTTTGACTTTTGAGACGCCGCTCGTCTGTCATCCTCACTCTCTTTTAGGTAAGTGTTTTTTGTCTCGTGTTGGAGTTTAGAATGTGTTCACTGTATCTCTGTTGTTCCATTTCAAGTGTATCCAACTTTGACCGAGGAACAACAAAAAGAATGGGACGAAGCAGAACAAGCTCGATATGAAGAACTTGTTACGGAGCAGGTGAAAATATTAGTGATGTTGGACTTGGATCTTTTCATTTATGTGAAGCAAGGGATTTACAGACCAGGCAAACTCAGGTTATTTTATATAATCTATTTTTATGAGCTTGTCTCTGTGTGTGTCTGTAGGCCCAAACTACAGAACGGTTTGAGCTGTTTTTACAGACATTAGGTATTTGAACTGATCTCGTTATTACAGTATTGAATAAGACTCTTTTTTGCTTCACGGGACAGTGCAGACACAAAGTAAATGTGTTTTCATTTTTGTTTTAAAGTGAAATGTCCCGTTTGCTGTTGAGTTGGTGCTTTATCAAAGTAGAACTACAGCTAACACAGATGTACAGACACACCAGTGAGAGGCTGGTCTAACTGGTCGTTAAACCAGTTTGCCCCGCCCACATGAATAGACTGATGCGGCTCAAAGCGATGCACAACAGTCAAAAGCACTTTACAATTCACATAAATAGAATAGGACCCAGTGTCCAACCTCTGCTCCTCAAATGGTTATTTAGTAATCACCATGACAACCATTTAACTGTCGCCCACAGGGATACAATAACTTGTTAAAAGATATTTTTGAAGATGCAGGTCTGTTTAAGAGTCACAAAGTGAATGTGGAGGAAACTAAAGCCTTATCCAGTTCAGACACCGACAGCTCCTTGCAAAAATGCAGACAGGTATGTGATAGTTTTTTTTTATAAACATAAGATAATCAGTTAAACAATGACTTAACACTTTCAGGATACCAAAAAACAAACGGAGGAGATTCAACGATTGCAAGCTCTCCTCACACAACACAATATTCCTTTTCATCCACAACAAAGTGAGTAATTGCCCTTAAAGACAAAGATGCAAATATTTGTGTAAAAATGAAATGTCTTCACTTGCAGCAGCTGCAATAAATCAAGAAAGCGAAAAAGAGAATCATCTTAGAGGAGACACCGGCACAGTCAACCCACTATAACCCTGTTGAATGTTTACATTTTATATTATAAGATTAAAGGTTTGATTCCTTCCGTTCATGGTACCTCGTTTGTTACTGAGCACGGGTTGCATGGATTTGGTCTTAAAGAACACTCCTGATCCTGAAAAACCATTTGTGTCAAATTAGTTTAGATACATGCTTTTGTTTAGTACAAAAAACAAAACAAAACAAAAACTATATCAAGTTCAGCCTCAAACGTAAACAATAATAGAATATGTATTGTAATGTAATAGACGGACAAAGAAAAAAGCACAAACTTAAATGATCACGAGTGTCCTTTCAGTTATTGAATGCATGTCGTTACTGCAGCGTCACTTTCAGTCTGGGTAAAGAGTCTATGGTTAGGACAGCAGCTGGATGATTTCTTTGGCTCGATGCGCCCTCTGCTGGACGTGTGTGTCAGGTGCGTCTCCAGACTGTTGCACTAAAGCCAAGGCTTTCTGAACCGTGGTGTCCTTCGCTGATCCTTGCAGCCCCTCCACATACTGCAGCAGCACAGAGAACTTGTCATCTGAAACCTAAAAAAAACAGTATTATTAAAATGCATTATTAATCACACATATAAACTTTCTTTACTTGCTACACATGCAAATATGGACGCCTTGACTGAAGTCATGCAGTAAACCTCAGGCTTTACCTTCTCAGAGTCAAACATGTGCTGCAGCAGCCAGGTCTGTCTGGTCTTCTGGAACTTCCACATGTCTCTGTTTTCAGCCCAGCTGCGTCCAAAAAATAAAAAACACAGGTTAGGGAATAAAACGATTGAATTCGAAGAATGCAATAAGAAGCAGTAGCTGTACTGGTTTGTGCTGTATCAGACTGAATTATCTGAGAATGAATATATCTGGAGCATGATGTGAGCTTTGTGAAACATACTGTAATTTAACTAACTAACTCAAGTTAATACATTTGATGTGTGTTAAACACATGTTAATGACAAGTCCAGTGTAACATGTGGCGTGTGCAGCAGACTTGCCATGTGAGATAATCGAGGGCCAGCTGAGGAGCAGTGGCAGCAGCTGCTTCTGTTTTGGGCTGCGTCTCCCCCGCCTCCTTCAGTCTGTTCTTCTCCTCTTTCTTCAGGATCTTTTTCATCTTTCTCTCCAGAGTTCTCCTCTCCTCTGGGCTCAAATCCTCCTCTTCCTCCAGCACTATCTCTGAAGTGGGTGGTTCTGAAATCTGTCAAACCAAAGCAGTTTTATCTCGTTTAGCAGAACGGCCAGTTTGTGCGTTTCATTTAAAAGGATTTTCTTGTGTGGCTGTGTCCTGTTTGTGCTGTAACCCAAACAAGAACACTTCATTCACTCTTATGTCAAATGTTAATTATGGTTAAATCACTTCCTGTGGCTCAGAGCACATCTAAACAGAGGCTTCCTGTGTTTACCCAATGCATTTGTGTGGTGTGTTAAAAAAAAAACTCATGAGATCCTTAAATACATGTATGCAGCATGATCAGAGAGTCCAAGCACTACTTTCTCTACGACTGTTAAACGAGAGACTTCCATGATTGTGCCTCAAGAGCTGGCCCTGACACATATGTTATGATAGAGCACAGAGCAGCACAGTTAAGGCCATCTACTACACAGGTTCTCAAGGGAAGTCAAACAAAGACCACAGTATGTATTTTAACGGCTCTATGTGTGGAGTGATGTAGAAGTAGGAGGGCTAGGAGGCAGATCACGTGTCCTTTAAGTAATTTTGAAAGTATGCAACCCACCAAAATATAAAAAACCACTGCAGTCAGAAAAGCAGCAAGCATCGACCGCGTCTCACAGAAGGAGGACTACAAACGGCAGCTCACACGAGTGAAGCGGCCGGGGGAGAAAATGGTGAGTGGAAACTTGTTTAACTGAGGTCGGCAGTTTCTCAAAAGGACAAACAGATGTGGATCCCGTTCCTCAAAGACGCCAGTCATTAAACGCTTAGAGTCCAAATCAAGGAGTGAAGCTTCGGCAGGAAAACGTCAAGGAAATGCTCAGTTTTCAAAGCGCCAGAGAAAGTAGAACGTCTCTTCCTCATTATACAGATTCATTTCCGAACGTTCACAATATGAGCAACAGTAGAATGAGAAAGGAGTCTCCAAAACCACTGATGCTCATTAAACTGAAATAAATGCTTTATATTGTAATTGATTATCACTTATAGTTTGTCACCTACAATGTTGACAACAAGGTCAAGAACATGTAGTGAAATGACTAGTAACTAATACATCTGTCTAGTTCGATTGAAGTAGTCAAAGAAAAACTTAACAGCTAAAACTATTTTTCTTCAGTGTTTATGAGGCGTCTGAAACTAAAATATAAATAGTACTTTTATTCTGGATGTTTAAGTGTCTCCAAATCAAACAAACACTTCAGTTTTGTGGGTAAACTGGTTAGAAATGGGTATACTATATCTCCATGTCAGACATTACCAAACTCAGGCCCGTGAGCCAAATGCGGCCTTCTGTGTCATGTGATGCGGCCCTCTCTCTCTTGCTAACACAGAGTAATCTTTAAGATCATCAACACAAGTTCAGAGTCATCCAGCCAGCTCAGCTCCACCAACGCAGGGATGCTGTATCTCGTTGTCGTTCAATTCAAATCATTGACTTTATCAATATCAATATATGTATCTTACTTTGTTTGTGCCACAACATTCAATACATATGGCGCTGATGTAGCTATGATGAGCTGGTAAACTTTCTTCTGGCTCTTACTAAATGTAAGAGGGCCATTTGGTTTGGAGAACTCTGCTCTATATAAAAGATTATTATAGTGTGTTAACATTTGTTTTTGTTCTAGCCACTTCTGCACACTGACCCAGGGCCTATAGGAACAGACAGCAACTCCACCGCAGTCACCTTCATAAACGACTCAACTCCCACCGTCGCCTTCTCAGACTACTTGGACAGAATCACCGCCAACGACATCACCTCTAGAACCAATTACGCATACAGCTTCCTGTCGGCGCTGGGCTTCGTGGCTGCGTGCTTCCTCCTCTACGTCTTCCTTGTGGCGTTCAGGGCCCAGAGGAGAGTGGCCTGGCTGGACTGCCTGCTGTGTGCCTTCAGCGTGCTCCAGCTGCTGCTGCTGCTGCTGTCTCTGTACGCCGCGGTGCACAGGCCCAGCTTCCTGAGGACCTCGGGGCTGGGATGCGCGACCCTCTCCTTCACCATAAACGCAGTGCACGGTGGCGGCCTTCTCGTCCTCGTGGTTCTGGCGTACATTCTGAGCCTGGATCCGCCATCGCAGGCGCCGCTGAGGAAGCCCGGAGTCTGCGCGGGTGTCGTAATCCTGGGTTCTGTGGTGGTATCTTTGGTGCTGGCTACCATCGGAGGAAAACGAGAAGACAACGGCTGTTTTATGGACCCGGTCTGTCTTCCATACGCACTGGCCAAACTCATCCTGGCGTTGTTAGTCCCATACATGATCCAGGTGACGCTCCTTATTGCAGGCTGCGTGAGGCAATGGAAAACCAAAGGCCGATTTCTCTCCGGGTCCGAGGAAGGTCCCGTCTTTGTAGCAGTGTCTTTCGTCTTGTTTGTTTGTGGGCTTCTTTACTGCACGGCGCTGATCAGAGCTGCACTGTTGAAGAGGAAGGACAGACTGGTGCCAAAGGAGGAGGCGTTTCTGAACGTGTTTGAGTTTGTGTTTTTCTCTGGGAGCAGCTTCAGCTTGATCCTGGTGCTGATGCTGCACAGACCGTGTCGCGAAACACTCAAAACAGTGATGAGACAAATGAGAGACTGCTGTAAGAGGCACGGGCAAACACAGGCCCACCGCATCATAGCACCACACATCGAGATCTCTGATGCACTGCAGGACATCGAGCAACAATGAACTGAGAGCGCCCATAATTTATAAATGGTACAAATGTGTAATAGGTTTTTTTCTCCTTGATTGAAGGGTCTATAGCAGGAGTCTCCGATGGGCCGGTGTGGAGACCCCTAAAGTTTTAAAATATAAAACTATAAATGAATGAATATTTTGTTTATAAAGATTTGTGGATGTAGCACCATGTGATAAATAAACTGTGCATGTACAAACTGGATTTTACTCCATTTGTTGTTCTTGTTGTCAGCAAAGAGAAAATAAAACCATCAAACTGTAAATGTGAAGAATAAAATAAAGATGCGTCCCTCTTAATCAGACCAGGACCAGCTTGAACTCACAAGTAAAATATAGTTCTCTTTAAGTTTAAACTAAGTTTAAACATTCTCTGTGCTGAGATCACTCCCACGTCAAGAGGGCTCCAAAGGGCTCTCAGACAGACTTTTAGTCCTTCGTTTGACTATTTATCAAATTTTAATTTGTACTAAAAGGTTAATAAATAAAAAGATTGAGGGAAAAACTTGGAAAACAAAAGCAGTTTAGCTCTGACTTGCCTCATATAGAACACGAACATCAAAATGATCATAACACCCACACTTTTGGGTGAGTAACGGAGCCGCAAAGTGTAGAAGTAAAGACGGCTTTACATCACATTTCTGCCAACAGAAGTCCAGAAAAACAAATACAAATCCAGATCAGGGGATTGCCGGGAGGGCAGTACGCTCTATTGTCTCATGAGAAACACTTATTCCATGAAATAAGAATTTTACAGCACGTGTTTGTAAAGGAAGTTATTTTTGTCCAGTTTTTTCCTGTTCATTAAATGTATTTATGTGGTGCATTTCACAGACCAAGGTCTCCCAAAGCACTTAAAAAAAACAAGGATAGTCCAATTATAATGTAAAAGATATTTTAAATAAATATATTAATTAATCAACTCTATAGCAAAAAGTTTGTGCAATCAAAAATGTATAAAAGAGCAGACATTCTCGAAACACCAGACAGCGAGGAGCAGCAAACCTTAGGCGGCAAAAAGGAATAAGCAGCAAATTTTAATGTTTTGATGTAACATTTAACCAACAGCTGAAACACGACTGTTTTAACTGGACTCGACATGATTTAACTATGAGCCGTTTTACTGCACTGTTGACTTGTGATGGACAAAGCTAAAAGGTAAAAACACAATGAACTCTGAGGAGGCAAATCATAACTGTTCCAGGACTCAATCACCTTCATCCATTTTGACAATTAACAAGTTTTCTGCGGCCGATAAACCTGGAGGAGTCAAAACAATAAGTCCAGAACCTCTATTGGCCGCATTGCTAAAGGAAGCAGGGATTAATGAACTGGGAAAAAATACTTCTAGAATGGCAATTCCGGTACAAAAAAATATAAACGTAAAAAACACTAAACCACTGTCTCCATATGAAAAAAGTAATGCATCAAATGTAGTGAGTAACAATTAAGAAGGTTTGAAAGATTCTTACTTCATTTTTCTCCTTCTTCTTCTTTTTATGTTTTTTTTCCTTCTTGCTCTTTACTTCTGGTTCATTTACTTCATGCGGTGAAACTGGGATCACTTCTGGAGCCTGCTGAGAAAATATACAATTAAATAAAATAATGTTTGATCTGATTGATTCATAAGACTCAGTGGGATGAAAAACTATACCTCTAACTTTTTCTTTTTCTTCTTCTCCTTTGGCTTAGGTTCGTCACTAATGTTGTCATTTACATCCACATTCTTTCTTTTAGACCGAGATTCTAGCACTGCATCTTTGTTTTTAGCCATGCTGAAAAAAAGACAAATACATTAAAACACAACAAACAAATAAACGAGCACAAAGACAGTACCATTTCCAGCAGGTTATATATTTAATAAACATGAAATCGCCTTTGAGTGATGATACATACAGAGTTAAGCAGACTTTTTACCTGAAGCAACACTCAGTCATCCAGCGTGGCTCAGAAGCATAAACATGTGTAACACCGCCGGACGTGACGTCATTGGCATGTCTACCAGGGAACACCCTAAAACTGAGTACTAATGTTGTAAATAATAATTTAATGCATCTTCGGCTACAGAAAAAGAAATATGTTGATACAAAACCACTTTACGAAATGTATCTTATTTTATTCTGAATAAATTTTCCCCGGAACCTTTGATATTTGCAGATGATCTTCCGGAGTAAGTTTGTAGTTGCAGTTAGTTACATGACCTAAGCCAAAGGATGGTTCGATAATAACGTTTCTCTGGTTGAATTCGTCCTTCTCGGATCTTGCGGCTGTCAGTCGAAATGTCTTCATCAGTGAGAAGAACTCTGTGTACTTTGTTATCGCGTGTCAAAGGTTTATCTCCGCACAACACCACCAGCGTGCGGTAAGTCTGAGCTGTCAGGAGAAAAATAGTCACAGAAAATATCTTTGTTTGATTTCGAATTAATCTGCGAGAAAACCCAAAACTTTAAATGGTAACCAAACAATGTAATGTGTATTATTTTATTATTTAGTTTGAATGATACTAATAATACCATGTATCTTGAACTTGAGTGCTCTTTTCTACTGTAATGTCCCCACTGTGGTGTGTGGTTCTCTTTCCTTATCAATGATAATGGCCACTTTAAGATCGGTTACTAAACGTATTTGACTCAACAATGAATAGCAGGGATTAAATGAGTCTGACTAATGTATTATGTGTTGGATTCCATGTCACAATGTTTTGTGTTTTCAGGCTGAGCAGTGTCCGGGCGCTGGCTTTGAGCTCACATCTCGAATCAGAGGAAAAGTCAGATGAGCCCATCAAGTTCTCCACAAGCAAGGCCAGTCACCGGACCTGGAAAGTGGGCAGCTCTATGGGCAGCCAATACAGAAGACCATGGAAGAAAGTGTTGCCATTAAGCATTGGTTTCTCCGTCTTTTTGTTGTGGTGCGTGCTGAGGGGACAATCAGATGTTGATGAGAATTATTACAGACCACTTCAGGAGAGTTTACAGAGTCTGCAACAAGAGCAGGAAAAAGCTGAAGATAAACCAAGTTAATAGAAATGAACTAAATAGTTATTTATTCCTTGTGACCTGTGATTTGCTATGTCTGATTAAATGCCTGAAATCAAATGTCTTATTGTATGGATGTGAACTCTATTAGAATTGTTTAACATCACTAGCTCGGGCTGTAACCGATGTCTGTCTCATGTGTTGCATTAACACCAGTAAGAGGATGGGTCAAACAACAGCTGCATTTTCCCAACTGTAGGACTAACTTGTAGAAAGCCTGGGCCATTACTAAGTTAAATATCTGCACATCTTTGGGACCTGGGGCCGTATGCCTAAAGATTGAGTCCTCCCAGAGAGCTTCTAACTTAACCTAAACACTCCTAGCTAGGAGTCTTAGCTCAAGTTATTCCAGAACATTCTCAGAACTCTTGAGCAAGGAATGGACAAAAACTTCTAACTTAGCAACGGGGTCGGCCACGCCTCCTCACTAGGTATGAGTCATAAATCCAGACGCTGAGATTGGTTTATCCTAAAAGTTAGAAAAAATACTTTTGGTGATAATGGAAAAACTTAATCTTCCTCAGATTAGATTCCATGATTGTCATTGTAATTAATATTTTGCATAAATATTTCAATGTAAAATGAATGCTGTGAATTGTAAGTTAAACTTTTAAATGCTCAGTGAGTGAAAACAGTATTAACTCCGTGATAGTTAAATTTTAATTGCCATGCTGGTCATTTGTGTAATGAGGGTAAAATGGCACAGCTGTGATTGCTGACTAGTCTAAGAAGCTGTGTTGACTTTCAACTATAAACATGTGAACAGCAATGGAGAAGAGGAAACCAAACTGGAGAAAAGAATGTTTGCTTTTGGCTCAGTTGGTCAGCATTAGTGCTGAGAGGTACATTTGGCTCCACTGTCACCCAGTTTGTATCTCTTCAGTCCACCATTTTGTCCTCTTAGCAACTGAAGTTCCCCAACTGTCCTCTCTGCTATAAAGATAGCTCTGCAGGTTTGGTTTAACCTCTGGAGATCAGTGCCTGAAACACCCTTTGATTAGATCCAGTGTTCTTCCAAGGAAAGTCAACTCATGGCCTTTAGTGTCATTTGTATTAATCTTGAACCACATAGAAGTAGTGGCAGTTTGACTTTATAGGATAATTGTTTTAAAATGTCAGTAAGACCAGGCTGGTCACCCAGAGATAAAGTCAAAACCAAGACAATTGAGGTAGAGGAAAAGTTTATTTACAGCATGACGAATCCTGACACAAGCATGTGATGAAGCAGACGAGTGAAAGTCCTGAGACAGAAGTTCAGAATGCACAGGTATATTCTAAGCTAAGGAAAAAGGGGAAATACAAAATCACACAACATTTAAAAATGGTACACATGCTGATATTTCATGTAAAAAAGCCCCAATCCCAGCCCACCCAACCAAAGTTTAAGATACAAATTTATGCACGCTCTCCTCTGATTCGTCGAGCCAGCTGGATGTCCTTGGGCATGATCGTAACCCTCTTTGCGTGGATCGCACACAAGTTTGTGTCCTCAAAGAGCCCAACCAAATAAGCCTCACTGGCCTCCTGCACAAAGGAACAAATATAAAACGTTGAGAGACAGTAAAGCATTTAGGCAAAAAGCTACTGAATACTATTATACCTGAAGGGCGCCAATAGCTGCACTCTGGAAACGCAGGTCAGTTTTAAAGTCTTGAGCAATTTCTCTGACAAGACGCTGGAACGGCAACTTCCTGATCAGCAGCTCAGTAGACTTCTGGTAGCGACGGATCTCACGCAGAGCAACAGTACCGGGCCTAGAGGACAACACACAATTTTACTTTATGCTACTGCTTAGGGCTAAGTAAATGTACTAAAGTCTATGATAAACTTATCCCAAAATAAATCGAAACATCACTTAAAACACATGGCTTTGAATTTGTGCATTACTGCAAACGCACAAATCACTTTGAATACACGCTGATGTAAAAACCAAGTGATTTTTCCGACCTGTATCTGTGGGGCTTCTTGACTCCGCCGGTAGAGGGCGCACTCTTCCTGGCGGCCTTTGTGGCCAGCTGCTTCCTAGGCGCCTTTCCTCCGGTGGATTTACGAGCGGTCTGCTTTGTACGAGCCATGACTCAAGATTCTGTAAAAGACATAATTTATATTAGTCCCGACTAGTAACTAGATAGAGAATTTACAAAAAAAACGTATTCTACAATAAAACGAATACATAATGAGGGAGGGGGGGCATCATGAGGCTAGGATCAAAAACAAAACTACCCCCTTTGACAAACGGATCAGCTTTTGGCGGGGAAACCCATTCTTTTAACCCTAGAGGCCATTTACGACCGAAAAGTAGAACATTTTATGAGGAAAACCGCGGTAACCGTTTGGACAGACTTCCATCAAAGCAGACGAGACTCAAGTCTGATTAAAGCTTGTGCTAAAATGGCGCCAGATCCATTCCCAGTGCTTCAGTCTCTAAAATAAAAAATGATCAAGTGGTCAATTTAAGAACTGATAAAACGTTACTTTATTAGTAACTGAGAACAACACCTTTGTGCCTTTAGCAGACGTTAACAGCGCGCGCGATTTTTGTTGAGCCGTTAAGACGAGTTGTAACATAAGCAGGTCAATAGTTTCATAACAAGTGAAAGTCAACTACGTGAGCTTTAAACGCACAAACAATATACAAACATGTGAGCAGAGTTAAGAAATGTAATAAATACCTTAGTTAAGCTTTCTTCAGACAAGTGTCCTCTTTACAGCGGTGGTGTGAATGGTGAAAAATGTGGGAGTCGGGGTTATTTATACATTTCCGTGGCAACGCCTCTCCACATTTCTGATTGGATGGACACAAAACTCGCTTTGACGCGATTGGTCAAAAGCTAAAGTAGGAACAATTTGATTTATTTTAAAACTTTTACTAGTAATTACAATAGTTTACAATAATTACTGGACCGTTAATAACATTTATAAAAATATCTAGAGAATCCAGGACATTTGCTCATTTTTTGTTTTCTTCTTTATAGCTCCAAGCGGAACCACGATTACTGGAAGCTCGTCGCAAGTCGGACGTAATTCTAGCGGGATATTTTCGGATATTTTATCATACACCCACGACGGGAAATCCACATCAACATATTTTACTTATTGTCAGGTCTTCGGGTCTTCCACGCCCACGCATTGTGTGTGATCATTTCATGTTGGTAACTTTGAAGTGAACACCAGCCGGAGAATGAGCGAACGGAAACTAATGTCAATAGGTGGGCACATGGGAACACTGTCCACTCATACCATGTTGTTTTATGTATTCAGTCAAGGCTAACGAAATAACTAACGTGTAATTTATCCTAACCTTACAGATATTGAGCCCAGTGTCTCTGAAAGCCAAAGTGATCAGCAGCAGCGACTTCGGGCTCGTAGTGAGAACTCTTTCAAATTCAACTTTCTCCCAGACAACTGTGCAGACAGTCTAAACCAAGCCTCTTTGCCATCGGCGCCAGAAGATACAGTCAGAGATATCACATTTACTGGGACGAATGAGAATTTTGTTTTCAACTTCCAAATTGACAGAGAAGAAGAAATGGAAAAAGACAGCCCTACTTCAGAAACTTCTCCACACAAGCCACTGTGTGCAGAGAATCCATCTGTTCAGCAGTGCAGTTCTACTCCAGACACTGTGCCAACATCCACGAGGCCGAAGAAGAAGAAAAGAACTGGAAGAAATAAGGCAGCAAATGGCAACACTAAAGAAGAGCTAAAGGAAGCAGCTGTGCATGAAGGTGAAACTGCAGAGCTGGTTAGTTGAATTCATCACATAGACAATGATTGTATGTTCATCCATCAATATTCATTTTGGTCTTGTATTTATAGAGTACAGAGGAGCAGTTTCAACGACAGCTAGACTGGTGCATTGAACATCTAGATCTGGGAATGCGGTCGCACAAAGCCACTCTAAAACAGAGTATGTATCTGTTCAAGTCTCTTAGGCTCTATCTGATTAAATGTTTGAATCCCACTTTTACTTTGTTTGTGAAGTGTTTCTAATGTGTAATAATACTGATTTCTTGAGCAGAGGAGGAGGCATCCCGGGCCCTGAAGACTTTACGTAGTTCCAAAGCTCCACTCGTCAAAAAAAGGCAGCTGATGAGAGCAATGGCTGGAGACTACAGACAGAAAATGGAAGAAGAAAAATGCAAACAGTTTAGTCTTATTCAGAATGGTGAGTTTTACTAATATCGCACTCTTACACTTCCCTTCTGATTATATGTGATGTGTATTTTCTTGTCAGAAACTGCATCAGCACAACTTCGAGCAGTGTCTGTTTTGCCAAAGAAGTCGTCTTTCCATCGAAAAGCTCTGATCAAAGCTCAAACACCACAGGGCACCGACATCTCTGATGCCACAGAAGCCCCTAACAATAACTTTGTCCTTACACCTTCAAATGAGGAGTTTCTCTTTAATTTCCTGTAGTTTAAGTTTTCATTGTAACCAGATTAATATGTACGTTATTAAAGTGTTTTACTTTTATTTTGTTCACAAAAATAAGAAATAATCATAATAAATTATACAAAACAATGGTTTTGTTGTTGTCTTGGGGGCGGGGCGCCACAGGAAAAGGCGGGGTCATAAACACGGACACATTTGAGTGAGACACCAACAGTGGACTTAGTTTGAGCTGAAGGACTGAAAAAGTTCTGCATGTGAGTATTCTACGTCTGACATTTGCCACTTACTGTCCTGTGTTACTATTTTAAGTGTGTATTCTTTACTACACAACCTCTTGAAACGTTTGGCTTTTTGGAAAGTGGATGTTATTGTTGAAGCGCTAATCGAGGCTGAGAAGCTCCCTCCCCTGGTGATGCATATGTCGTAGAATATATCTTTGTATTCATATTTATCGCTCATGAACGGATGACATAGTTGTGGCTTCAGAACGTTCTTTTGGCTCGCCGCCAGAGAGGAGCATGTCCGAGCTGAGTGACGAGGCCAGTGAGTCGGAGCAGCTGGGGGCCAGTCTGTCTCTGTGGCTGGGGGAGTCCATGCTCCTGCGGCCTGAAGAGCTGGATGTGCCGCTGGACCTCCACACCGCCTGCTCCATTGGACAGTACGACGTAGTGGCACAGACGATCAAAAGGTGGCTCTCACACATACTCTGGATCTCAAGTTATGGCAAAACTTGTTATTGGCCAAGTTTCATATACATTTGCCATAGTAACGTATGCAATCATTCACATTTCTCATGTTTATTCTGTGACTAATGTCTCTCATCTTAGAAGTGAAGTGGATCTGGACAGAAAGAATGTTGGAGGGTGGACCCCATTAATGTATGCTGCTTACATTGGCCATGACAATATTGTCAATCTGTTACTGGAGGCAGGCGTAAATGTGAACGCCACGACAGCCAATGGGTTGACTCCTCTGATGTTAGCAGCCAGCTGTGGAAATGAGAGCATTGCATATTTTCTGCTTCAGGTACAGTCTCTATAAAAAACTTAACCACGGACTGTAATGCTCTGTTTGGTTTTTAAAGTGAGTGACTTTCATTGAGTTTTATTTAAAGCAAGGTGCAGAGTTGGAGATGAAGGACTTTCGTGGCTGGACTGCATTATTTCACTGCACAAGCACAGGACATCAGCAGATGGTGAAGTTTCTGCTGGATAACAAAGCTGACGCCAATGTCAAGTGAGTGTCAGTAAAACCTTGTTGGGCAGTGGGGAATATCCTGGGGCCTGACCTACTGGACTGCATCCTCACTCTCATTATTATTAATTGTAGTAACACTCTACTCCCTGTCGCAGGGAGCCTGTTTCTGGGTTCACTCCCTTGATGGAAGCTGCAGCTTCTGGACATGAAATTATAGTCCAGTATCTGCTCGATCATGTAAGTGATTTCTCTCCATGTTATATTGACAAAACCATTCTGGTCTTATAACATGGTTTTCTATGTTATATTTAGAAAGTTAAAGTTGACCATCGGAATGCAAAAGGAGAAACTGCTCGGGTTTTGGCCATGATGTATGGTTACAAAAAGATCGTTAGCCTTATTGATTCTAGCTCCGAAAAGATAAAGCAAGGTACTGTATTATAAAGTGACTTGAAATTCTGCCTGTTTACCCAATTCTTAGTAAATTAATTCAAAACCAGCCAGGCGCTTTGAGGACCCAAGTTCATCTGAAGACTCTGATACTGCACCACCGAGACTGAGGCTGAGCAGAACTCGAAGCAAAGGCGTCAGCATCCATGACGGTCCTCAAGCCATCGCCAAGTTCAGAGTGGGAAACCAGAAGCCCAGCGGTACGCAGCACGTCAGCTCGGCTCACTGAGGTTTGGTTCTGAGGATTCTGTTCCATTACAGAAACGACAGCACAGAGCAACACAGAGTTCAGTGACAAAGAACAAAGCGACAGCATTCGTTTCCGTGATGTCACTTCTCCGATCAATGAGTTGGACGGTCAAAGCAACAGCAGCAGAGGTAGAATCTTCAATCCAAGAGGAATGTGATGAGGTTGAGTGACGTGTGCTTTTTACAGATGAAAGTCCTTTCTTTGACAACGACATGCCGACCATGAGGAGCAGCAGCAGCAGCAGCGAGGGCCTCCCTCACGTCAAGGCTCTGCAGTGGGAAGGCTCAGTGGAGAGTAATGAGGTGAGCACACGGCTCAGTCCTACTGTGTGACAGCCACCAACTGTGCCTTATTCTCACTTCAGGACTCCGACCAATGCAGAAAAAGTAGCTCCCGCCGAGTAAATAAAGCAAATTACTCTAAAGGAAAGAGTCGCCATGGAGGCAGCACTTCAGCTCAGAGCTGCAGCACTTCAGCTCAGAGCTGCAGCACTTCAGCTCAGAGCTGCAGCACAGGGGACAGTGTGGAACCAAGCTCTCTGACCACATCCTACTCTGGGCCCAAGGCAAGACTCTCCTGAACCACCTTCTGAGTCTGACTCATCTCTGCTCCTGTCAAACATTCTCTCTGTGCAGGACTTGGCCGAATTTCTGGAGCAAATTGGTTTTTCCAAATATCTCCCATTACTCGAGGAACAGGACATTGACTTGAGAATATTTCTCACTCTTACTGAGAATGATCTAAAAGAAATTGGTATAACGTAAGACATTTTAAAATGTAAAACACTTTTTTTCTAAGTTTCCCTAAAGTAATTTAAACTTTTTTTTTGAATTGCAGATTATTTGGTCCCAAAAGAAAGATGACCTCAGCAATTGCCCGATGGCACAGTAACGCGCACCCCCCCAGTGACTCTCTAGAACAAGCGTATGCGGACCAGCTGGAGGCAGAGATGCAGGAAATGGCCATTCAGTTACACAAAGTAAACAGCTGCACTTTGATATTTACTGCATGTTGATGATTGAAGTGAACCCCAGACTGTGTTTCAGCGTTGTGAGGAGGTGGAGGGTCTACAGAGCCAAGTGTCTCAGGAGAAAGAGCTCCGCACAGTGATGGAGGGATGCCTGATGGAGGATAAGATGGCATGGAGGAGGGTTCATGCTGAGCTGGTGGAGAACCACAGACTGACCCAGGACATCAGTGCCACTCTGACAAAGACCAGGACCTGTCGCTCTGAGCTGCTGTCGTCTTTAGCTTCTGGGGACAACGAGACCAAAGATGAACGTAAGGACACTCCATCTGGGTCAACAATTCATACTTTTGTTGATTGCGTAAATATTTGTTTTAACAGTTGGGACGTCGTCTGTAGAACTGTTGAAAAGGCTCGAATCCTATGAAGAGGCTTTGTGTACGTACAGAATGTTGAGTTTGTTAAAGTGTCAGAACTGAAGTGTTGGATTTCACTGCAGCTGGAAACCTGCAGACTCTGCTCCAGAGCCTGCGGCGACTCAGTGCTCCTGAGAAAGTATCCGACAGTTGGGAAAGGCCTTGATGTTTTAAGGCACGTGATTCAGTCTTTACAGGAACTGATGAACAAGTATTTAATCACTGTCTCTTATGTTTGAAGGCGTCTCGTGTTTAGTTCTGACGAAGGGTGAAGTGTACCACCCGAAGAAGCATCTCAACTTGGGCAGGCCGTGGTGCCGGTCCGAGCCAGAAACTGGTCGGGTCTTGGCAGTTCCAGGCCGAGCCAGGTCAATATAGGCCGATCCAGGTCAGGTCTGAAGACGGGGCTCTCCCTGACGACGAGGCAACTGCTCCAGGAGAATGAGAAGCAAACAGCAGGGGACATGAAATAACCCCAGGTCTGTGGTGGAGGCTGTTCTGAGTTTTGTGAAGTTGGATGTGAATCAGTTACTGCAGAAGCAAACTCCAATCAAACAAATATACAGCCTAACATTTTATTTAGTAAATTAATTATATTCCCATTATATATGAATTAGTCTTCAGAAATCTTATACCAAATAAATATTAGTAAAGTTATTATTTTGTACTGTTTTAACATTTGACTTATGAACATTAACATAAACATTTCCATTTCTTCAAATGGGTCACACGTATAAGTTGTTTAAGGTGCATTCCTCTTGTTTGTGCCGTGGTCTGAAACCTTGCATTAGACGTTATTGCTTTGGTTGAAATCTGAACGGTAAACCCCGAAAGACTCGCCTTTCCGTCATGATCCAATGTTAAAGGAAAGTTCAAACTATAAATATCCAGGAAAGCAAAAAGGAGGAAGCAACTTTAATTGAGGAAACTTCTGAAAGTCCAGGAACAGTCCACAGTTTACAGATGTCCTTAAAGAAGGCTGATGTGAGGGGCCTCAGGGGCCAGGTGTACTACTCACAGGTGTCCTCACACAGGTGTACTCACACAGGTGTCCACAGGTGTCAGGTGTCCTCACACAAGTGTCCAGACACAGGTGTCCTCACACAGGTGTCCTCACACAGGTGTCCTCACACAGGTGTACTCACACAGGTGTCCACAGGTGTCAGGTGTACTCGCACAAGTGTCCAGACACAGGTGTCCTCACACAGGTGTCCTCACACAGGTGTACTCACACAGGTGTCCACAGGTGTCAGGTGTACTCGCACAGGTGTCCGCAGCCCGCTGGACAGTGGGCACTGCCCTTCAACCAGTTCATAATGTGTTCCAGATGTCCTCCGTGACTACAGCCCTGACACCAGACGAACAGTCCCTTCACCACATGGTGGCACACGGCACACACACTGGCACACTGATGGCATCTGTAACACAGTCATCATTTAGTTTAGGTTTAACTTTGACATATTGTTAAGGTTAATAACAGTTTACCGGTCACAGATCCAGCCTCTGTTGTTCATGGGCCGTTTGCAGTTGCTGCAGTTGATGTGCAGAGTGGTGGAGGTCTGGTTCAGGCTGGTGATGGCGCTGCATGTACTTAACTTAATGACCTCATTGGACACATTCCACAGCTCGAACCGCTGCAGCAGATCTATGTAGGACATGTACCAGTGCTCCTGAACACAGGGACATCTCAGTACAACAGGTTTTACACAGAGACATGTCGTAGAGAGAAACTCACCTGTGTCAGTTCATCGATCTCTTTTCTGATTCTTTCTCCCAAAACAATGAGCACGGACACAGCCATCTGCACATCGCCCTGCTCTGCGTAGAACGTCAGCATCTCTGTCACGATGGGGCAGAAGAAGCTGGCGGTGAGCTGGGGGCTGTAGAGGGGCTGGCAGATGGAGATAAGGGAGAAGGACTCGATGGGGGTCAGACAGGTGACTTCTGCCTCGTTGCCGCTGACATGAGGAGAGTCGGCCCTGTCCTGCTGCAGGTGCTCGGGAGCAGAGGGGTGGTCCACGATCACGTGACGCAGCTGGAAGCCTTCAGAGGGAAGCGTGTACTCCTCCTGCTCTACTAAGATACAACATGTGAAACAACCGGCGCTGAAGTGGGCTCTGACTAATACAGCAGCAGTGTTTTGGAACCTGTTGTGTTGTCGTGCTCCATGGAGTAAAGGTCGTCATCGTCTAACTCCGCGTCACCAAACATGTACTCGGCTTGACCCTCGCTGCCTTCGGTCTCCTCGTTCTCTGTTGGGCAATAACAGCAGTCCACACTGAGCCATACTGTACTAGAATGCGATAACTATTCATTTTTAGGTTTCTCTTTTTAGCACTCACCTTCGTTAACATTAGTGATGTGGGAATTGGTGGGATCCAAGTGGATATTGTCCAGTCTGTTTTCACATTTGCTTCGCTCCAGTGCCCTCTCTGCAGCCAGATCCTTCATACTGAAACTATAACAGACATGTGACGCGTCTGTGAGTGTCTAAAAACGCTACATAAAACCGATGCTTTATTATTATTATTATTATTAATATTATATAAAAATAATAGTATAAAAATTCAGAATTGCACTGGTTATTACTATTGTTTATTCTGGTCATATTTTTGTTGCTAAAGCACAATACCAACCATGCAGTGTATACTCCACAAGTGACTTATCCTTGAACCAAGTGCAATTATAGCTCCAGTATTATTATCTTATTGTATTATCTATGACTATAAATAACAGGTCCTGTTTGATGTGTGCATAACCTGAGTGCTCTTATTTTCTCCTTTTCTGCTGTAATGTGGAACTATGACTGACATTCCCCACTGAGGCAAGAATAAATCCTTCTCTGGTTTGTCCTTGTCCAAAAGCCTCACCTGCTGCAGCCTGACATCGTCAGGTTTGCAGGGTCTGAGAACATGATTCGCAACATTGTCCAAGTGGTGGAAACCTTAAAGAGAAAACATGGAATGAGGAACGGAGTCAAAGAACAGAGGTCAAGAAAAACGGACTGACTTGAGGCCTTTTGAGATCTTGAGCCACTTTTGCGTTATGATCACACAGGTCAGCGAATGGTTTCCCGCTGAGGAGGTATAACTGAGCCGTCTTCACAAACCAGTCCATGCGGTTGCTTTCCAGGTCGGTCTCGAAGACGCTGAGGGCGCTGGACACGTGTGCGAACTGCTCCGTCAGGTCCGGCTTTTTGAAGAAGAAAATGGGGTTGCGGCGGTCGCCTCCACCGTACGGCTTCCTGCTGGAGTCGCCGCTGATCAGACTTTCCTTCGCGGCGAACGCCAAGTCGCCAAAGAGGCCGAAGGAGAGGCCCTCGGGGTTGGCCCTGTCCACAGGGCGAGTGGCGTCTTTGAACATGTGCTGGTAGAGCGTGCTGTCCTTGGAGCCCGACAGCAGGATGTCTGGCTCCCGCAGGTGGCGCCACACGATGCCAGTGGTGACGTCTTTGTGCTCTTCAAACGTGGCGAACGGAATGAACGGTCGGCGGATGTCCCACACGTAGATGTTGTGGTCCACCATCATGGAGCAGGTTGCCAGGTGGAACTTCTTCTCTGGGCGCCATTTGACACGTGCCACAGAAGCTATCGTCTGGACGCAGTAAATCTCTTTGGCTCTGTTCGTGGTCATGTCCCACACTTTCACCATCTTGTCTCTCCCTCCAGTCGCAAGCCAACCTCTGAAACAGAAATTAATGAATGATAATAATAATGCATTTGTTTTATACAGCGCTGCTCTGGACACTCAAAGACGCTTCACATTATTCTTTCACTCCATACACAGTAGTGATCAACTACTACTGTAGCCACAGCTGCCCTGCCGCAAACTGACAGAAGTGAGTCAACAGGCCTGTGCCATCAGCCCCTCCCAACACCACCAACCATTTACACACACACACCAGACTCATTCTAATGTGGGTGAAGTGTCTTGCTAAAGGACACAATCACAGCTGCCCGACTGTGGAACCTGGTGTTCCCAGAGGTCTCTCATCTCCCATCCAAGGGCCTGCTTAGCTCTGGCATTGTGCGCCACAGATTGCATCTATGTTTCTCAAACCTTGGTACAGGTTCCTTCTAAATATACTCAAGATTCCCCAGTTCAATTATTTATTTATTTTCACAGTTTAGTTTTTTTCGCTAAGCTTGGTTATATGAGGTGATCCTCAGGCTGACAGATGGTTGGTGGTATGTGCTGCTGGAGGTGGACAGTTTGAGAGCCATAGTTTAATTGAAGGCTCAGGAGTCTGTTATGTACCTGTCGTCCGGATGCCAGTCGCAGCAGAACACTGGACCAGTGTGAGCCGTGAACATCCTTTCATATCGGTCCGGTCGTCTGATGTCCCAGAGTTGGACGTTACCGTTTTCAAAGGAAGCAGCAAAAGTGAAGTAGTCTTTCATACTGAACTGGACGTCTCTCACGCTCTCTGACTGTCCTAAAAACAGATGTAATAATCGTCACCACAAGCTCCATTAACAACATGTCTTTAAATGTTACATTTTACCAGAGAAGGTGCTCACAGACTCCTTCTTCCGGAGATCAAAGCACTTCATGAATCCGTCCTGAGATCCGCTCAGTAACATGTACACCTCTGTTGGATGGAAGCAGACTTTGTTGACAGTGCGTTTGTGCTCCGTGAAGAGTTGGTCCTGCTTGTTGCGCGATGGTTTGCTGAGATTCCATGTGACCACTGCACCGTTGGTGGCAGCAGTCGCCAGCAGATTCTCCTCCATCTGGTGCCACATGACGTCAGCACAGCTGAAGTTTAAGGAGGGTTTTCGTCCAACTCTGAGATTGAGTTTCTCCACAAACTGCTCCTCCTCAAGGCTGTAGATCTTAAAGATGTTCCGGCCGGCCACCACCACCTGCGTGGCGTCCCGGCACACACTGATGGCATTAGCAGGGGCATCCAGGTGGCAGAACATAGTGACGCCATTGATGCCACTGCTGCTGCTGTTGCTGCTGAGAGCTGTGGTGACCCGCGACATCTTCTCCATTGTGCTTTCAAAGAGAAAAATAATACATTTTTCAAACGTGGAAAAATACCAGATAATATCAACAAAAAGAGAAGTACATTATTATACTATTTTATTATATTATTTTACAACGAAAATCAATCATTACGAAACTTGGCCAGTAGGTGGCAGTCAAAGAGTAGAGAACCCAATACCAAACAGAAGCTTCCCAAAACCCGGGGTCATTTTAAACTGAGGAATATTCATGAGATTTAGACCAAAACGCAAACATACAATTTACAAGCTGTAATAGACAGTGTAATGACTACAATCAAACACGTTCATACCCATGCGGTATCCATACACAATTAAACAATCCCCCAAGCTACAGTTTGTCACAAGACCTGCACTCGTGGAGCGCAAACCTCCACCAAGAGGCGCAGTTCCATTCCTGGCGATGATCTGGATCACCTCCTGAATCTAAATAATTATTTCTGGTCCCATTTCCGAGATTTACGTATCAATGTATGTTGCAGCTGCACAGTCTGAGATGCACCCATAACTTTGAGTTTGCAGAACTAACCCCGATGAAAACGTACCTTCTCTCAGTCAGACTGCAGGGGCCTCAGGTCATGTGGCTCCGGAGCAGACTCTCACACTCCGCAGTCATCTCACAAACACTGCATTGGCCTCATCTGTTTAACACTAACTTTGTTTCTGTTACACACGGACAATACTGAACTCAGAACTCAACATAACGTCACGTGATCATGTGTCATTATACGGTAACACATAAATAACATTCAGACATGGTTCCTAACGCTGTCATCTGTGTGTGAGTCAGAAGTGTCTGATCTGAAACTGTTGTTATGGACAGTCTCAGCCACAGCACATGTTTACTCTAACATTAGCTGAAAGTTTAAATAAAAAATAAATATTACCTCAAAACGATATATTCCTGTTACATCTCTAACTAAAGGCTACATTAAAAAGGAATAAATCGAACCCATAGAAGTGTGTACAATAATAGTAAACACCCCGGAGCTAACGGAGCTAACAGCTAACCTTCAACGTCTCTACCGGAAGTTCACGCAGCAAATGTCGCGAGAGTTTCCGCTCTCCCGCCTTTCATTCAGAAGTCACGTTAATGTGGCTAAGAAATAAAGTCATTTTCGTCCGAGTTTGTTGCTGAGGTCTATGGTGTGATAGAACACAGAGGAGAGTATTCAGCTGTGAGTCTGTGTTCGTGAAGCTGTTTGTAGCTGACATGTCTGCTCTGTTTACATGCGAGGAGCCTGCCACATGGAGACAGGTCCATGACAAATACTGGGATGTGGTGGAGTCCAGGATGAAGGGCAAGACTCCCCCAAAACTGATGACCCTCGACAAATGGTGATTTATTCAACTGAAACCTATGAAATGTATTGGGATTGTCCTAGCATCATTTGAGCAAACTTTTAAAGTGATGTCCCCTCTTCTCTGTCAGGTTCCAGGAGGAGCTGCCTGCTTCCATTTCACATCGATCTGATAAACATGTCTCTCACATGGAGCTGGTTAAACTAATGGAGTGGAAACTCACTGTAAGTTTATTCAACTACACTTTAGAGTTTCCTTGGTTCATGTTCTCCATCTGATCCCAGAGAGGCAAGTTTAGGCCCCGGCTGCAGCAACTGGTGGAATCCAACAGTGCAGACAGTGTGGAGAAGTGTTCGAGGAAGGCCTTCAGTCTCCTGCCAGATGTTCATGCAGCAATCACCGAGCTCAGCGCCCTGAAAGGTGTGGGCCCTGCCACTGCAGCAGGTCAGCATCCACGCCCTAGACTAGAGGTTTAGAAGAACCCATTGGAGCCTATTATCTTAGTGTGACTGTTGTTGCAGCCGTGTTGGCAGCAGGAGCCCCAGAGCAAGCGGCCTTCATGTCTGATGAGGCCATGGAGAGTGTCCCAGGATTAATGCCAATCAAATACACAGCCAAGCACTACATTCTCTATTTAACGAAGATGCTTGAACAAACTGCAAAACTAAACCAATGTAAGCAAAGACCTCCACACTGTCTGTTATCTCTGGTGAATTCATGTGACTTTCCTGGTCCTCAGGGGACCGTGTGCCGGACTGGACTCCTCACAGACTGGAGCGGTGTCTCTGGGCCTTCAGCGTCGCCACCAAACTGCAGCTCCCACTTCTGCAGGACATCTCCATAAGCAACAAAAGGAACTCTGAGAGTGATGACAAACCTCCAAAGAAAAAGAAAACCAGCTGAAACAATACAATATTTACTTGATATAATATTCAACACAAGTCACATAAAAACAGCTCGATGTTGCCACAGTATTCTTTATTCATATTGTTTTAAAGGTAAAACAAAGTACAACGAACAGTACAAAATAAAACAATATATATATATATGTACATATTTACAATATAAAAGGGTTCTTTTCAGAACTTTTAAAAAGTACATTAGTGAATAATTAATGAGGACTTTGAGATATATATATATTATACATACACATCCATGTAAATTTAGCTTTTCAGTTTCATAATCAGGAGAAAAATAGCTTCATCTGCCTTTTCTTTGTAAACGCTGTTGGCACAACCTCAGGTCTGGTGTGAGGCTGGACCTGGAACTTGGCACCGGTTTATTTGATAAAAGAGCAGCTCATGAGGATGACCGCAGCAGCACAGAGATCCCATCTGTAACTAATCTTAACAGGAAATATTACCCATTTTCATTTGTACTGAAATAAACTCACCAAGGTTTCATGAATCATTTGACAGTCACTGAAGTAAAGCTGTATTAAATCATAGTCTGCTCTGTCTGACCTGCTTCAGTGGGGCCACTTTCTCTAACCTCAGAAGTGACCTTGAGGGAAGCGCCTGGTCTTAAAATAAACATAAGATATCTTGCGTCGTGACTTTAATTTGTTATTTTTTCCGGTTGGTTTTCTATCGTGCATGCAGCAAACGGCAAAGCGGCCTCCCACACTGTCCAAGGCATTGGGCGTAACAGTACTATGAATTAGCATTGGGAGGTATCGGATCAGCAGGACGTCGACGGCAGTTAGGAGTATGGCACATATCAGAGCATCCAGTAAAAAAGACGGGTAATGAGAATCACAACAGACCCACAGGCGTTTGCTCTTCAAAAAGAAAACGAGACGGCAATTAACTGAGAATTATGCAGAGAGTCAGCCGTGGATCAAAGTTTACAATTTAAGCTTTTAGTGATGCACACCTGACATCTGCAGAGTCAGTTCTGCTACAAAACCGTCCTCTTTAATCTTGTTTCCTCATTTAAAGGTACACTGTGTAATTTTTACTCCCATCTAGCATTGAGTTCATACAGGGTAATCTACGGTACTACGGTGGCTTCGCAGGGCAATATTTGGTCTTTGACAGTGGTCCTCATCTCCCGCTCAAACTCCTTTTTGTCCCTTACCAACCACTGTATTTTAAGATGTCGCATTGACGTGTAGAGTCCTCCAGCTCTCATGGACATTTATAATTCAAATTTTAAGACAACAATTCAAAAACATGGTGGAGGTAAATATTCTTAAAAAGGTCACATTTGTTTTTGGTTAACATGTTTTTTCATTTGGAGCAACTGTAAAAAATACACAGAGTACCTTAAAGTTTGATGGGGTCTACTGCCTGCTTGTTGCTATGGAGATGTTGTAGCTTTGCTTGGAATGTCTCTCAGTATGTACATTAAAGCTGGGGTCCCTCACTTTTTTTTGTCGTCACATACGTTTTCCCTTTGTCCCAACAGAACAAGTCTTTCAAAATTGAACAAATCAGACCATGTCCTTCTGTCTTCATCATAATAGAAAACATGTTAGATTTTGCATACTTGTTTAGAGCCAGGATTATATGACGTACTGTAGTTCAATATTGTGATTTTAAAGTTAGGTAGTCCAGCTTTTATTTTTTGCGGCTCAAAAAAATGTAAAATTCATAATAGTGGGTCAGCCATAGCTCGCCTCTCTGTAGACATGACTATTACTAATATGGTAAAGATTATTGGCATACTGTGGATCATTCCAGTCAAAAAGACATCTGCATGGACCCAAACAAAGAGCAGATCCTCCACATGTGAACCTGTGTGGTGCACTTTTCATATGTGTATTTCCTCTTTGTCCTTGTGTGTGATAACGGCAAAACTTTGCACAAAGACACAGCCGTGTAGCCCTTTACCTCTGAAACTAACTTTTCATCTCATCATTCTGAAATAGTTTAATATACACGCAGTTTTCTATGTCTGAAAACGGCTTATTCTGGTCTTTCACACTGAGCTCCTATTCACAACTCTTCTCTGGACACTTTAATGTCGTTACTGTATTTACGGCCCATTGTCAGAATTGGCAAATCCACAACTCTCTGCACCAAGAGCCGGAGCACAGTCTAATTAAGCATTGATTCATTTTCTGTAAAAAATATGATACACTGAAAACATAATTGCTGTCTCCTCCTTTGTAAAGTTCATAGAGTATTATCAGAGTACAGAGCTGAGGACTTGGCACTTGGCAAAAATAGCTGCATGTTACATTAACGCTAAATGATTAAGCTGTAAAAAAACAAAACAAATTAGGTTCGCTACATGATCATATCTTGCACAGTTTGTTGTTTGAAAACCAAAACGATGAGTCGCCAGCTACTCAAACTTAAAATCCTTGTGTTTCGTTCTTTCTATGGCTTATCCTGTTAATCAGTAAACAAACCAAATGGCCTCAGACTATTTTCAGAATGACAATCATGGCATTATATTTGCACCATTTGAAACAGAGATTTTCCAATGAAGGAGGAAAATACAAATGATAAATATACTCTTAGGTTATTAACATACAATATACACATCCACATCAAACCGAAGGAACAAATTAAACAGGTTTTTTTCTCGTATAGATACATTCCTTTACAAAAGTATACAGTTCCTAAGTATGAGGTAAAGACTGGGTCCAACCGAGACCCTAATGCTTTGTCGAAGGTCAGGTCGATGACAGAACCACAGTCCAGTCCATCACAAGCACAAGAGGTTTTCTCCTGTGTTTCTCTGTGACGACTCCATCCTTTTGTCCCGTTCAACATTAAGGACATTACTTCCTTCACAGAGCGTGATGTGGCAATTTTTTTACTTTCCGTCCACAAAAGACGTCCCCGTCTCGTCCCCAGTGTGTGAAATGCGCAGTAGCACAGTGTCAGTTCAATGCAAAAATAACATGAGAAAATGTCCTCCACTACAAACATTAGTAAGATAGAGCTGGATTTCTTCCCCTCGTGGAGTTTGAGGTGAACGTTGAAAACAGCAGGTAACATTTTGCACTTTGCTACTGATCACTGCTACTTCAATATTTGTCTCATTTTCCCCAAATATGATAAAGCTCATTTTTACAGAATAAGTTCAATTTCCTTCAACTGCAGTTTTGCCTATGATCTAAACCATAGACTGTAAATATGTCTAAACATGCACAGACTATGAGATGTATGGAGCACAGTACTGGAACGCTCTCTTAAAGCTGGTGACGTGAAAGTATAAAAACACACTCAAAAGGTATTTGAGGACGGCGACCCTTTTCTCTTGCTACTGAATGATACTCGCTCTTTAATAAAAGAGAAATATTTCTTTGTTTTGCAAAGTACTAAAGGATTCTTGTCGAACTTGCTGGAAATGACAAATGCTAATTATAATTTAGGGCTGTAATGAACCAATTTTGTGATATTTTGCGGGAGATTTTCTCTCAGTTTGAACCAAATCAAAGTTAAAGTGATCACAGCTGGATGTATATCTGAATATAACACTTACATTTCCACCTCATTCTTACGGATCTCAGGTATAAAATCTGTTCCCGTGTTTCTATCTGTAACTATTTCTATAATCCTTTACTTTACAATATTTTAGATATTAGCTGAACTTGTGACAGCCCTAAATAGATGTATACATGTATTTTCTCAGATTCTGAAATGTGATGTATTCTCTAAGGCGACAAGGATACATTTTGTTAATTTAAAATCATCCAATATAGAAACTCAACGGCTAAATCCTGATCATACGGGCAACATTTTTCTGTTTTTTTTTCTGCCCATATTACACTTACGCACTCCAGGTGTCGCCAACACATAGAGGTCATCCCAAAGCCTCAGTAGTCCGTGCGGGGGCCTTCATCAGGGGGGCGGGGGGATCTGGACGCCCAGCAGCTCGTAGGCGAAGATGTTCCAGAAGATGGCGAAGAGCAGGAAGGTGATGAAGGAGAAGATGATGACCCACCAGGAGCACTGCTTCTGGAGGCTCTCCTCGTAGCTGCGCAGGATCAGGAGGCCCATGCTGATGCCCACCACGGCCCCCGACAGGTGCGCCATGAAGCTGGGCTGCGGGCCGGACGAGGGCAGCGGCGGCGAGAAGCGCAGCCACACGGCACGGCCCACCTCCGAGCTCACTGCGGAGGACACGCTCTTTAAACACAGACATTTTGACACAATGCAATATTCAGACCAAGGGGCAAGTATTTTGGGACTCGTTTCTATGTGTCATGTATCATTTAATTTAATTTGGAGCAACATATCTGAGCGTAAGCTACTTCAGAAGAGAGAAATCTCAAGAAATGTAATGTTATTTTTGTTTTTGTGTTAATTGTATTAGCAGATCATTAGTATCGGCGGCTATAGTTTCGTTTTAACCTTTTAAAATATGGTACGCACTTTTTAATGTATTAAATATGGACAATACATGTAGTTATCCTTAGATTTAAATTATTTCTTGGATTGAAGCAAAGCTGGGCTAAAAGGCTAACATGCTAACAGGTAAAACATTCCATCGTAGCACTCATGAAGTTGCAAACATTCATATTGATTCGCATTCATTTAAAAAGGGGAGACAAGTTTGAAGTTAGCGGCTGTGGGGCGGCTGCGGCTGTAAAGTGCCAAACTGTTGTTGTGTCCTTAGGCAAGACACTTCACCCACATTAGAATGAGTCTGGTGTGTGTGTGAATGACTGGAGGAGGGGCCAATGGCACACACTGGTTGCCTCGCTTCTGTCAGTGTGTCCCAGGGCAGCTGTGGCTACAGAAGTTTATCACCACAGTGTATGGAGTGAATGATGGTGTGAGCGTCCAAAAAGTGTTCTATTTAATACATGAATACTTTGTGTTTTTTTTTTGTAGCTACTGCTCTTTTTGAGTCTTTGAATCACATCTCACAGGTGCTTGTGTATAAAGACGTTAATGATTCATCGATTGCTCAAATTGTTGTTTATTATTGAAAATACTCAATTAGTTGTGATTAATCGTTACAGCCCAATACTCAACGACTAAAAAAAACACTGACATATTTTTTTTACAATCCGAGTGAGATCCTGAAACATCTGTAACAGTTGAACACGAACCATAGAACATGGAATTGTACATTTTGTCAGCGTTGGAGGCGAACACCCGGTCCCAGCAGTGTCTGTCTCTGAGCCGTGGTGGTGGTGGTGCACTCTTGAATTTGTGGCGATAGTTTGGGAAAAGAACATGGTGTCCATGAATAAATTATTTACTGGAGTCGGTGCTGAGGATATTGTGTGGCCTGGAGTCTCACCTTTGCAGATAAGTCTCACTACCGAGAGTTTCTTTCTCTCTTTTGTTCAGAGCTGCAGCAGTTTTAAGCAGCAGCTCCAGATGGATGTCTATAGTTTGTGGGTATATAGCTGCGTACTTAAAGCTGCACCGTGTACGTCGGGGGTGATATAAACAATTTGCTGATGTCAGGACAACCTTTCCACAAAGCTTTGCAGTTTCTCCGATATGACTCCGACATATCAGTGCAGACAGAACACGTCTCAGAGAGGACCAGGGATGGTCACGATAAACTCATCCATCTTAGAGGCCAAGTTACAGGTCTGATTTATGGAGCGGCAAGCCGTCATACAGAGGGAATACAACTACTGGGGGGGCAATCAGAGTTGCCACCCAAGTCTCTTAGCACCAGCCCCTCACTGATCTTCCAGCAGGTGGTGAGTCCACAGAATGATGGCTTCTCCGTGACCAAAGACATGGCTTTGGTCTTTTGGCGGGGGCTTCAGGCAATGTGGGGTTAAGTGTCTTGCCCAACAACAGTAGACATCAGTGGGAGCAGATGACATGGGTCGTGGTGGGCTCTGACCCACGACCATTAGGTCCCAAGACCAGTGCTCAACCAACGGAGCTACTGTCGCCCCCATTTATAACATAAATAGTTTAATATTCACCACGGAGCAGTGGAGAAGTGCATGTGTTCAGTGTAGTGTATGAATATAAACAAACACAGTAACGATCAAGATGTCTTTTTCATGAGGCCCTCTGTTATTTCACCATGAGCAAATTTACAGTACTTTGTCTATCACTCTAAAGCTGTGTAAAGGGTGTGTGCTCTCTCTCCGTGTGTGCTCCTCGAGTCCTCTTTTGTTAAAACAAAAAAAGAAGCTAGCTTTTATAAACATGGGGCATTAAAACCACTGGCGGCACCTGTGACGTACCCCTGTTTGGGAAACACTGCTCCAAAAATATGTGTTATTTTGTATTTTATTAGTGGCAAATTAAGTAAGTAAGTAATGTTTATCTATATAGCGCATTTTACAGACCAAGGTCACCCCGAAAGCTGTGGACTTATCTTCATTCGACCGAATACAACTACAGTAGACCATCCTCCTGCTGAACAATCTCTGATCTGACATGGTAAGACTTATATATATACAGTATGTGTCAAATGTGTGTAGAGGCAGTACTGTCATTCCTCTCACTCGTTCCTTATGTCTGAGCGTAAACCAGTGTGAGCTCTGCCCCTGCACGCACTCTCTGACACCAACACTTATTTTTGTGTTTGTCAGACGCAGAGTGTTTCACATTCCAACAGAGACGGCTCCAGTCGCAGTTTGCAGGCGGCAGTCTCAGGACAGATGGAAGGACATATTGCTCACAAATGAAAGTCTGAGAATTGGCTTTTCCACAGAGAGATGGATATTTCGAAAACAAAGCTACATGTTCAACACTATGTAGGTACACAGCCTTTGTAAAAATATGGATCTGGCTCAAAGTCGGCCTCCTGAGTGGGTTAATCTGATAAAAAATGAATATCAAATGCATCTGAATTCAAGCTTGTATAAATTAATCTATGCATTTCCTTGTATATGATGTCTGTGTGTATATATCATGTATGTCAGTGTGTAAGGTTTATGATTTTAGTTAGACTTGAACTTACTGCAGACCAGCGCCAGGATCATGCGGAGCAGCTTGTATGGACAGCGCATCCCGGCCCAGTTCTGCAACACAGCAGAAATGTCCCATCAGCAAAAAACATCAGGAGTCACACACTTTAGTCACACAAGGATTCAGAGCAGGAAGAGGACAGCGGGAGCGCAGTGAGTATAGAACACATGTTAAGATTCCAGCAAGAATCTAAGATCGCTTTTCCAAGGGTCTCCTGGAGGCATTCACAATACAACCCCGGTAACATTTATACAAAACATGTAGTGATATAGTTATATAAAACATGGAATGCATTAGGAACAAGGATTTTCCAGGTCTTATAGAAGATCTTCCAATGGCACAAGGGTTGAAAAGACATGTTCCTTTTTTGTCCTGAGTCTGCTGGAGTTCAGGTGAAAACTGGAAAAATTAGAATATCGTTCCTGTAGATCCAAAAGCCTCGTTCTTGGATCTACAGCCTCAGTCCTGGATCTACAGTCTCAGTCCTGGATCTACAGCTTGAGTCCTGGATCTACAGCCTCAGTCCTGGATCTACAGCCTCGTTCCTGGATCTACAGCCTCAGTCCTGGATCTACAACCTCAGTCCTGGATCTACAGCCTCAGTCCTGGATCTACAGCCTCAGTCCTGGATCTAAAGCCTCAGACCTGGATCTACAGCGTCAGTCCTGGAACTACAGCCAGGACCTGGATCTACAGCCTCAGCCCTGGATCTACAGCCTCAGTCCTGGATCTACAGCCTCAGTCCTGTGTCTACAGCCTCAGTCCTGGGTCTACAGCCTCAGTCCTGGATCTACAGCCTTAGTCCTTGATCTACAGCCTCAGTCCTGGATCTACAGCCTCAGTCCTGGATCTACAGCCTCAGTCCTGGATCTACAGCCTCAGTCCTGGATCTACAGCCTTAGTCCTGGATCTACAGCCTCAGTCCTGGATCTACAGCCTCAGTCCTGGATCTGCAGCCTTAGTCCTGGATCTACAGCCTGTCTGTTCTTGGGAGCTGATCCTTCTCCCATTATGGATCTCTTCGTGATTTCTCACATTCTTTTTCCAATGTTCCTGTTGTTGTTGTTGTTGTTCCTTGCTGATTCAGGAGGGTCTAAGGACAGTGAGGATCTGGGACATTTATGGACATTTATTAATATTTCTGGACAGAAATGCAAGTACTTTGAGACAATGTTGTTGCGGTTGTGATTTAGGGCTATACACAAATACATTGATCAGAATTTAATCGAAGTTCCAACCACCCACAATTTTCTTCCCCTTTATTAATTTCGGGGTGGCAATGGTGGCAATCAGAGCTGCACCCAGTAAACAGAGCCCCAGCCTCTGAATCAAAGTTAGATTACAGAAATAAATTGACTTTTGAACAACCTGTATCCATCGGTAACCCTAAACCATCTGACTGTCGTTGTACCATATGACCCTGACCGAGAACACAGTTTAATATTAACTTTTGGACCAGTTTCTGCAAAAGAAAACAACTGTATATATCTTCTTAATGAGATTCTTTGCATATACAGCCCGTCCCTTCGCTCTGATCTACCTTTGCTGCATCGTCGTGGAACGGAAACCAAAAGCAGCCTGAAAACTTTCACGCTTTTGAAAAACACACAGCTCATTACGAGTAATTGCACAAATCATATCCACCCTCGTGCCTCCAGCTGCGAGCATATTCCCCACTGATCCCTGCGCTGCCAGGCAATGATTGATGAAATAAAGTTTATGTAAGTCTGTCTGCTCCAAATGAGGAATGTCGGAGCTCTGCTGAGGTAAGCGGCACGAGAGCGCGAGGCTGCTGGTGATGCTCTTCCTGATGCGAGGCAATTTGCGTTGACATGGCTCAGTGGGAGAGGAGAGAGCTGCTGTATTCATCTCAGAGACGTCCACTCTGTTTTGGCAGCTCCAGTTCTTATTATCAAGCTGCTTCAACAAGGTTTGGGCTGCAGCGTCAAAAGAGAGTCATGTTATCACTGCAAGAAAAGTGATGAAAAACAAGACAAAATTTGCTCAACTTTACCAAAATGTATCTTAATTGGAAAACATTGTGACTGCCTTGAAACAAGATGTGTCAATAGGACAAAGCAAAATGATCTTGTTGTAAAAAACACAAGAAATGTCTCCCTTGGAATGAGAAAATAAAGCAACAGTTCTTGTCCCATTGGTAAATCTTGTCATAAGACAGTTGTTATGCTTTGATTAAGATAAAAACTACTAGCTCAGTTTGTAGAGCATTGGCATTCGGACCTGAAGGTCATGGGTTCGATCCCACCACAAGACCTACTTCATTACTCCCACTAATGTGTGCTGTCGTTGTGTCCTTGGGCAAGACACTTCACCCCACTTTGCCTGAAGCCCCCACTGTAAGATCAAGGCAGCTCAGACTAGAGCAGGCGTCCTCCTGTGGACTCACCACCTGCAGGAGGATCAGTGAGGGGCTGGTGCTCTGTGTACTGGGTGCAGCTCTGATGGCCACCCCCCGACCCAGAAATGGACTAAGGGGAAGAAAGTGGATGGATGTAGATATGCGATCTTTTTGACAGTCCCAACGCAGTATTTTTTGATATGACAGAAGCCAAACTTATCAGCATGCGAAAACTAGTGATAGAAGCAAACCGTTTTGAGAGCAAGGAACTAGTTCAGTGGTTTGTAAGTTAGGTACCGCAGTTTTAATTTGAAAACAACTGGGAGAGGAGAGATCATTATCAAGCAAGAAGGTTCGGGCTGCAGCGTCAAAAGTGCAAATGCAGAACAAAAAACACAGTGATGTTTAGAGAGATATGCGATCGTTCTGACAGTCCCACGCAGTATTTTCTTCAAACGTTAAAAGCCTTTGATAAATCCTGACATGGAAATGTAAAGTGACTGAAGACGCAGATGCTTTCTTTAAAAACATGAAAAGTTATCAAAGCAGGATGTGCCTTGAAAGGATTTCCCTGGCAGACATCCCATAACACTTGTGTCTGCCGCTGCCGTGTGGTAGTAGCAGAGACAGAGACCCGAGAGCGCCCCCTGTCTGCCTACACAGATACAGAGTTAAAATGATTCGTCACATCTAACACCGCTGTGGGGAATGTGCAGCCTGTTCATATGACACACACATTCTGCACCTGAGGGAGAAGTCGTCCCCGATACACGGAATAACAACCATCACTAATTTACATACAGACTATACCGAGCTGTAAAATAACCTCGATCCTGGAAACAGTCAAATCTGTCTCTTCCGTCGCTCTGCTCTGAAACTCCGAAGTGTCTCTCACTGAAACTAAAAATCAGCTGAAGTGATTGTGACAAAGTGGAGACGTCGTGTGAGCAAACAGAGCCGGCTCCTCAGCGCTGAGAGCATAAAGTAGTATTTGAATAATACATTACACATGTACACTGCAGCTCACCGGGCTTAATTTGAACACAGCCGGGAAAACTCATGAGAAACAGAAATATTAGTAATAAACAAACAAAAAGGCTGGTTTAAAGCGGGGGTACCTAAACTTTATTTTTTGTTTGTAAATGCTTGATATATGACCATAGCCCTGTTTCCACCGGCCCGACTTGACCAGAGTTACCAGGGAACCGGATACTGGTTTGTTGTGGTCAGGTTGCTAGGATACAGAATCAGATGCATTTTTCCTTCATTTAGTTCCCCGCAAAACACATAGAATAGTCCCCCGTAACTCAGGGCCCTCATCAGCACTCAACTAAAGAGATTCTGAAATCTCAGTGGGACTTTCCGGGTTAAATAAAGGTCAATAAATAATAAATAAGATACTAAAGAAAAATGGAACTGCAACCGAGTAGGGTGGAGTGGAGTGGAGTAGTTCTGTTTTCCGGGTGGAAACAGGGCTCGAGTCTGGCCGTGTGAAGATGCTTTTAAATAGTCGCTGTTGGACGATGAACTTCAACTACATCAAAGGTTTCACTGTATACAAGATTTTTTTTTTTGTCTTTTAAAATTAGTAATGCAATTTTGTTCACTTTCAATTATAATTTATCAAAATTATATCATTTTGTTCAGTGAGCCCAGCCAAAGCTCAGCCAAATAAACTAAATCTAACGCCATGCCGTCTCCATCTTACATATATAATTTTTACTTATAGGAGCCCTGAGAGTCACTATTTGACTAGTTGGGCTGAGAGCTGATTTGGTGTGGCTGGTCCAAAGCTGATGTGACAGAGGCCAAAACCACATGTGTGAAAACTAGTGATAGAAGCAAACAGTTTTGAGAGCGAGGAACTAGTTTATAACCTGGTTCAGCGGTTTTTTAAGTTAGCAACAAAACACACTGCAGGCTGAAGTACTCGGACAGTACCTGCAACATGTTTGTAGACACGGCTGACCAGCACAGCCACATACTGTCATGGTGAGGGCTTTTTGTTGGTTTCATTTGACCTGGTTTTGTTTGAATATATGTTAGTTTTCTTGTTTTGAGTTTTACATCCTATTTGTCCTGTTGATTGTTTGCCCGTGATGTGTTACACCTGTGTTTCTGTGTGTATTTAGACCCTGTGTTTCTCTGTGTGTAGTCTCTGTGTCTCTGTGTGTATTAGACCCTGTGTCCCTGTGTGTATTTAGTCCCTGTGTCTCTGTGTGTATTTAGACCCTGTGTGTCTGTGTGTGTAGTCTCTGTGTGTATTAGACCCTGTGTCTCTGTGTGTATTTAGTCTCTGTGTCTCTGTGTGTGTATTTAGTCCCTGTGTGTCTGTGTGTATTTAGTCCCTGTGTGTCTGTGTGTATTTAGTCCCTGTGTCTCTGTGTGTATTTAGTCCCTGTGTCTCTGTGTATTTAGTCCCTGTGTCTCTGTGTGTATTTAGTCCCTGTGTCTCTGTGTGTATTTAGTCCCTGTGTGTTGTATTTAGACCCTGTGTGAGTATTTAGACCCTGTGTGAGTATTTAGACCCTGTGTCTCTGTGTGTATTTAGACCCTGTGTCTCTGTGTGTATTTAGACCCTGTGTCTCTGTGTGTATTTAGACCCTGTGTCTCTGTGTGTATTTAGACCCTGTGTCTCTGTGTGTATTTAGTCCCTGTGTCTCTGTGTGTATTTAGTCCCTGTGTCTCTGTGTGTATTTAGACCCTGTGTCTCTGTGTGTATTTAGTCCCTGTGTCTCTGTGTGTATTTAGACCCTGTGTATCTCTGTGTGTATTTAGTCCCTGTGTCTCTGTGTGTATTTAGACCCTGTGTCTCTGTGTGTATTTAGACCCTGTGTCTCTGTGTGTATTTAGACCCTGTGTATCTCTGTGTGTATTTAGTCCCTGTGTCTCTGTGTGTATTTAGTCCCTGTGTCTCTGTGTGTATTTAGACCCTGTGTCTCTGTGTGTATTTAGACCCTGTGTCTCTGTGTGTATTTAGTCCCTGTGTCTCTGTGTGTATTTAGTCCCTGTGTCTCTGTGTGTATTTAGACCCTGTGTCTCTGTGTGTATTTAGTCCCTGTGTCTCTGTGTGTATTTAGACCCTGTGTATCTCTGTGTGTATTTAGTCCCTGTGTCTCTGTGTGTATTTAGACCCTGTGTCTCTGTGTGTATTTAGACCCTGTGTATCTCTGTGTGTATTTAGTCCCTGTGTCTCTGTGTGTATTTAGACCCTGTGTCTCTGTGTGTATTTAGTCCCTGTGTCTCTGTGTGTATTAAGTCCCTGTGTCTCTGTGTGTATTTAGACCCTGTGTCTCTGTGTGTATTTAGACCCTGTGTCTCTGTGTGTATTTAGACCCTGTGTCTCTGTGTGTATTTAGTCCCTGTGTGTCTGTGTGTATTTAGTCCCTGTGTCTCTGTGTGTATTTAGTCCCTGTGTCTCTGTGTGTATTTAGACCCTGTGTCTCTGTGTGTATTTAGTCCCTGTGTCTCTGTGTGTATTTAGTCCCTGTGTGTCTGTGTGTATTTAGTCCCTGTGTCTCTGTGTGTATTTAGTCCCTGTGTCTCTGTGTGTATTTAGACCCTGTGTATCTCTGTGTGTATTTAGTCCCTGTGTCTCTGTGTGTATTTAGACCCTGTGTATCTCTGTGTGTATTTAGTCCCTGTGTCTCTGTGTGTATTTAGACCCTGTGTCTCTGTGTGTATTTAGACCCTGTGTATCTCTGTGTGTATTTAGTCCCTGTGTCTCTGTGTGTATTTAGACCCTGTGTCTCTCTGTGTATTTAGACCCTGTGTCTCTGTGTGTATTTAGACCCTGTGTCTCTGTGTGTATTTAGACCCTGTGTCTCTGTGTGTATTTAGACCCTATGTCTCTGTGTGTATTTAGACCCTGTGTCTCTGTGTGTATTTAGTCCCTGTGTGTATTTAGACCCTGTGTGTATTTAGACCCTGTGTCTCTGTGTGTATTTAGTCCCTGTGTGTATTTAGACCCTGTGTGTATTTAGACCCTGTGTCTCTGTGTGTATTTAGACCCTGTGTCTCCTCTTTTGGATGTATTTTCTGTGGCATTTATCAAATCATATCATTAGTGCACTTCCTTCCTTGCTTTATCCGTGGAGTTAAATCTAAGCCAGTAAATGCACGCAGCTTCACAACGATAATCTACTCCTGTGTCGCTGTATTTTGCTGATGCTTGACTCACGCGGGCCGTAAAACATTTCACAATCCGAGCTATAAAAGTCTGTCATCTTTATATGACAGGTCTGCGAGGGGAGGTTAGCCTCTCGTCTTCTCACTCAGTATCTCCACCTGACATTTCCACTGCGCTCATGAATGCCTTTTTTGTGTGTGGAGGGGCTGAACAATGTAGGTGACGATTATAATTGCCGTTACCATGACGACGTTGGCAAGGTGGGCCGAGCAGAGTGCGTAGACCCCCCCAGAGCCCCCCACCACGGGAGCCCGCATGTCGGTGATGGACACGGTCAGCGAGCCTGGGAACACACAGAAACAGACAAAAATATAAGATTTAGTAAAGAGGAGAAAGCTTTGCCTGCACCGCACACCGTTCAGAGCAGCTAAAAACAAGATGAAATGTATTATAGTGTATTATTGTCTCTCTGCTGACCTTCACACACCCTTTTATCGTCTCCAAAAGATTCCATAAAAACAAAAGCAGAGGCAGAATGGATTTTTCTGTCAAGACCCAGGCATTTAAAAAGGAAAGGAAATCAAAAGCAGCAGGTGGATCTTGCTGAACAGGGTAATTTGCCGAAGCTGCCTTGTGTTATATTTATGAGACGGTGTAATTTGGGATATGTGGACATGGAGGGGAGCCAGAAATGCAGCCAAATGTTGTTTTAATAGAAAAGTGCAGCGGTGTCTCGTCTAGAGAGCGAGAGAGAGAGAGAGAGATGTGAGAATGGTGAGGCGGTAATAGAACCTGGATCCGGACAGAGCTGGTTTCGCACTTACAGTGAGATCAGGGCGCTGTGTCTGTTGTGCAAAGATCAATTAGGGAAATAGAAGCTCACTAATCACACGGGGGCAGTGGAAAACCTACACGTGTGCACATGCTAATTATGACGGCGCGGCGGAGGTGGTCTCGTTACAGTAATAATGGCGTGCTGATTAATTGCGAGATCAACCCTATTTAATATCACTTTGGGACAGCAGCGGCTCCAACGCCAGTGTTTGGAGGACGGATTTTGTTTTATTCTCCTGTTTTTTATTTTTTTTAATGTATAGAATGTTTTGATTACTGTAGAGGAGGAAAAAAGAAAACGTTATTTCACATAATGAAAATGTGTAATGATGAAAACAAAGCTGAAAGATGGCTAAAAATGTGTAGGTCTATACGTATATATATATATGTATATGTGTGTGTGTGTTATTGATGATAATTAATGGGCCAAAAGAGCTGATTATAAACCTAATTATTAATGTGGCTAATACATACAGTACAGTATATAGTAATTACCTGCAGGTGTTCAGTGAATGAACATCACTGTGCAAAATGGATCTAAATAACATGATTTATAAAACAGTATCATAAGTGACATTATCATACAGACACATTTTACATTCTGAAATCAACCCGTTAGGACCAGTGTCTTTACAGAAATTCAATGCGAGAGACAAAGGTGGAGCCCGCAAACTTTAAAAAGAAATAGAGGAATATTACAATCAATATTGTACATGTTTTAGTGATAAGGGGAAACTGGAGCACCTGGAGGAAACCAGGTGAAGATACGGAGAGAATATACTCTCCGTGTACTCCCTGAGCCTGTACCTCTGGTTGGGAAACACATCATGTGGATATGAAGAGGCCATGAGCAAAAACAAAGGTCTCTGTTTTAAACATTTGTCAAAAAGTTGTATTTTTTCAACAAGTTTTGTTATTTGCAGTGAATGTGAAAGTATTTGCTCAAGATGGGGCGGAACTTTATATGTATGGCACTAAAATAGATTTGGCTTTTCACAAAACCACACGGTAGACGGCCCATTGCAAGCCTTTCAAATATGTTTCTAATGGCACTAATCAAATATGCACATCATTATTTGATAGAATACAGCTGCAAAGACATGCCGTGGACCTCCATCCGATACTTATATGAATATTAAATAGATCTCCTTAGCTGCATTCGACTCTTGTTCATGTGAAATCTTAATCTAATCGCCATTCATCTCACCTGGTTTCCTCACAATGCACCGAACAGACAATGTTGTGATGAACCAGTGGTCCCCAACCCCCCGCCCACAAACCAGTACCGGAAATACTTAATTCAATTCAATTCAATTTATTATTGTACACCTAAATCCCAACAGTATGAAACGGTTCAAACAAAGAAATAACAGAAAACTCATAAGGGTTGGTTCATACGGGGCAGATGACCGATGTCCATAAGTGTTGATAAATGTCCATAAATGTTGTTGAATGTTGATTGTCCTGGATCATCATCACTGTCCTTTTGTTAGATCTCACATGACTCTAACAAACTCCTGCATCGGAACGGAAAAAATCTAAACCCAGTGAGAAAAGTGAGAAACATCGGGCAGGTCCACATCGAGACAAGTATCTGCTCCCACAGACAGACGGGCAGAAGACAAGATAAGATCGACTTGACTTGAGCTCACACAGGAGAAATTTACATGTCACATCTGGCATGGATAGAATCACTCAAGATTGTGCAAAAGAAAGAAATATGCAAACATGTTGAAGGAGCTATACCCGTTTCTGCAAGGATTTTCTCAGTTTGAATGTTTAGCCCCGCCCCCAACTCGCTCACAGGCTTCTCATTTCCCCTACGCTCTCATCACACAGAGCCATCTAGTTATTTTTGCGATCTGATACGTAAGCTAACGTTAGCATTAGCGCAACTTCTTGTAAGCTGTACAACAACCACTGATGAAATCGTACAAAAGCAACGCACTGCTAACAAAATATAAAACTGAAAAATTTCCGCTAGTTTCGCGTCCAAATGTCCGAGCATAGATAGTCCGAGGCGGTCCCGAACCTGCAAGTCTCTCCAGAGGATATCATGTAAGCTAACGGTAAGCTAACACTACCTATGTTCACCCGGGCTTCATGTCTTCTTTGATAATTTTTTTGCTTTCGTTTCCTCTTCTCCTCCTCCTTGTTGAGTTGTTTGGGCTGTTTTGCTGTGTATGCAGTTACAGACAGTGGAAATAGCCACTTATCAGTGGCGGCCGGCCAATAGAGGGCGCTAGGGCGCCGCCCCACCACTCACAACTTGCCATGTTACCTTGAATAAAACGTTAAAAAAAATAATAACATTAAAATATTTCGAAATGTATGTGTGTTTTATTTCAGATGTGGAAGAAATACTTTATAGTTTATGCTGAGTTGGATTGATTAAGCTCATCAGCGTTGTCTGTGTCGGACTGAGGACGTATTTCCGCCTCTGAGCCGTCTATGGACTCTCGTTAAAAGTTGGACATGCGCAGTAGCTCCTCTTCAATGCAAGAGATAAGACGATTTGGGGGCGCAGGAGAAGTGCGCCCTGAGGGGGCGGGATCGCCCGCGACCTGTACTGTCACTGTCTGTGACGTCCGTTTACAGTGATTGACAGGTCAAGCTGTGGGAGTTTGAGACGAACGTAAAGCGACGCAAAATGGAGAACGAGAAAAAGAATAATTCAGTTAGATCACTCAAAACAATACCGTTTGAGAGAAGATCATACCAGGAGAAGGTTGAGGTTAAAGAGCTTGAACCTGATCAGCCAAATATTACCATTAGTCAGCAGTCCAGCGACAGGGGGAGACGGTACACTCGTACTTTTTTCCAGGACCTGGTTCAGCGCCAAATCTTGGCTAGCAGCATGTAGCGAGGCTAATGCTTTATTTTGCTTTCCATGCCTCTTGTTTCAAACATCAGGATCTGACCCAGCATGGATCAAGACAGGTATGACTGATCTGAAGCACTTTTTAGAAAAGGCAAAGAAGCATGAGCAGACTGGTATCCACATGCAAAATGCCCTCAAATTAGCTATGTTTGGGAAGATAAATATTTCATCCCAGCTGGATGAAAGCTACAGGGTAGGGATCAGAAAGCATCCCTACCCTGCTGGTATATATCTAGTCATCATATTCATAGCCCCCCCAGTAGAAAATTCCACCAGCCGCCACTGCCACTTATGCTAACATGCTGCTGTGTTTATCACCAGCGCTGTAGAGGCTAGAGGACGCAGGCTATTCGCTCCTCGTTCGGTGAGTGGAAGAGAGCGAACGTCCCGCTAAGTCTCTACTCAGCACTCTTTACGGCCTGAATTCATACACAATCTGAATCAATGAGCTCAAGTTTTCAATGAAATTACAGATTATAATCCAATTATATAATTTTATATATATAATTTTTATATAATCCAAATTGTATATAGTAATAAGCATTTTTATGAACTCATTAGAAAAAAATCTGATATAGCTTCCAGTGATGGGCAAGCTACTTGATTTGTGTAGTGAGCTAAGCTACAAGCTACTCTACAATAAATTCAGCTTTACTACACAGAAGCTACCACCCATACAAATGTAGCAAGCTAAGTTACAAAATTCTGTCAAAAGTAGCTTGCTATATAGAAGCTATTTTCAATTAAACAAGCTGCAGTTCATGCAATTTTATATTTTCCTGCATTAACATGTTTTCTCATTTCTTACTTTTTGCACAATTCTTGAGTGTTTTATCCATGCCAAATGTGACATGTAAATTTCTCCTGTGTGAGATTAATAAAGCTTATCTTCTTATTTGAGATAAACTGTCAGTCAGATAAAGGTTAAAATTGTGTAGATATTTATTGAACAATAGCCCAAAACACCAAAAACAACAAAGAGTAGGCATCTGAAAACATATTTCTTTTCGTTCATCTCGACTAGAGTGACGTACTTTTGGAGGTACGGCCACGGTACAACACTTTGAGAGTTCTTATCATGGTCCTCTCCACCGCGGCGGCTCCTGGGCTCTCTGCCATGTTTTTGCTGTGTGCGTGTGTGTGTCGTTACCAAGCCCTGAGCATGCGCATCAGCATTCTGTCTTTCTATATGTTTTTTTTATGCTGCGGGAAAATGCTGTAATATATGAACATCAGAGATGTCCGTGAGAAAATAGCTTTGGCGGACGCTACCGCGCTACTTGAGCAATAATATAGCTTAGCTACAGAAAAGTTACTAGGTTTTGTAAATAGTGACGCTACTGTCAAGCTACTGAAAAATGTAGTTAAGCTAGTAGCGACGCTACTTGTAGCGACGCTACTTGTAGCGACGCTACTTGTAGCGACGCTACTGCCCATCACTGATAGCTTCTATGCAGGATTCAGGACTCAGGCTATAGCACGAGGACCATGGCCACACGGTGAAGACAGCGAGGGGTTGTAGAACACGAGTCGGGCCGGGCAGGACAGTCCGCAGGTGAAGATCCAAAAAATCTTAATATTTTCGCTATGACAGGATTCGTCTCACCTGGGTTCCATCTCACGGCCCC